AAAAAGTTAATCCTGCCCCCCTCCACACACACACATACGCACACTCCCATTCCCAAATCTAAAAGAACCCCTCCCTCCTCTCTCAGCCAAGTGCTTATTCCAAGACACACACAGTGATGGGCCTTTGGTGATTGTTTAAAAATACGTTCAGGGGCCTGGGGTGATAGTACAGCAGGGAGGGCACTGGCCTTGCACACAGCTGACCTGGGTTCAATCCTTGGCATCCCAGATGGTCCCCTGAGTACGGCCAGGAATGATTCCTAAGTGCCGAGCCAGGTGTAACTTCAGAGTATCACCAGGTGTGGCCCCCAAACCAAAAAAGAAAAGTATGCTCGTGGGGCCATGGTACTGCGGGTAGGGAGCTGGCCTTGCACCTGGACTCCCAGGTTTTATCCCCGACGGCTCATACATTCCCCCAAGTCCTGCCAGAAGGTCACTGAGTGCAGAGCCAAGAGTAAGCCCTGAGCAGCTCCAGGTGTGGCCTGGAGAAAGAAAAAAGACGCGAGGCAGACGTTGGACATTGCTCAGAGGCTCATTCTGTCACTTCAAACAAATGCACTCGTGTCTCTGTGGGCCATAATATTACTCTGGGCTGGCTGCGAAGCATCCCGGATGTGGAATAACACAGTATTGAACCACCTCCCAATCCGCCCATTCAGCTCGTCTCCATTTTTTAACCCTCCCCCCGCACTGCAGGCGTTCGGATGAAACTCCAGGGCAGATTTAAGCATTTGTGTTCTTGCTACAGCCGGAGAAATAGCCCAGGGTGGATTTCTAAGTGAGAGCTTAGCGTCTTTCTTTCCCAGAAGGTTGTAACAGTTCCCATTTCTCCACATCCTTATCAGAGTAGTAAAAAGGAAAAGGGAAAAAAAAAAAAGGCTTCCTAGTCTTTTACCACTTAGTTGGTGATATTCTTTTTATGTTTTTGCTGTTTATTTATCTGTGGTTTTGTTTTTTTGTTTTTTAATCTCTGACTTGGCCACTCAAAGTCTTCACCTGTTTGTTTTCTTAACGGTTAAGAGGTTTTTGTTGGTGGTTTGGGTTTGGTTCGGTTTTGATTTGTAGGGCCACATCTGGTGATGCTCAGGGTTTACTCCTGACTCTGCTTAAGAATCACTCCTGGTGGTCTCAGGTGACCATATGCAAAGTCTGGGATTTGAACCAGGGTTGATGAGATATAGGCAGGTGCTCTAACCCCTGTGCTTTCTCTCTGGCCCCTGGTTAAGAATCCTGACCCGGGGGCTGGAGCGATAGCAAAGCGGGTAGGGCGTTTGCCTTGCACACAGCCAACATGGCCGACACAGGTTCGATTCCCAGCATCCCATATGGTCCCCCGAGCACCGCCAGGAGTGATTCCTGAGTGCATGAGCCAGGAGTAACCCCTGAGCATCACTGGGTGTGACCCAAAAAGCAAAAAAAAAAAAGAAAAGAATTCTGACCTGAAGTAACGACTGACCCCTCTGGCTTGAAGTTCCTCCAACTGACCCCTCCGGCTTGAAGTTCCTCTCCTTCAGACACGCTGAGGATTCTCTAAGGGGAGCCTGGGGGCTGTTGTCCTTGAGGAAGATTCACTGATGCCAGGACCACAGCTGGGGCTGGCCCTGTCCTCCAGCCCCCAGGGTTCCCCGTGATTTCTCCAGCCACCCTTTACTGTTCTCTCCTCTCTGTGCATCCCTGGGCTCAGGAGGGTTTGGACGGGTAGAACCTGAAGAAACTGAGCTCACTTGCTATTTGTCTGTCTCATAGCAGATCTGTCGGTGTGGGTAGGGTATGCCTGATCTGTCAGTGTGGGTAGGGTATGCCTGAAGGCTTCAGATTATTTTTAATCGCTGATGTGGCCCCTTCTTTTCCCTCAAATAGTTTCTGCAACAATATCCTGATTATCTGCTGATATCCGGATCCCTTGGATATTCATATCCCTTGGATATTAGCAACACCGGCAAACGCTCTGAGTCTGCTTTGAGTTTCCTCTTCCTGTGGCGTGTCTGCTGGTCCTGTTTGTTTGTTTTTCCCCTCCAGTTGGGTGGTGCCCACAGTTGGCGCCCTTGCTTTATTGGAGCTGCCTGAGACCACAAATATCTTTCATCGTGTCTCCATCTCCATCAGGAGCCCACCGCTGGCTGCGGGTAGCCGCACTTAGATCTCAGAGCTTCTGCCCTGGTGGACGGTCAGCAGCTTTGTGTCAGCCAAGGCCCACGGCACAGACACTGCCCTTTCTGCTGTGGAGCGGGGTGGGCTGAAGGGCAGAGTCTGGTTGAGTCTTAGAGCCCACACAGGCCTGTTCTTGCTCCTCCAGAAAAAGTAGTTCCGGTTGGTTTTGATTTGAAACCACACCCGGCAGTGCTCAAGTCCTACTCCTGGCCCTGTGCTCTGGGATCACTCCTGCGGGATCTGGGGATCGAACCTAGGTAGCCGTGTGCAAGGCAAATGCCATCCTCGACTGTACTCTGTCTCTGGCCCTTGGGAAAAAGTAGGAAATGTGATAGGTAAGAGGGCGTTAAAAAGCTGCCTCATCCCCTTTTGGAGGGCACCCATGGGAGCATGCTGACTTATGGGAATGGCTCTTCAGCTTCCAGAAGCCCCCACACGTCTGACCCTTGGAAGCACGGAGATTAGTGTTAGAGTGGCACCAAGAATGGGTGTCCTGAGGCTGGAGCGGTAGCACAGTGGGGAGGGTGTTTGCCTTGCACGCAGCTGACCTGGGTTCGATTCCTAGCATCCCATATGATCCCCTGAGCATCGCCAGGACTAATTCCTGAATGCAAAACCAGGAGTAACCCCTGTGCATTGCCAGGTGTGACCCCAAAAGCAAATAATAATAATAATAATAATAATAATAATAATAGCAGCACTGTCCTCCTGTTGTTCATCGATTTGCTCAAGCGGGCCCAGTAATGTCTCCATTGTGAGACTTCTTGTTACTGTATTTGGCATATTGAATATGTCACAGATAGCTTGTCAGGCTTTGCCATGTGGGTGAGATACTCTCGGTAGCTTGCCGGGCTCTCCAAGAGGGGCAGAGAAATCGAACCTGGCTCAGCCAGGCTTGCCGCGTGCAAGGCAAACACCCTACCGCTGTGCTGTCGCTCCAGCCCAATAATAATAATAAATTAAAAAAATAAGAGTGGACCGTCCTCACCTTGGCATCCTGGTGGCTGCTGTTTTTGCCAACCACATGCAGCGGATTAAATCCCGCCGTGAGAGTTTGTGCCATCGCCTCAATGCTGTTAGCGTAAGCACCTGGCTGAGAGAATGAAGACGACTCACGGCTTCCCATGAGCTCAGCCGAGAGATGAGATCGCAGATCTAGTCTGGATAAGGATGAGGCAGGCGAGCGTCTCCGCGCTGCTCTCCCGGCCCCGCTGGTGTGGAGACGTGACTCACAACGGGGCTTTGGACGAAGGCGCAGATGAGAGAGGGAGAATGTTCCAGTGACTCCCGGAGATGGATGATGACTGAGCTCTCCAGCCGTGGGATGTGGGTGGAGGCACCTCGTGTGAGAGGAGAGCGTGCTGGGGGGTGTCGTGGGACTGTCTTGGGTCATCGTTTTGGTCCCCCTTCTCCTTCCTTACAGCACAGTTATATAGAAGTCATGAAGGGTGGTAGTACACATAGGTGGGGTTGGACATTATTATAACAGTGAACAGATGTAGAGCCCCGTCTTCAGAGGAAGTTCTTCTAGGAGATTAACTCAGGGACAAAATCTCTTCTGGGGGTTTAGTACTCCAGATTACTAGGAGATCCACTCAAGGGCGGGATTCCATCCAGGGTGTGTTACTTTCTCTCTCTTCAGCCAGTATCTATTTAAAAAATTATATATTTACTTCTGACTAGTATTTCTCGCCATTTTTTAGTGAACACAATAAGAGATATATTAAGCTTAAAGGTTGGCTCTTCATGAGAGCATCTCACTATATATCCCAGACTACAGCTGTCAGGCCAGGTTAGTCTTTCCTAACCCCAGCATGGTCCTTACTCAGTTGCTTCTTTTTGGATCAGGACAGAGTTTGTCCTATGACCATGCTCTTAACATATTATACTTCTTATGGTGCGTAGCTTGTTCCCTTTCGATACCACAGTAGATTCCAGCTTGTCCTGGGTCCATCCTTGTCCCTCGCTGGGACCCTTCTTTTCGGGGGTGTTAGGAAGTAAGGTAAAGTAAGGGCAACTGAGACTTAAGTCAGGTAAACATGATGAAGGCCCAGGAGTAAATATTATCCGGAATCAATTAACTCCCATGTTACAAAAGCAAAGCATCAACTCTCTTCCTGTGTCTTTACCAAAAGGATATTGCTAAACCATGCAAAGGACATAGAGGAAAGAGAAAAGCAATAAAGAAATATTAGTGCTTGGTGGAATTTTTGGGTGTGCCTTAGGAGCACTGTTGCGGGAGTAACTCAACCTAAACTTTCTGCGGGAGGAACAAGGACAAACCAATGTGATCCAACACCCCAGCAGTGCTTGGGACCCTGGAGCCTCTCACAGCACCAGGAGGCCCAGTGGGTTCCATGCTCAGCACTGCAGTGGTGTTTGGGGCTGGCCTTGTGGGCAGGTGAATGGGTAGGGTGTGTGGTGCAGCGGGGAGGTGGTGGGGTCAAACTCAACGCCTCGTGTATGTGAGTGCCATTTCCCGGCCCCCCTTCTTTGCACACATCGATGCTAGCACTGCCATTTGTGTTGACTCAGTCTGGGCCCAGCGTGAGCCACCCGTAGGTGGTCTAGGTTGGCATCAATGAAACTTGTTCCCGTCGTAATGCTCAGTCCCTCGCTTTCTTGCTTCTGTCTGTCCAGCTGCTCCCAGTCACAGCAGCGGTTGGTCCTGACTTCTTTCCCCATGCTCTGGCCCTGCTGGGGACAGGCTGGCTGCCGGGTGCCAGAGGAAGAAGCAGGCCTGCAGAGTCCAACACTTTGGCATTCGTTCCACCCCCCACCCCACCCCACCCCACCCCCAACTTCCTGGAGAAAGGGGTCTCACACGGGCGTTTGGTTCATCCCCTCAGAGTACCAGAGAAGCAGAAATCAAGCTGAAAAGCGAGAGCCGTGTCAAACTCTTCTACTTGGACCCAGATGCCCAGGTAGGAACTGTTGGATAAGGAATGCTGGAAACAGCCGGGGGAGGGAGGCCCATGCTGGGCTCTTGGCTTGGTGGTTCAGCATCCGGACGACAGGCACCATTCGTGGCCTCATGCTTCAGAAATTCTGCGATGCTGTCTTCCAGGAGCTTGAGTTTATAGTCTCTGTCTGGGTTTTAGCCATCGATGAGATGATGTGGCACCAGGGGCAGTTTGTGGGTGTGACCGCCAAGCTACTGGAAAACTGGGGAGCTGCGGGGAGGAGGCCCAGTCCCAATTTCAGTGGGCTTGGAGATCTCAGTCCCATGTCCCGCATACCTGGGTTTTCCTTCCAGTCCACTCTCCAGTGAGGTTCATCCTATCTTGAGTGAAGCTCGTCCCCTCTTGGATGAGGTCATCTGAACATGTGGACAGTGGCCGTGCACATGGTGGCGAAGATCCTTATTCTTATTTCTTTGGTCCTGCCTTTGGATGTTCATTTTGTTTGGGATTTGGGTATTTTTGCTTTTTTGGGAGCAGAGGAGGCCACCCCAGCAGTGCTCAGAGATCTGGTGGCCACTGCCGGGGCTACTCAGTCAACCTGGCTGCAGGTTCATGCTGGGCGTGAGGAGGCCATGCTCAAATCTGGAAATGCTGGGGACTCCCCGCCACACACACACACCCCAGTAGTGCTCCAGAGCTCCCAAGGCTGGAGCCTGGGCTGAACATGGGTTCGAGTTGGGCATCTGTGCCCAACTGCCATACTCTTGTTTGTTTAGGGGCCACACCCAGCAATGCTCAGGCCTTACTTCTGGTTCTATGCTCAGGGATCACTTGCAGGATCAGGGTGTCATATGAGGTGCTGAAGACCAATCCCAGGTCTGCCACATGCAAGGCAAGTGCCCTGCTTACTGTCTCTCTCCAGCCTGCTTACGTTCATTTTTGAGGTCACTCCCTAGCTTACTCATGAGGCTGACCCTGCAGTGTCAGGAGCGAAAATGGGACTCTGGGATGTGCTCCAGACCTTGAGTCTCTCCATGGCACCTGTGGCCTCTTCAGCACCTGTGACCTCTTTTAATAGAACATAAAGAATCTTCTATCAAACTTCCATAATGAAGTTTTTTTTTCCCTACTCTCCACAACCGATGATTTTGGGAAATTTTCTAATGTGCTAAAATGTGTATAACATAAAACCATCTTAATCATCTTTAAACTCATGGATTTCGTGGCCCTCGGTCCGTTTCCATAATCATATGGTTCTCACCCCTGTAGAACTTCGACTTCTTCCCGAATTCTGTTCCCATGAAACAGATCTCTCATCCGTCTTCCCACTAGCCACCTTCCTGTCTCCACCTTGGCTTATTCGGAGAACTTCATCTCTGTGGAGTCACTCGCTCTTTCTCCTTCCGTGTCTGACTGCCTTCACACTTAACGTGCTGTTTTCAGAGTTTTCCCCACGTGGCAGCACGCGTTGAAATTTGATTTGTTGTCATGGCTGGGTAGTGTCCCACTGTCTGAATACACCTCATGTGTGTACAGAATAGACTGACCAGCTGTGGCCCAGTCCCGTGGCCCGTCATGTGTCATGTGTCCGCTCATGGGCACACCCACCCATCTGTGGCTCTGTAGAGCAATCCATCGAACCACTCCTGAGTCTCACACTTGAGCATCACCATGAACCAAAGTCATCAGAACAGCCCCGTTCCGAGTGGGTGGGCGTCCGTGGTTCTCCCACCGTTTTGGCTGTATCCTCAGGACGCGTTCACCATGGGTGCTTTTTTGTGTTTTCCCAGTGGGGCCTACATTTATACAGTCACGTTTTCTTTGACAGAAACTTGACTTCATCCCAGCCGAGCCGGAAGTGAGGCCGTTCGAAGAGAAGTTTGGGAAACGGATCCTCGTCAAGTGCAACGACCTGTCTTTCAACTTGCAGTGCTGCGTCGCAGAAAACGAGGAGGGACCCACCACCAATGTGAGTGTCCTCTCAGAGAGGCAGTTGGAGATGTCACCTGTGCCATTGGCAGGGGGAGGGGTGGGGGGTCCTGGTGAAGACTGGGACGTGGAGGCTGGGGTCGGGGGCCCCTGCTGGGCCAGGCTGTGGGGGCAAAGTGAAGGCATGGCGGGCACCTCCCCTGCTGGTGTTGCTCGAGCCGTTGTCTGGAGCCCGGCGTGTTCCTTCCGTGGCCTGAGTCACGTGACCGTGTGGTCGGTTCCGTCTGCAGGTGGAGCCTTTCTTTGTCACTCTCTCCCTCTTCGACATCAAGTACAACCGGAAGATTTCTGCTGATTTCCATGTGGACCTGAACCATTTCTCAGTGAGGCAGATGCTGGCCGCCACCCCCACGGGCCTGGTGAACGGTGGGGGGCAGAGCCCCCCAGCCCTGCAGGGCCTCCTGCACGAGGCCGCCATGCAGTACCCGAAGCAGGTGGGGGCTGGGGCGGGTGCCGGGCTCCTGCATGCATCGTCAGTCCCTGGGCAAGCGTCAGGGTGGGTGAGAGTGTTGATTTGGGTGCCAGCTTGGTGGCCCCTCTGGGAGTGCAGGCTGGGAGCGAACACTTGATGTCCCCTCCTGTTTTTCTGTCTCTCCCTGCCTCCCCCACCAGAATCCCCTTTTCCAGGGGCAGGGGTGGTGGGTTGGGGGTGTTCCCAAGTGATGCTCTGAGGGTACGGTGGCCCCACTGGCCAGGGTTCTGCCCAGTCTGCTGTGCCTGGGAGACTTGGCCATACCCTGATGGTCTTGAGGAGACTCGAGGGTTTGTACCCACCCAGCAATCGAACCTGGATCAGGTGCATCCCTGCCTGTATTTTCTTCTGGACCTCAGGTTGTTTTTTTTTATTATTATTTGGTTTGGGTTTTTATTTGGGGCTATACCCAGTGATGCTCAAGGGTTACTCCTGGCTCTACACTCAGGGGTCACTCCATGCTGTGCTCAGGGGACAATATGGGATGCTGGGAATCGAACCCTGGTCAGCTGCCTACAGGGCATGCGCCTTCCCTGCTATCCCATCATTCCCATCCCCGATTGCCTTTTTTTGGTTTTGTTTTGGGCCACCCCCAGCGATGCTGAGGATTTACTCCTGGCTCTGCACTCAGGGCTCTCTCCTGGTGGTGCTCAGAGGGACCATAGGGGATGCCGGGGATCCAACTCGGGTTGACCATGTGCAAAGCAAGTGCCTCCCTGCTGGACTGTCACTCCAGTACCCCCCGGGTAGCCATTGCTAAGCCCCCGCACCCCTGCGTGGATGGTCCCCCATGCCACATCCTTGCAGCATCCCTGCTCCAGTACCGGCTTCTTCCTTGGCTGCCCTGCCACTGCGGTTGGCTCAGTGCTGGCTACAGCAAGCCGCTTGTCTCCTAGGGGATATTCTCCGTCACGTGTCCACACCCCGACATCTTCCTCGTGGCCCGAATCGAGAAGGTGCTTCAGGGCAGCATCACGCATGGCGCCGAGCCCTACATGAAGAGCTCCGACTCCTCGAAGGTACGGGCCGTGCCTGCTTTGGGGGTGGGGAGGAGTGAGAGAAAGCCAGGCTCTTGGCGAGCATATGCGCCTGAGCCCATGTGCTGCTTGCGTCCACATGGCCAAGCACATGTGTCGCCCACATCTCCCCTCTTGAGACGTGTACTTTCATGCCTTCCTGTCTAATGCTGGGATGTGTGTAGGGGTCTCTCCATCCACAGAGAAACCTGGTTCTCTCTTGAGTGCGTTACTCTCCACTCTCTCTCCCACTTTCTCTCCCTCCTTCCCTTCAAAACTCCAAATAAAAACTGTGTTACCGTACTGCACTGCATGGTCCTCCCATTGTTCATCGATTTACTCAAGCGGGCACCAGTAATGTCTCCATTGTGAGACTTGCTGTTACTGTTTTTGGCATATCGAATATGTCACAGATAGCTTGCCAGGCTTTGCCGTGTGGGTGGAATGCTCTTATTTATTTATTTATTTATTTTTTAGTTCTGACAGAACCTCCTCCTCCTCCTCCTCCTCCTCATCCTCCTCCTCCTCCCTCCTCCTCTTCCTCCTCCTCCCTTCTCCTCCTCCCTTCTCCTCCTCCCTCCTCCTCCCTCCTCCTTCCTCATTTTTATTAGTGAAACACCATGAGGTACAGCTGTAGATTTACAAATTTTTGTGCTTGGGCTTCAGTTATACAATGATAGAATACCCATCCCTCCACCAGTCCCCATTCTCCACCACCACTGACCCCAGTATCCCTCCCACCCCCCAACCCCCCCATCCCATCCTGCATCTGTGGCAGGGCATTCCCCCTTGTTCCCTCTCTCCTTTTGGGTGCTGTGGTTTGCAAAAGAGTCATTGAGTGGCAGTCATGTTCGGTCTAGAGTCCACTCTGAGCACGCATCTCCCATCCTGTGAGGATCCTTCCAACATCCTTTATTTGGTGCTCCCTTCTCTATCTGAGCTGCCTTTTCCCCCAGCGTGTGCGGCTGGCCTCCAAGCCATGGAGTAAACCTCCTGGTACTTAAAACCTGATACTCTGCTATTCTTGGGTGTTGGTCTCCTATTTTTTTACTTTATGTTTTGGGCGGAATACTCTTGGTAGCTTGCCAGGCTCTCCGTGTGAGTGGAATACTCTTGGTAGCTTGCTGGGCTCTCCGAGAGGGCAGAGGAATCAAACCCTGGTCAGCCCTGTGCAAGGCAAACGCCCTACTCACTATGCTATCGCTCTGGCCCCAAAACTGTGTAACTTCCAAAAAACAAAGGAAGGAAAGAAAGAACTTTCGCGGGAGCAGGGATGCTCCATGAGCCACAGCCCAGCCGTGGGGCAGGACAGGAGACTCAGGACAGAGGAACTCCCCCTCACAGAGTTCCCCCCACACGGCTGAATTCCGGCAGAGACACAGTCCCACATGCCACCAAGGTGCGTCGCTGGGCTGTACCGGTGTCCTGCAGTAACCTGCAAAGCCATCTCGCTGGCTCACCAGCCCTGTCACTGAGGAGTGGCGAGCCCATCTCATGCCAGGCTGGAGTTGAGTCCAGGACCCTGCGTATACCTAGTAGACTGACCACCAGCCGAGGCCCAGCCCACCACAGTAGCTTTGCTGAATCAGCTTGTGCCTGGCCAGAGTGGGGCAGAGCCCACTCCACCCCAGCAGGAGAGGGCAGGGCGCAGCTGAGCAGTGTCCACGCACTGGGTTTGTGGGGTGGACGCAAGCAGTGAACTCAGTGAGTCTTCGAAATCACCTTGGGGCTCTAGCACACACCTCCTCGGGCCACACTTGAAAGCACTGGGCTCTCCAAGGTTTTGTGGCTCTCAGTTCACGTGGCCAGGGGCTCAGTGCTTTCCATTCCCCTGAGCTACCTGGTCAGTGCAGGCCATTGTCAAGTGCTCTTTTGGCTGTTCTTGTGTTTTGGGTGTTTGTGCCATAACCCTGGTCAGCTGCATGCAAGGCAAGGGCCCTTCCCTCTCTCCTATTGCTCCTGGCCCCCAAGTTGCCTATTTTGGTTTTGTTTGGGGATGACATCCAGTGTTGCTCCGGGGTTACTCCTGGCTCAGCACTCAGGAATTACTCCCGGTAGGCTCAGGAGACCATTTGGGGGGGGGGGGGGCAGGGATCGAACCCAGGTCAGGTGGATGGGGCCCGAGGCTCTGTAGGTCTCGCCTGCCCAGTGTGTGACATTTTTCTGGTGTGACATCCCTTCCCCCCCCAAACCCCTCCCATCACCCCAAATTGGTTTAGGCTTGATGTTCTTCGGTGAACATAAATGACCCTTCCACCAGCATCTCTGAGTCAAGCTCTGCATTGGCCGCCATGAAGTATGACCCCAGGACAGTCTGTGGGCCCATGTCACCTCTTGCTGAGTCCACTAAGAGATCTTCCAGGCCTCCCTCAGAGGCCCAAAGCTAATCGCCCCCAGCTGCCAGACCGCAGCAGATGGAACCTGATCCTTAGGAAGTGACAGTAGCAGTCATTGTTTTTTTTTTTAATTTTTATTAGTGAGACACCATGAGGTACAGTTGTAGACTTACAAATTTTGTGCTTGGGTTTCAGTTATACAATGATCAAATACCCATCCCTCCACCAGTGCCCATTTCCCACCACCATGGATCCCAGTATCCCTCCCCCCCCCATCCCCCCCCCCCCCCCCCATCCCACCCTGCCTCTGTGGCAGGGCATTCCCCTTTGTTCTCTCTCCTTTTGGGTGTTGTGGTTTGCAAAGGAGGCATTGAGTGGCAATCATGTTTGGTCTATAGTCTACTTTCAGCATGCATTTTTCATCCTGGGAGGATCCTCCCAACACCCTTGATTTGGTGCTCCCTTCTCTATCTGAGAGTAGCAGTCATTTAGACTTAGAAATCTAGGAGAGAAGGATGGAGGGGTCTATCTGACGCCAGCGAGTATCTGTGTGCAGAGCTGTGGGGGAGGGCCGCTGCCCTTTGGTGGTGGGCTCTCCACAGGTGGCTGCATGAGGAGGTGGGAACGCTCTGGGCTTTCACGAAGGGTCTTGTTTAAATTCTTGCGACGCCATCTGCTTGGGCACAGAGGCCCAGGAAAAATGAGTGTGGTTAGCTCAGTGCCGTTCTACCCAGCGGCCCTTGACCCGAAAGAATTGTGGGAGCCTGTGAAAAGGCTTGTTGCCTGCAACGGCCTCAGGAAAACTGTCTTTGGGGAATGGGGCATTCCTCATCCTGTGTTCTTTGCCAACCCTGGCTGGAGAGTCCCATGGTCAAGGTGTAAACCCAGCCAGCCCCCGGCCGGTCCCGTCAGCACATGCCTCGCCTCCAAAGCCCTCCAAAGAGCCTGGACCAGGGCCCACAAGCTCTGAATCCACCCAGTGGCTGGCTGCCACCTCTCATGGCTCTATTCTGATTTCTCCAAGGTGGCTCAGAAGGTGCTGAAGAACGCCAAGCAGGCGTGCCAGCGACTGGGACAGTACCGAATGCCCTTTGCTTGGGCGGCCAGGTAGGCAGAGACGCGTTTGTACCTCGTAGATGGTTGTAGGTACCCGCCGAGCGGTAAAGTGGCCGAGCCACAGACCGGCAGCCCCTTATTCTGGTGATGGTCCAGAGACCCAAAGTAGCCACCTGTGTACAATGGAGAAGCAAGTTTCCATACCCCCATCTAAAAACTCACAGATCAGGTGGGGGTTGGGAGGGAGTGAGGGCAGGGGGCTGGACAGAGCTGAAGAAGTAGTAGGAGCATTGGTGGTGGAACTTGGATTTCAGGGGTCCAGCACTTGTCTCTGCAGCAGGGTGCAGTTTGGGGGACCTGTGAGCTGTCTCTGTGGGAGAGCATCGTCTGTGTATGCGGTTCCCCTGGAGTGAGCCATCAGCCGGGCTTGCCTGCCTTGCAGATCAGACTCCATTGCCTTTCCCCCTCGTAACTACCCCCGTATTTCTCAGTAATGAGGTTTCTGTGGCAGCCGCTAGTGGTACAGTCATTCCAACTCTTCACACATTGACCAGAGTGAAACTGTAGATTCGTTCTGATCTTTGGGAAGGAAACCCAGCCTGGAATTTTTTTTTTTTTTTTGCTATTTCAGGACCCTGTTTAAGGATGCATCTGGAAACCTTGACAAAAACGCCAGATTTTCTGCTCTCTACAAGCAAGACAGCAACAAGCTCTCAAATGAGGACATGCTCAAGTTCCTGGCCGACTTCCGGAAGTGAGTCTCAGTGCCTGACTCCTGTCCCCCCGCCCCCAACATTCCTGAGAAGGTGGTTCAGTGGGGAGGGTGGGGGTGGGGACACTAAAAATTTTAGGGAATATCTTATTTTACAAAAAGGCGTCAGATTTGGGACCTCAGACAAAACCTTACGACTCACTTGTTTTGTCAGAACATGGAAGTAAATGTTAAATTTTAAAAAGCAAGTGTTGGGGCCAGAAAGATGGAGCAGTGGGTAGGGTGCTCGCCTTGCACACGGTCCACCCTGGTTCTATCCCCTGCACCGAGTATGGTCCCCTGAGCCTCAGAAGGATTGCTGAGCATGGCAAACCCAAAACCCAAAAGCTAACGAAGTGTTAGATGGCTAGGGAGGGAGGCTGGAGCACATCCCTGACATAGCCAAGGCCACAGACATTTAGTCTCTAATGTATGGGTGTCCTGGGTGTGACCCCAACTGTACCCCAGAACCACTGGGGTTTAACAGCTGCCCCCCCAAAGAAGGAGAAATTCATATAAAAAAATGCAGTGTATATGAAAAGTTCCCTGTTACTCACCCCTCCAGGATAACAAGGCTAATTGTTATCTAATCATTATTGGCTTTTTTTATGCCTTTCCTAACCTTTCTTTTAATAGGATTTGCCTGTCCATTTAGTCTTCTGCGGGGGTGGGGGAGGGGTCCTTTTGTTACTTTGTAACACGCTCAGTGTTAGCAGAGATGTGGGAAATCAGGAGTCAGGTCACAGTCACACTTCCTTCCTACACCCAGCCACACCACCTCAGTGTGTACATGACCACCTGCATCCCGGTTATGAGCGGCCTGGGGAAACTGTGATCTGTTTAGTTGAAGATTTGCTGGGCTTTCTAAAAATCTGCAGTTATTCTGTGTGTAAGGCTGAAACTGTCATGGACTCAGACTTGAAAAATGACACTAGTTGCTCTTTGACAAACAATAGGTTCAATTAGGAGCCAATCGATTGAATAAATAAAAGCGCTATTGATTGTAGCTTGTTCGAATTCTGAAAACTTGGAAAAGGGGAACAATGGAAAACTGAAGTGAAGTAAAGTGAATTAAGGTGTTCTGGGGTTCTGGGCAAGCCTAGAATATTGGGGCCTTGATGTACAGCAACAGGGCGGTATCCAATACAAAGGGTGTGGCTTTTGGTGTTTTAATTTTCACCCTTTGAGGTGGAGAGAGAGCACTTTAGGGGTTGGGCGCAGCCCCTAGGTTTATCCCTGGCACGGAGGGCATGGTGCTCCTAGCTGCCATCAGGCTGGCCCCCAGATCAAAAGTAAATTAAATGCCACTTTAATCCTTTTGGCACTCTCATCCCCAGAATTTCTGCCAGAAATTCTAAAACCTATTTCCCTAGCAAAGGAAACCCACTTTCCCCACTCAGAAGCCATCCTAGCGAGGGCGCCCCAGAATTCCACAGCCCTGGTTCTCAGCCGGGCTGATGTCCGCCCACCTCTCCTAGCTTCAAGATGTGGGTTGTATGCCCCAGAAAGACAGTTAAAATACTAGCAGAGACATGCTGAAGTATTAGCAGAGAAGTACTACCAAAGACGTACTAAAATATTAGCGAAGACGTGCTCAAAGTACTAGCAGAGACATGCTGAAGTATCAGCAGCAATATGCTGAAGTATTAACAGACATGGTAGAGTATCAGCAGAGACAAGCTGAGGTATTAGCAGAGAAGTGCTAACAAAGACGTGCTGAAGTACTGGTAGAGATATGCTGATGTATCAGCAGAGACATGCTGAAGTATAAGAGACATGCTAAAGTATTAGCAGAGGCATGCTTGAAGTATTAGCAGAGAAGTACTAGCAAAGACATGCTGAAGTACTGGTAGAGACATGCTGAAGTATTGGCAGAGACATGCTGATGTATTAGCAGAGAAATGCTAAAATATTAAAAGACATGCTGAAGTATTAGCAGAGACATGCTGATGTATCAGCAGAGACATGCTGGAGTATAAGGGACATGCTAAAGTATTAGCAGAGACATGCTTGAAGTATTAGCAGAGAAGTACTAGCAAAGACATGCTGAAGTATTAGCAGAGACATACTGAAGTATTAGCAGAGACATGCTGATGTTTCAGCAGAGACATGCTGAAGTATTAGCAGACATGCTGAAGTATTGGCAGAGACATGCTGATGTATTAGCAGAGAAGTGCTAAAGTATTAAAAGACATGCTGAAGTATTAGCAGAGACATGCTGATGTATTAGCAGAGACATGCTGAAGTATTAGCAGAGAAGTACTAGCAAAGTCATGCTGAAGTACTGGTAGAGACATGCTGAAGTATTAGCAGACATGCTGAAGTATTGGCGGAGACATGCTGATGTATTAGCAGAGAAATGCTAAGGTATTAATAGACATGCTGAAGTATTAGCAGAGAATGCTGATGTATTAGCAGAGACATGCTGAAGTATTAGCAGAGAAGTACTAGCAGAGACATGCTGAAGTACTGGCAGAGACATGTTAAAAAAGTACTAACAGAGACATGCTGAAGTATTAGCAGAGAAGTACTAGTAAAGACATGCTCACTAGGCTGGGTGAGCTGGAGGATGGCGCCTCTACTGCCCACGAGCCCTTCTCAGTGTGTAGGAATGGACCGACCTTGTGCCCCCCACTGACACAATTCCAGCTCAGCTAGGCTGTGAGCTGTGAGCTCTGGGTGTAACATCTGCAGCTGGCTTCAGATGTCGGAGTCCAAGGGTTTGGTGGGGGAGCCACGCCCAGGGGTGCTGGGAATGGAGTCTCAGGCACCCACCTGCCAAGCATGCATTCTAACTCCCAGAGTCCTCTCCCTGGCCCTTGGAATAAAACTTTTATATTTCATGTGTATTAAAAGACTAGCTCTGGATCTATTTTGTTAAAGGCATGCATTTTTTTCGGAATTAATTTTACTTATTTCTTTTTACCTTTCTATTTGTTTGGGGGCGACACCTGGTGGTGCTCAGGGACTTACATGCTCCTGGGTCATTCCCAGCAGTGCTCAGGAGTCCATGTGGCCCTGGGAGTTGACCCCTGGTGCCCATGCTCTTGCTTTTTTTTTTTAATCTTTAAAAATGTTTTCACCTTTTTATTGATTCACTGTGAGATACAGTTACAAAGCTTTCATATTTGAGTTTCAGTCGTGGCAATGATCAATCACCCATCCCTTCACCAGTGCACATTTCCCACCACCAAAATCCCCAGTATCCCTTCCCCCATTCCAACCCTTCCCCTGCCTGTGTGGCAGACAGTTTCCACAATACTATGATTACATTCAGTATTTCGACACCAGTCCAACCACCACCACCACTCAAACCTGCCTAAAAGGTAGTGCTAGACAATTTGTTTTGTATTGCTTGTTACGGATAGCGTATAATGTCAGTTCACCATGAGAGTGGCCATGTGCTCTAGGAATTCCAAAATTTTAATAATCAGGGTCTGGAGAGATCTCAGCAACGAGCTTCTCAGTTCTAAGATTTGTGTGTGTGTGTGTGTGTGTGTGTGTGTGTGTCTGTGTCTGTGTGTCTGGATCATGGCCGTGTAGGAGCTTAACATGTAGCTGGGGGCAGTTTGTGAGTGTCATCACAGAGTCCCATGGGGGCAGGGTGAAGGAGAAGGGCCGGATCCTCTCCTGTCCTCCCCTGTTGTTTGCTGCTTCTGCTCTCGCCTACCTGGACTTTTTAATGGATTCTGGAAGATGGCGGCCACCAGGATTCCTAGGGGGCAGGCGGAAGAATAGCACCTGCTCCTGTCTGGAGTGGCCCAGCAAAAGTGGCCTGTTGCAAAGTCTGGAGGCATCTCTCAGCTAGCTGCTCAGTTCTAAGATTCATGTGTGTGTCTCCTGCTCTTGCTTTTCTGAGAAGAGCTGCAAGAAGGCCTGACGTTACCTCCAGGCCGTGAGATCTGTTTCTTGCCAAACTACTGCATAGTACTTCAGACACTAGGGCTCGCCGCCCTGAGCCATCTCGCTTTTCCTTGCCCGCAGGCCCGAGAAGATGGCCAAACTCCCCGTGATCCTGGGCAATCTGGACATCACCATCGATAACGTGTCTCCCGACTTCCCTAGTAAGTGTGAGCCGCGTGGACACCCCCAGGGGCCCAGCTGTATTGGCGCTTCCCTCCATGGCGTCTGCTTCTCCTTTGCTTTCAGACCACGTCAACTCGTCCTACATTCCCACGAAGCAGTTCGAGGCCTGTGTGAAGACCCCCATCACGGTCGAAGTGGAGGAGTTTGTCCCCTGCATCCCCAGGTACACGCACCCTCACAGCATCTACAGCAACCACCTCTACGTGTATCCCAAGTACTTGAAATACGACAGTCAGAAGGCGTTTGCCAAGGTGCGGACCAAGGCTGGGAGTTGGGGTTTTTTTGTTGTTGTTGTTTTTTGTTTTTTGTTTGTTTTTATAAAATCAAACTATGGTAGGGTGTGGGTTCTTTTACTATCCTTGACACATTTTGATTCTCCGTTCTAATTCCCCCCTCCCCCACCTCCAAATATTGCCACAGGCCAGAAATATTGCCGTCTGCATCGAATTCAAAGATTCGGATGAGGAAGATGCTCAGCCCCTGAAGGTTTGTATTTGAACATGTTTGCATTCTCTGGGGGTTTTGGGTTTTTTTTTTTTCCCCTTCCTCTCCAAAAATGTGTTTGCCAGATTCTGCGCAACTCAGGAATGCAGCATGTTCTAATGGGCTTAACACAGAAGATGTCACATTGTACTATATGGCCACCCAGGATGTGGAATTAATGGGGCGGTTGATCCTGGCTGGTGATGTCTGTCTTGTTGTACAACAGAACAACGCCGTGTTCTGCGGATTGAGTACAGTAGCATAAGCTGCAGCTACGCTGTGCGTTGTACGGGTCTGATCTGGACGGTACAAGTGAAGATATTGGCAACTGAGGTCATGAAAACAGTAGTACCAGCCTGCTGGCATTCCTTTGACTTTTAGTGCGTAGTAATAGCAGCCTATTGATGTTTCAAAATTATTTGTTGAGAAAGAGAGTCTCCCTGGTAAAATCAGGGTTCAGAGATGGTATCGGACTGTGAAACGGAACAGCGGTATTCCCAGCAGCGGGGCTGTGTAGACGTGGAATATTGATGTTGGATGCTGTAGTGTGTTAGAATCACAGGTCCAGAGTCAGCTTTTTGGAACTTCGTCGTGGGTGTGAAATCCCTTTTGTTCTTACGACAGCCTTTGAAAGCAGGTGCTGTTCTGCACTTTTAAAAACCATTCCAGGGGACCATAGTTGGCAGCTCTGGGCTGGGGCCACCAAGCCACGCCCCTTGGTATTCACTGGCCATGTGGGACCATGATTCCTTCCCCCCTCCCCCCGGGGCCTGGCGCCCACTGTTGGACCTTGCGTTCAGGCCCCGGGGACTCCCACTCCCAAACTCAAAACCCTCCTTGTGTGTCTGTGAAAGAGATTCTGAGAAGGGAAGGGGCAAAAATGCAAAGAGAAACAGATTGATTTGGCACTTAAGTGTGGTGAGAAATACGCCATGGGTAGGGGAAGGGGAAGGAGCGCTGAGCATACAGAAGGGAATTTTTGGACAAAAGGAAAATTAGCGTAAATTGCTGAAGGGAGGTCATAAGTAAGGAAGTAATCCCAGTCCAGAACCAAATCTTCTCTGGAGGGGAGGGTGCCGGGAGGGAAGGGGGGAGGGAGAGGAGGGGAGGAGAAGGAAAGGGAAGGAAAGAGACTAGAAGGGGAGGGAAGGGAAGGGGAGGGGAGGGGAGGGGGAGAGAAAAGGGGGAAGGGAGGAGAAGGGAAGGAAGGAAGATGAGGGAAGGGGTGGGGAGGAGAGGAGAGAGGGAGAAAATGCAGGGAGGGGTGGGAAGGGAGGGGAAGGAGGAAAGATGAGGGGAGAGAAGGGAGGAGACTAGAGGAGAGGGGAGGGGAGGGAGAGAAGGAGGGAAGGAGGGGAGAGAAGGGAGGAGACTAGAGGAGAGGGGAGGGGAGGGGAGGGAGAGAAGGAGGGAAGGAGGGGAGAGGCGGGGCGAGTGCCCAGAGGAAGGAGCCAGTCTCTTCCTGGGGGAGGAATGAGCCAGCCACGCTCAGCAGTGGCATGGGGTGCAGGGTGTTATCCTGGGTTATGGGCTGGCGGGTGAGTGGCAGCCAGAGGGGCTTGCGGGTTAATTCCTCCTTCGCTAACGCAGGCCCCCTTTCCTTTGCACGTTCCAGTGCATTTACGGCCGGCCCGGTGGGCCCGTGTTCACGAGAAGCGCCCTGGCCGCCGTGTTACACCATCACCAGAACCCCGAGTTCTATGATGAGGTGAGTGGGTCTGAGGGAGAGCCCCGTTCCCTGGCTCGGCATGGAAGCCGTGCCCCCATCCTGTTTCTCCCTGCCGCCTGCGGTGCTGGCAAGGCCATCCCGAGGAGCGGTGCTGTCTGACTAGAGTTTGTGCCGCAGCCTGCCTTCTGATGACCGAGGCAGCCTGACCTTTGGAGAAGCAGAGCGTGGGGGTAGCGATGACCCAGCCATGAGCACCCTGGCACGGGCCCTTCCCACTCGTGTTTCACCTTGTCCCTCCCGGCGGGCCCAAGTCTCCTCCCTCCTGATCCAGGGGCGGCGGGTGCAGAATTCTAACGGCAGTTCATGCCAACTGCTTTGCGAATCCCCTTTCCCTGGCCCCAGCTGGCCTGGCATAGGCCCGGGAAGATGCCTCAGCCCCTGGTTGTGCCCACTTAGTGCTCGGGAGCCGGTGAGATGAGTTTTTTTTTTTTTTGGTTTGTTTGGGGGGTTTGGGTTTTTTTTTGCGGGGGAGGGATTTTGTTTGTTTTAGGGGTTTTGCTTTTTTGGGTCACACCCAGCAATGCTCAGGGGTTCCTCCTGGCTCTACACTCAAGAATCACTCCTGGCAGTGCTCGGGGGACCACATGGGATGCTGGGGATCGAACCGGGTCAGCCGCGTGCAAGGCAACCACCCTACCTATTGTCCTGTTGTTCCTGTCCCTCTTTTCCTCCCGCTTCTGGTCAGCCTCACTTCCCGTCCACTTGGGTTGGTGTAACCACGTGCTCAGGGCTCACCAGCAGCCACCAGTCTTCCTGGCTCAGGCCGGGCGGCTGCGTGTCCATGGTTGGGAGAAAGTTCTTTCCAGTCTTAAACTTCCCGCCAACACCTGCACAGACAGCATGTGTCTGTGACTCTGAGGTGGCTTCATGAAAGTGCTAGTCCTGCTCACGAGGGCCTTGCCTCCTCAGCCATCACCCTCACACTTACAGAATTTAAGGTGCAGATCGCATCTGTATGTTAAGAATCTTCTTCCTGGGCCCAAATGATAGTACAGCGAGGTTGGTGCCTGCCTTACATATAGCTGACCTGTGTCTGATCCCCAGTACCCTAGAGGGTCCCCCGAGCACTGTCAGGAATTATTCCTGAGTGCAGAGCCAGGAATGAGTCATGAGCACTGCCAGATGTGACCCCCAAAACCACCACCACCAAAAAAAAAAAAATCCAGAATCTTCTTCCTTAGCAACATTTGCAGTTTTGAATTTCTTTGACTGCAAAGTCCATCTGGGCCTGAGAACCAAAGGCGTTTGGTTCTCTCTGACTGCCCTATTGCATGACTGCTGCTTCGACCAAGAATTTGGGTTCTTGGTTTCTTGGTTGGTTGGTTTTTGTTTTGTTTTTTTTTGGTCATTGTGGAATATTGCAAGGGAGTGTTCTTTTGTCGGCCTGGCAGATCAAAATAGAGCTGCCCACCCAGCTGCATGAGAAACACCACCTGCTGTTCACCTTCTTCCACGTAAGCTGCGACAATTCCAACAAAGGGAGCACCAAAAAGAAGGACGTCGTTGAAACCCAAGGTGTGAAACCCCACATGCCCCAGACGGTGCCCTGGGTGCCCATGTTAGGCACTGGCCCTTGATTTGCAGTCCGAGTCCAGCTTCTGAGAGACTGTGACTTTTTACAAGAGCTAACTCGGGAAGTCCAACTCCAAAGGAGCCCTAGGACAGGGACCCCTAGACAGTGCTTTGCAGGGACCCCAGCCCCGTTCTCTCCGTGCCTGGCTGTGATTGACTGCATAGCTCTCAAGAGACCAGGCAGTATAGAAACACTGGACACTGATTTTCTGTGTCCCTTGTCATGGACATCCACCTTCTTCTCTGTCCTCCAACAGTTGGATACTCCTGGCTTCCTCTCCTGAAAGACGGACGGGTGGTGACCAGTGAGCAGCACACGCCCGTCTCGGCCAACCTCCCCGCCGGCTACCTCAGCTACCAGGAGCTCGGGATGGGCAGGGTAAGGCGCTTGCCTGTGGCTTCACCCCCGTTCCTCCCGACACTGTCCACTGTCACCCGTTGCCCACAGCAATGAAGAGGGTAGGCACGCAGAGTTCTCGCCATTCACAAGCCTGTCCCTTCAGCGATTCATCAGGCAGCCCCGTTTGCAGGGATCACCACCTCGAGGGGATCAGAGTTTGGCCACTTGTTTTCCCTGACTGGCCAGTGTCTCCCCACGGGGCGGAGAAGCTGGAGGCGCTAGAAGGGTCCAGGGTCACAGAGTGACCCACTCACAGATGAGCTTTCGGGTCTGTTCAGAATTCCAAAAGCTATTAGGTGTCGCCTTCAGCGTCATCAAAGTCTAGTAAGTAATTCTGTCACCAGGGTTGCATACGGCAGCAGGGACAGCACTTGCCTTGCACGCAGGCAACCCAGGTTCTGTTCCCGGCATCCCGTAGGATCCCCTGAGCACAGCCCAAAAAACTATTCCTGAGCGCAGAGTAGGAGTAAGCCCTGAGCATGGCCCAAAAGCTGAAAGGAAATCTATCACCTCCCCAGGCCCCACCCTAAGAGCTTTTTGATTCATTAACTCCAGAATTTTCTCATATTTCCCCAGTTTGTTGAACTTCCTTAAAAAAAAATAAAAATAAAAAACATCTTGGGCTGGAGTGATAATACAGGGGTGTTTTCCTTGCACATTGCCAACCCAAGTTTGATTCCCAGCATCCCATAGGGTCCCCTGAGCACCGCCAGGAGTAATTCCTGAGTACATGAGCCAGGAGTAACCCCTGAGCATCACCAGGTGTGACCCAAAAATAAAAAATAAATGAACAAATAAATAAACCATCCTAAAATACATAGACTTCATCCTATAGCCACCTTTGATGGTGTATTTCATTTTGTTTCAATGTTTTGGTTTTGGGTTTTGGGGACCACACCTCCTGGTGCCCCTCACCCCGACTATGCTTGTTGGGGTCCACTATTTTTGGAGGTGCTCAAGGAACCCTGTGTCTGCCAGGACTGTACCCAGGCCTCGGGCATGCAAGGCGTGTGCTCACCTGTCAAGTGCTCATTCCAGTTCATTTGGTTTTGAAGGGCTTCCCACTTTGTTCTGAGTGTAAATCATGCCAAATCAGGGGCACATTTAAGTCACACCAAATCTGGACCCCTGTTATGGGTGGATACTTAGGCATCTCCAAAATCATTTAAGAGGGCCAGAGCAGGTAGGGCATTTGCCTTGCACACGGCTGACCCAGGTTCAATCCCCCAGCGTACCATACGGTCCCCTGAGCACCTCCAGGGATAATTCCTGAGTGCAGAGCCAAGAGTAACCCCTGTGCATTGCCAAATATGATCCAAAAAGCCAACAACAACAACAAAAATCATTTAAGAGTCATAATTTCCAAAGTCCCCACGTGAGCAAACTGAGGTTTCCAGGATGGAAATGAGAACCAACTTGAGGCCCTCTACTCGTTGTCGGGGACTCTCTGCCTGTCTCCACCACCCGGCCCTGCACCCCGCTCTTTTGGTACCCTGTACTCTGGTCTGTATCAGTGATGAGTGAGGCACTTCCCCTCACCCTGGGACAGTACCTCGGGCAGCTGCCGGTGAGCCAGAAAGCTCCCGTCAAAGCCCGAGTCTGTTCCTACGCTAGAGTAGAGACTCCCAGTCTAGGGCTGAGAAGGGGGGCAGGACTTCAAGTCGGTAACATTGGCACCGTGAGGCAGCGCCTCCAAGATGGTTCCTTGTGCCAATGGTGTTGGGAGGTTACTAATCTGCTGGATGTTTTGTCTCCGTGTCTGTGCAGCATTGCGGCCCAGAGATCAAATGGGTGGACGGCAGCAAGCCTCTCCTGAAGGTGTCCACGCACCTGGTGTCCACTGTGTATACTCAGGTATGTGCCTTCAGGGAACAAGTGGCCACCACTCCGTGAAGGACATCACGTGGGAGTTTTTTAAAATTTGTTAATTTTTCTTCATCCGGAAAACATTTTTCCGTGATAAGAATCAAACACACAAGGAAATTCAGTTCTTTAAAATTAGTTGAAAGTTAAGTCTGGCATACAGTGGCTAGTTAGGCTCAGAGCCTCTTCAGAGTAACCCCAACATGTGGGATTTTTGTGACAGACCAGAATCCTAGCTGGTATGTTTGGATTTCTTTTGAGCCTGTGGGTTTATTTTCGCTCTGAAGACCCTCCCTTGAGGATGGAAGGTATATAGCAGGGGCCCGTGTGCACCACTGGCACTGCCAATAACTTTCCTCAGTGGTTTTCCTCTTTGTTGGAGGATCTTTGAAATCTTTTTCGTCTGTTTTCTTTTCGATAAGAATATATGGGACCGGGGCTGGAGTGATAGCACAGCGGGTAGGGCGTTTGCCTTGCACGCAACGAACATGGCCGACACAGGTTCGATTCCCAGCATCCCATATGGTCCCCGGAGCACCGCCAGGAGCAATTCCTGAGTGCATGAGCCAGGAGTAACCCCTGAGCATCGCCGGGTGTGACCCAAAAAGCAAAAAAAAAAAAAAAAAAAATGGGACCAGGGTGATAGTACAGTGGGCCTTTGCTTTGCATGTGGCCGACCCAGGTTCGATTTCCAGCATCCCATTTGGTCCCCTGAGCACTGCCAGGAGTGATTCCTGAGTGGAAAGCCAGCAGTAATCCCTGAGCATCACTGGGTGTGACCTGAAAAAAAAAAAAGAAGAGAATATATGAGCTGAGGGGCACGTGCGTGGATGACAAGCGTGCTTCCGCGGCACCTATGCTGATTGGCTCACTCTGCCTCTCCCTCTGCCCCTCCAGGACCAGCATTTACATAATTTCTTCCAGTACTGTCAGAAAACCGAGTCTGGAGCCCAAGCCTTGGGGAGTGAACTTGTCAAGTATCTTAAGGTACCAAAGCTCTTTCCAAGCCATTCCTGCCTCACCAGCTGGAGCCTGGGTGGGCTTTTCTCTGTTGGTGCTAAGTGTCCTTCTTCCATCCTGGAGGCCCTGCAAGGATGCTTCAGGCCCCTCTCACCTTAATGGTTTCAGGGGGTCTTTAGTGGCAAAGTCTTAGAACTTGTGCTCAGGGTCGGAGCAATAGCACAGCAGGAAGAGCGTTTGCCTTGCACGCAGCTAGCTGACCCGGGTTCAATCCCCAGCATCCCATATGGTCCCCCCAGCACCGCCAGGAATAATTTCTGAGTGCAGAGCCAGGAGTAACCCCTGAGCATCGCTGGGTGTGACCCCTCCAAAGAAAGCAAAAATATAATAATAATAATAATAATAATAATAATAATAATAAAAATCTAGTTCCATTAAAAAAAAATCATGCTCTTCCTGCCTTCCTCCTCCTGAGTTCTTGAGTCAAACCTATAGCATTTCTTCTCCACCCCCGGCCCCTGCAGACCCCTCCTCTCATGCATGTCGACAGTCCCTCCTACGATTGAGTGTCCACAGTGGGGGACAGAGGCCAGTCATGGGCCCAGGAGAAGGAAGTGAGGCCTGCCCACCCATAAAGCAGCTTCTGCTCGGGGTCAGCCGTCACCGGGACGGATGCCTGCTCATGGGCCAAAACTCCAACAGGAAAATCCTAAACACGGCGGGCTTAAGGAATCACCGTGGCTCTTGGCTCCCTGCACCCTCGCAAGCCATGGTGGCCCCCTTAAAGGGTCTTACCCAGAAGATGGTTTGGGAGAGAAGCCTTCTAGACCCAGGGACAGAGCTGAGACATATGGGAGGACTAGGAGCGCGTGGGAGGACACCCAGGGAAGGAAGGGCCTGCTCTGGGGAGTGACTCTTTGCCTTGGTTCCTGCCGGGTCTGGAGACGTGAGATCCTCAGAGCCTGGGGCCCGCTTGCCCTGGCCACCTGCATGGCGGGTCAGCACTCCTGTGTGGGTCAGCATCCTAGCCACATTCTCCCGGGGTCCCACGCCCGTGTAAGGTGCAGGTAGTGAGCGGGCTGCTCTGTGGGGCTGGTCTGGCTGGCTGCCCCGTCTCTGCTCCCCCGTGGGCCCCGGGATTCCAGGGGCGCGTCCAGACCCTCTGGAAGAGTCTCCCCATCTGGTTGCCATCTCATCACCCCCTTTCCTAACTCCGCCATGTCCCTGTCAGGTTCCAGGTGGGCAGGGCGGGGGGGGGGCGGTGGTCGGGGAGTGGACAGCGTGGCCCCAAGACTGGCTGCCTTCCACCCTCACGGGCTCCCCGTGGCAGGTGCTTGAAGCCAGGTCACTGTGGGCGAGGAAGATGATGGGGACTTTGGTTCCCGCCCGCAGAGCCTACATGCCATGGAGGGCCATGTGATGATCGCCTTCCTGCCCACCATCCTCAACCAGCTCTTCCGCGTCCTCACCAGGGCCACCCAGGAGGAAGTGGCTGTCAACGTGACCCGGTGCGAGAGAGCGGGGGTAGAGGGAGGGGTGCTGTGGGCCGACGCCCTCCAGTCCACTCACTCTGCGCATACACGGAGCACCGTGCTGGGAGCTGGGAGGGTGGGACAGTCACGGGGCATGTGATATTTAATGCGTTTCTTTGGACTCCAGCCCCCCAATCTAGTTTCTCAGTCCCAAGGGTGCTAGCCCTCTCGTCCTGGCTCCCCGGGCCTGGTATTTCAGGGTCTCCATTCCCGGGTCTGCTCATGACTCTTTGTTCACGTGGCCTGCAGGGTCATCATCCACGTGGTGGCACAGTGCCACGAGGAGGGGCTGGAGAGCCACTTGAGGACCTATGTTAAGGTACGTCAAACATATGTGCACATACACACACATACACACACACGCACACCCACCTTTCCTCTCCCCTATATTAAGGTAGTAAAACACACACACACACACACACACACACACACACACACACACACACACCCTCCTCTCCCCTATGTTAAGGTACGTCAAACACGCACACACACATACACACACACACACACACACTCCCTCTCCCCTATGTTATGGTATGCCAAACACACACACACACACACACACACACACACACACACACACATCCTCGTATCCCCTATGTTAAGGTACGTCAAACACGCACACACACACACACACACACACACACACACACACACTCCCTCCCTCTCCCCTATGTTAAGGTATGCCAAACACACACACACACACACACACACACACACACACCCTCACCCTCCTCTCCCCTATATTAAGGTACGCCAAACACATACATACACACACACACACACACCCTCCCTCTCCCCTATGTTAAGGTATGTCAAACACACACACACACACAGACACAGGGTCATCATCCACGTGGTATCACAGTGCCACGAGGAGTGGCTGGAGAACCACTTGAGGACCTGTGTTAAGGTATGTCAAACATATGCGCGTGTACACACACACATACACACACACACACACACAAACACTCCTCTCCCCTTCCCCCCAAGCCTCACAGACACATCGGTAGCTGCTCTGGTCTAAGTCTGGTGGCATGGGGCCTATGCTGTGGGGTGGACACTCACATCTCTGCTCCCTGGGCTCTGTGGCCCGGCCCCTGCCTGCACTGGGCGAGGAGAGGCCAGCAGGGCCCACTGTTTCTTTCATTCTCTCCGGGCCCCTCCTTCCTGCAGTGGGTTTTGCAGTAAAAGGTCACCCAGACAACATGGACAGTTTTTTGAAGTCCCTCTCCGCTCTGCCTCCAGCCTAGCGCTAAGTGTTTCTCGTTTCTACCGCGACTTTTGGCTCCATCAGATTAGCTCTAGTGCAGCAGGGAAAGTCAGTATTCTAAAGAACAGCGAGTTCTCCTTTATGTGGGGGTTTTGGGGGTTGTTTGGTTTGGGGGCCACGCCCAGCTGTGCTCAGGGCTTATCCTGGCTCTACACTCAGGGTTCTCTCCTGGTGGAGGGCTGAGGAACATGTCGGGTGCTGGGTATCTAGCCCAGGTCGGCCGCATGCCAGGCAAGTGCCCTACTCACTGTTCTTTCTCTCTGGTCTAAAGTCTTATTTCTTTTTGCTGTTGGGCATCGAACCCAGGGCCTCACATAGAGTTCTTCACTCGGGCCCCACGTTCAGCACCGCAACAGCAGCTCCTGTTCTCAAAAGCGAAGCATCTGCTGAACTGCAGTGATGGGTTCGGGTTCTGTAGGGTCTTAGTACCAGAGAACGCGTGTCCTCAGTCCCGGGGCAGCGGCCGTGCAGGCTGCAGGCCATTGGTTGAGCCAGCTGCCCCCCCCCCCGTCTCCTGGGCTCCCTCTCTCTGCTCCATGACACCCAGCCTTCCCGCCTTCTCTCTTTACCCTATCCTCTCCCCCTGGAAACTGTTCCTTGTTGCCTGAGCCCCAGCCTTGGTGTCTCTGCAGCTTTCAGACCACCTTGGAGAAGCAGCGCATTCAAGTGCCTTTCCCCAGGGGCCAGAGAGAAAGTACAGTGGGTAGGGCACTGGCTTTGCAGGTGGCCTGGCCCAGGTTCAATCCCAGCCCCCACGTAGGGTCCCCCGACCCCACCAGGCGTGATCCCTGAGCACCACTGGGTGTAACCCCCAAAGCAAACACACACAAAAATTGTAATTAAAATAATTTTTAATAAAATATAACAAAGCACACGTTTCCCTTTTCTTTAAAGTATGCTTATAAAGCTGAGCCTTATGTGGCTTCCGAGTATAAGACTGTCCATGAGGAGCTGACCAAGTCCATGACCACCATTCTCAAGCCTTCCGCCGACTTCCTCACCAGCAACAAACTGCTCAAGGTGTGTGTGTGTGTGTGTGTGTGTGTGTGTGTGTGTGTGTGTGCTTGTGTGTGCTTGTGTGTGCATGTGTATATGCATGTGTGTGCACGTGTGTGTGTGGGAGGCTAGAAGTGGGGAGGGGGAACCTCAGGGAGACTCTGGGGCATTGAGTCTGATCGAAGACACTTCCAGCCTTGTGGCCTGACCAGCCCACCTGTCCATGATGGACAGGGCCGCCCCCAGGGAAGGGCTGATGGCTCAGGTCTCTCTTCAGCACTGGCCTTGCTCCCAGTCTGCTCGGAGCTATGACTCGGTCCCGTGTCCTGGGCCGGGTATGGCGATTGGGCTCCCTTAGGCCGGGCATGGCTTGGAGGTGCCGGGCATTACTTGGGGCCTGGCCGTGCCTCCCGCTGGCATGGGCGAGAGTCTCCCCGGAGCTCAGTGCTCTGCTCCTCGCTTTTCTCCCCTTCTAGTATTCCTGGTTTTTCTTCGATGTTCTGATCAAATCCATGGCCCAGCATCTGATAGAGAACGGCAAAGTCAAGGTATGTGTCTGCCGGTCACACGGCCGTCGGGGAACTGCCTCCGCTGTCTTGAGGGGCCTTTGCTGTTTTCTGGCATCTCGCGCTCTCTAGCATAGAGTCTCCTCGTTTTTTCATGCTTCCTCCATGCCAGCCTCGGTGCTTTCCAACTGCCAAAGCTGTGAGGGGCAGTTCTGGTCTCAGTCCTCATCTCCCAGCTTAGGAAACTGAGGCCAGAGAGCCTTGGCTCTGCAGAACACTTAGGCATCAGTCTGGCGCCGGCTGGAACAATAGTACAGCAGGGCGGGTGCTTGCCTTGCACTCAGCCAAGCCAGGTTCGATCCCCAGCATCCCATATGGTCTCCTGAGCCCCACCAGGAGTGATTCCTGAGTGCAGAGCCAGGAGTAACCCCTGAGCATTGCCGGGTGTGACCCAAAAGCCAAAAAAAGAAAGGAAGAAAAGGAAAGGAAGGAAGGAAGAAAGCAAAGGGAAGGAAGGAAGGGAAGGAAGGAGGGAGGGGAAGCTGGAAGGGAAGGAAGGAAAAAAAGCAAAGGAAGAAACGAAGGAAGGGAGGGAAGGAAAGGAAGGAAAGAAGCAAAGGAAGGAAGGAAGGAAGGAAGGAAGGAAGGAAGGAAATAAATTGGGGGCTGGAACAGCAGGTAGGGTGTTTGCCTTGCACGCGGCCAACCTGGGTTCAATTTCTAGTGTCCCATATGTTCCCCTGAGCACCGGCAGGAGTAGTTCCTGAGTGCAGAGCCAGGAATAACCCCTGGGCATCACTGAGTGTGGCTCAAAAAGCAAAAAGAAATAAAGAAATCTGTCTCTGCGCGTTGGTCCTTCGGAAGCACTGTGGTGGGCAGGAGAGCTAGTACCAGGCTATGGCACAGACCTAGCATGTGGCTGACCCAAGATCCATCCCCAGCACCACATCTGGTCCTCTGAACCCCAAGAGTGATTCCTGAGCACCCTGGGTGTGGCCCAAAGGAAAAGAAAGGAAGAGATGGAAGGAAAGTCCTGTGTCATTAGAGCCAAAGGAGACGTTTTCTTTGACAAGCTCAGAAATCTCTGGTGTCTCTGCAACAGAACTTGGCAGTGGTGCTGTCGGTCCATTGAAACAGTTACTCCCTGGGCTTCCCCTGCCCTCGGGGGCAGAGACAGAAGCACTGAAGGTGACACCCTGGCCACTGAATAGACTCTGAGGTGCCTCAGTATCCCCCGCAGTACCTCCCCGCCATGATTCCTCTCTGTGACTTGACCGTCCCTTTGTTCCCTCTGATCCCTGCCGGGAGTGAACGGGTGGCTCTGTGTCCACAGCGCCAAGGCTGCCCGCCAGCAGCCGTTGGACTCTGTGTAGCTGGGATCCCGTGGGGCCATGCCTGGGTCCCTCTGCAGCGTGGGGCTCTGAACTTGCCTTCTGACTGCTGCTCCCTGGCGCCCCTCGCCCAGTCGCTGTCCCCAGTGAGGCTGGAGGGTGGGGGCCACCATGCAGGAGCTGCCTGCCCACCCTGCCCCCCCAGGAGGGAGCTGGTCAGGAACAGGTGGTCTCCTCTTAAATTCCGTTTCATTGCAGAGAAAGATGCCAGATGGAGGTGGGCGGGGGGGAGGGGCTCCTTCCTTCAGCGCCATCAGACTCGTGCCAGAGCAGCCCACTGAGGAAGCAGCCAACAGATTGTCTGCTTGGCAGGACGTGGTGGGGTGGGCCCACGTGGCCACATGCCCACGTGTCCCACACGCCCGCGCTCAGATGCACGTTTCTGTGCGTTTCCTTCCCCGTCAGCATTGTCACTCCAAGCCCACATGGAGTGCACCGGTCACCCCCGGCATTTCTTGGGAGTCTGTTGACACTGAGTGTGGGGGCCGGGGCAGGGGGGACGCAGGCTGTGGTACTGGAATATTGAGCGAGACTCCATCAGGAACTGTTACACAAAAAAGTAACAGCTAACTAAACCGAAGCTGATGTCTCTCTGTTTGGTTTGGTGTGGGGGCCATGCCCAATGTGACACAGGGCTGACTCCCAGCTCTGTGCTCAGGGCTCACTCCCAGCTCTGTGCTTAGGGCTCACTCCTGACTCTGCTCAGGGCTGACTCCCGGCTCTGTGCTCAGGGCTGACTCTCGGCTCTGTGCTCAGGGCTAACTCCAGGCTCTGTGCTCAGGGCTAACTCCAGGCTCTGTGCTCAGTGCTCACTCCCATCTCTAGGCTCAGGGTTCACTCCTGGCACTGTACTCAGGGCTCAACTGGGGTGTCAGGGATGGATCTCGGAGATAGAGCCAGGTCAGCCATGAGCAAGGCGAACACCCTGCCTGCCGTCGTCTCTCTGAGCCCCAGAGCTAATGTCTCTAAAGGGATCTGAGAGGCGCCCCACAAACACTCAGGGAGAATGCGTTCCCACACCGGTCCGTAGTACAACAGGGAGGGTACAGCCAACCCGGGTTCGATCCCCAACATCCCCTGAGCCTACCAGGAGTGATCCCTGAGCACAGAGCCAGGAGTACGCTCTGAGCACTGCTGGGGGTGGCCCATAAACAAACAACAACAGAAACTACCAAAAAGAGTGTGTTTGCTATCCCAAAGCACTACTCCCCATCCCATGCCCCTCTCCTCCCAGCCTGGAGAATCTCGGCCTCGTTGCTAACATCACTAACCTGGCCTGAGTCCTGCCTTAGTCTGACGCCTGGGCTTCATGCAGGGGGATGCAAGCGCTAGCAAACCTGCCCTGCCCTGGGGTGAGCGGAGAGATCCCTTCCTCTCGCCTATTTGCAGAACACAGGGCTTGGAACTGTGGTTTTCCTGGAAGGGATTCAGGGGTGAGTTCCGGCCTCACCCAGAGGCTGCAACTTGGGAGTGAAAGTAAGTGTCTGCGGTGGATCTTTTCAGTTACTGCGCAACCAGAGGTTTCCGGCCTCCTATCACCACGCCGTGGAAACGGTGGTGAACATGCTTATGCCGCACATCACCCAGAAGTTCCGCGATAACCCGGAGGCATCGAAGAATGCCAACCACAGCTTGGCCGTCTTTATCAAGGTGAGTCTCCCGACCCAGAAGTGATTGGATGGGTTCCCCCCACAACCCACACAACGTGTGTGTGTGTGTGTGTGTGTGTGTGTGTGTGTGTGTGTGTGTGTATCATAGCCTGGCTGTCCTCAACAAGGTAAGTCCCCCAACCTGGAAGTCATGGGTAGGATCCCCCCACCTCAATCTTCATCAAGGTGAATTTCCCCCGGAAGTGGTGGGTGCGTTCACCTCCAGTGTGTGTGTGTGAGCGTGTGTGTGTGTGTGTGTGTGTGTGTGTGTATTTTGTCCTGGCCATCTTCATCAAGGTGAGTCCCCTGATCCGGAAGTGATTGGGTAGATTCGCCCCACAACCTGCGAGGGGGGGTGTTGTATTTTGTTTCGTGGGTTTTCGGGCCACACCCAGCCAGACTCGGACCACTCTGGGTGGAGCTCAGGATTCCATGCCAGGGACTGAAGCTGAGCCCCTGGCAGCAGAACTTACTCTCCTGCCCTTTGGTTCGTCTCTGCAACCCAGCCCGGGCCCCAGGAAACGTCCTTGGTCGAGAATGCCTGGTGTATACAGTCCCCGCTATGTGTCTCACCCACAAGGTCCTCTCTGAGAGGTGTGTCCTTAAGTAGGTTGTTATATGCAGGTAACACCCAGGGTGGCCGCACAAACCACAATGGGACAGACTCTAGACACCTCGACTCTACAGCCCAGCTTGTTGGGTCGTCCCCACAGCTCCTCGTGGACCAAAACGGCCCTGAACATCCCAGACCCACTGTGGATGCTCCGTGTCATGTCAATGGCATGTTCTCATGCTGAGGAATACACTTACCGGGAAGACAGTACAGGGTTTAAGGTGCTGGCCTTGCACACGGCAGGTGCTGGTTCTGTTTCTGGGAGCCCTCTGGTTCCCTGCCCAAGCAGCACAGAGGATGGCCTTACCAACAATAAAGAAACTCACTATAATAAATACCAATTTGAACCCAATTTGGAAAAATGTTTAGGGGCCAGAGCAATAGTCCAGTGGGGAGAGCGCTTGCCCTGCATGCAGCTGATCCAGGTTCGATCCCTGGCACTCCATATGGTCCCCTGATCACTGCCAGGAGTGACCCCTGGGCTCAGAGCCAGAGTAAGCTTGAGCACTGCTGGGTGTGGCCCCCAAATGAAAAAGAAAAACTAGGGGAGAAAGTGAGTCGAAACTCATTCGTCCCTGCCTGCTTCCTCCCCAGCGATGTTTCACCTTCATGGACCGCGGCTTCGTCTTCAAACAGATCAACAACTACATCAGCTGCTTTGCGCCCGGAGACCCCAAGGTAGTTGATCTCACCGCCCCAACTCTGGAGAGGTGCCTTTTCCTCTCGGTTCATCTCAGAATTATTTTTAAGCTCACCCGTTCGTTCCGTGACTCAGCGGGACAAACCAGTACTCACTTGCTTTGTGGCGTGTGCAATAAGGGACACACACGGTCACTGCAAAGGCCAAATAAGCAGGCCTGCTGGTCAGTTCTCATGGTCATCTGGGTTTCTTGGCTGCTTTCCCAGTGCCTGTTCACCCTAGAACACGTTATTTCCCTTACTCATCTCTGTGTTTCTTTGCTGGCCTATTTCCACTCTGGAGAAGCCCATGTTGTCTCTTCAACACACACCTCTCCCTTTCTCTCCCCTCATATCTTTCTCAATAAATTTCAACAAAAGCCATCTTGCTTCACACACAAAAAGTTTAGAGAACAATTTCTTAACAAACAAATGGAAAGTGTATGTGTGTGGCATGGAATAGCCAGATGGCTCTCTCCATTTCTCTTGTGTGTGTCTGTGTTAAAACCTTCCTCTCTGTTTCACTGTTGTCGTTCTGACTGTCTATAAGTGCCAGGAATCTTCAACTGAAGTAGGAGGAACATGAATAATAAATGTCCTAAAAGTCAGTGGGGGACATTGTTTGAATGAACCGTGTTCTCAGTTTCAGCAGATCCCCGTGTTCTGAAATCTCTAATGTGTTTCCTTTGGTAGAGTTAAGAAACTAAAAGTGTGTGTGTATCATTGCATGGGCCTCCTTCGAGGCCATCTAACATGATCCAGAAGTTGGGTATTTAACTTGTCGTCAAATTCTTTTTTCCCTGCAGACCCTCTTTGAGTACAAGTTTGAGTTTCTCCGGGTGGTGTGTGACCACGAGCACTATATCCCTTTGAACTTGCCGATGCCATTTGGGAAAGGCAGGATTCAGAGGTACCAAGGTAATCCACCTGTCCCTCCGATTAATCTGGGGGTCTTTTCCCACAGAGGACCATGCATGTTTAAGGAGAAAAATGGTATCAGACAGAGCATGAGAACATTTTGATGCTTTTGATGGATGAATTCATGTATTTTCTCATAAAATGTCCATTTATATTGGCAGAATATTGCACAGGAGCTTTATGGCAAGCTGAGACAATAGGTCACTCCAGTGTCACTGTTGTTTTTTGTCAATTGTAAAGTTCCTTTTGTTTAAACACCAGAAATCTGTTTTACTTACCAGAGTTTATTTTTGCTTTCCTTTTCCTTTTCCTTTTTTTTCCCCCTTATGAATTAGCTTTTCTTTCACCATCTGTGGAGTCTGATGGCACTCCCGTAGGTAGGTTTGGGGGGAGGTGGGGGCAGCATTTGCTTCCTTGCATTCGCTTCCTTTGAGAGAAAAAAAAATGCAAGCCGCTTTCATCTGCCCTTCATTAAACTGTTTCCTGTACCCTTGGATCCGTTTGTGAGCTCGTGATAAACCAGTGATTTGCTCTCACTGGAGCTAAAACGTGGCTGGAAGCTCCAGGATGGGACCTGGAGTCTTGCTCCTGCAGTGACTGGGTCATGTAGGATGTGTCTTTCAGGAAAACGCACAGCAAGCCTAGCTTCGGACCCCCAGTGTGTGGTGCCGGCATTTCCTGAGCCCTGGCATAGTGCTCATGGGCGGCTGCCCACTTGCTTTCTGTGTTTGCGTGTTCCGTCTCCAGTACCCTCGTGTGCCCCAGCACCCCTGGAGGGAGCCGGGCCTGTTGGCAGCTCTGAGCCCAATCAGGTCAGACCATCAGCTCTGCCAAGGCCCTTGTTTTAAGTGCTTACGTGAACAGGAGCACAGAGGCAGCCTAACTTCCCACAGTGCTGATGTAACTGCCCCTGCGGTCCAGAAGAACATACAGAGGCCTTCACTGGGGCCAGAAATCCAGTTCCCCAAACACTCCCGCATGCTGTCAAGGAAGAAGGAAAAAGGAGGCAGGCAGAGGGAGGGGCTGCATGCTTGAAGCAGGAGGGCCTGGGTCCCTGCACATCTGCCTCACTCCAGGCTTGGTCAGAAGTCTTGCTCTCCCCCACCACACACACACACACACACACATACACACACACACACACACACACACAGTGACACTTTCAGACAGAGGGTCTATGAGATTCAGCCTGTAAACTGGCCCGAGTAAGCCAGGCTTAACCGCCATCAACTTTCTGATCATTCCAGAAAGAGCAGTGCCCTTTCCCTGGCTTCCGCTAAAAAGGGTTTCTGAGGACTTAGGGTAATAGGAAGTTAGAAGGCAAGACCTATAGCTCCCACCGCCCCCTCTCCTCCCCCAGTGGTAGCTTTGGTTTGAGAATTGGGGTCCCAGCTCCAGCAGATGTTTCCGCTTTCGAGGGAAGCTTACCCGTTCTGGTTCCTGCTCTCTCAGTGAGTTTATCTACTTCCAGGAGGGTTTGCAGTTGTTCATGTCGCTTGCTGATGGGCTTATGAGTTTGCTTCTGTGCTCTGTCCATTCTGGTTTTCGGTTGATGTTAGGTTTTATTTGCTTTTAGAAGTGCAGACATGGAAACATGTTTTTAAAATTCCACATCAAGTGCTCTGTTTAGTCATTGCAGAATAAAACTTGATTAGCTGCTAAATGGTGCATTTTTTAACACACTGGGTTTAATGGGTACTTGTAGGCATTAGAGATAAATGAACTCATGCAGTGAAGAGTAATTTACAGAAAATGTGTGCATATTTGTGTGTGTGTGAAGGTCAGACCGTGTGTGTGTGTGTGTGTGTGTGTGTGTGTGTGTGTGTGTGTGTGTAACATAGGGTGCTCAAGGAGGACCATGCAGGGAGTAAACTTGGGGTTCTCAGGAAAAGCATGTGCTCCAGCCCTTTGAACCCTCTCTCTGACTCAGAGTGGAACAATTTAGGATCCCCGTGTATCACGTATTCTTTCTTTAATGACTTATTTTTTTATTCAGCCATTACTTTTGTGGAATACAGTATTTTCCACTTTGACCTAATAATGAAATCACGTGTCATGTAACAAACACATCCTAATTCCCAAATGTCCAGTTCCACCACCATAAGCTAATAACCATCTAGGCTGTGGGGCGTCCTAGGATCAGACTCCAGCGTGCCTGTGTGCATTTCACGTGTGTCCTCGTGGAAGAGCCACGTGCATGGCAGGGCAGAGCAGTGTTTCAGCCACTGCCTCTCGGCGGGCAGAGGGTGGGTCTGCCCGGTGTCCCCTCATGGGCCACTGGCTAAGGAGCTCACCCCCTCTTCCGCCCTCAGACCTGCAGCTCGATTACTCCCTGACGGACGAGTTCTGCCGGAACCACTTCCTGGTGGGGCTGCTGCTTCGGGAGGTGGGCACGGCCCTTCGGGAGATGCGGGAGGTGCGCCTCATCGCCATCGGCGTGCTCAAGGGCCTGCTCATCAAGCACTCCTTCGACGACAGATACGGCTCCCGGGTAAGCGGGAGGGGCGGCTGCCAACACAACCTCAGTCCTGTGGGAGACACGGGAGGTGGGAGGTGGTGGGACCCACACGGCATGTGCGTGCGTGTGTGTGTGTGTGTGTGTGTGTACATGGGAGTGAGGGTTTGTATGTGTGTGCCTGTGTATATGTGTGTGTGCACTGAGTGTGTCTGGATGCATGAGTGTGTGTATGTGTGTCTGTTTATGTGTGCCTGTGTGTGCATCTGCGTTGTGTATGTTAATGTATACATATGTGTATATGTCAGTGTGTGTGCCTGTGTGTATGTACGTAAATGTCTATGTGTGTCTGTGTGTATGTGCATACGTGTATGTCTATGTATATGCCTCTATATGCATGCGTGTTATATGCATATGCCTATGTGTGTATGTATCCGTGTGTGTGTATGTAGGTGTGTCTATGTGCATGTGTATACGTGTGTATATGTCTGTGCATATGCCTCTATGTGCATGTGTATATGCCTGTATGTGCATGTGTATGTGTGTATATGTGTATATGTCTATGTGTGTGCATGTGTATATGTATATGCTTCTGTGTGCATGCGTGTATGCCTGTATGTGCATGTGTATGTGTATGTCTGTGTGTGCATGTGTTCGTGTGTATGTGTATATATCTGTGTATATGCCTCTGTGCATGTGTGTATATGTCTATATGTATATGCCTGTGTGTAAATACAGGTGTATGTGTGTATGTCTGCATGTCTGTATGCATGTCTGTATGCCTGTGTGTGCATGCTTATGTGTATATTTCTGTGTGTCTGTGTGCATGTGTGTATGTGTGTATGCATGTGTGTGCATGTGTATGTACATATATGTGTATATATATGTGTGTATATATCTGTGTATATGCCTCTGTGTGGATGTGTGTATATGTCTGTTTGTATGCCTGTGTGTGAATGTGTGTATGTGTGTTTATGTCTATCTGTGTGTCTGTGTGCATATGTCTGTATGTGTATGTGTGTGTATGCCTCTGTGTGAATGTGTGCATGTGAGAGTTTGTGTGTCTGTGCACACGTGTGGGTGCAGGTCCGCACCAACCCTGGCTGACCGTGTGTCCCATGTGCTTGTTTCAGAGCCACCAGGCACGGATCGCCACACTCTACCTGCCTCTGTTTGGCCTGCTGACAGAGAATGTCCAGCGTGTCAATGTGCGGGATGTGTGCCCTTTCCCCGTGAACCCCGGCAGTGTACGTAGCCGCGCTGGCGGGACACGCTCCTGCAGCTACTCCATTTCTGGGGCTGACCTGTAGCTCCAGGGCCCAGGAGGGAGGGGGTCGCCCTTCTGCAGGTTCTGGGCACTCTCCGTGCTCTGGGGCACTCAACCAAGCCCTCCCCTCCCGCTGTGGCCTGTCTTCTGCCTCCAGAATGACCAGTGGTGGGGTGGGGACCATGTCATTGCCTTACACCCTAATTCCATCTCCGAAGACCCTGTTTCTGGGTGGGATCCTGTTCTGAGGCTCTGATTAGACAGAAATTGGGAGTGGGGAGATGTTATTCAGTTCAGTACATGCCCTTCTCTCTTTCGTCACTGAAACCATCATCATTCACAGTTCTCTTAGGGAAATTACATTTCTAGCTCAGATGAGATCAGTCAGGAAACTTTCAGCACTTGTCAGAAAGTGTCTAAAAGAAAAAAGAAAGAACTTGCTTTTCTGAATGGCCAGAAGTTTGTAAGACCCCAATACCTTCTTTCTGTATTCACCATAAATTTGGGGGTGCAGAATGATAGTATAGTGGGTAGGGCACTTGCTTTACACGCGCCAACCCAGGTTCAATCTCCAGCACCATTTAGGGTCCCCCAACACCCCCCCTCCACACACACACATACACACACACACACACACACCAGGAGTGGTGCCTGAGCACAGAGCCAGGAGAAATCTCCAAGCACCACTGGATATTCCCCCCCAAATAAATTGGGGGGGGGGAGAAGCTATTTATCAATGGGGTGGTTCTGAACCGCATGCTTAGAGTGCAGTGTGACCCCAGGGTCGGCGATAGCATGTTCCACTTGGGCTTTGGAAGAGACGCTCTTTGGGCTAAAGTCTCCTTGTCAAATTAGAAAGTCAAGTTGGACACCAGGTAGGCCGAGGGGACTGACCCCTGTAAGAATCGATCACCCAATCTATGTTATCTTTGGAGTTCTTTTTAAAGTGTGTTGGAAAGTTAAGTTGACAAGGGAAGATCCCAGAAATTCATCTCTGAGCCTCTTTGATGGAGACAGAAGTTTCCAGCCCAGAGCTCCTTTACACTCCTTTAATCCAGGCGTCTGTCTCATCGCTGTTGGTGACAGCGGGCTCTGGGGCCACCTCCCATGTGCTGCTGTCCTTTACCCGACCCCAGGTCCCATATACACCCTCTGTCTCCCCAAACATGTCTCCCTGGTAACGGCGGCAGGACCAGGCTGCTTTGAGAGTGTTTCCGCCTTGCAGAGGGCATCAGCGTGCTCCGTTTCAAATCTCAGCGCGTGGTCCTGGACTGAGTTGCCATCCCCCACCTGCATTCCCTGACGCTGTCAGCTTTGCTGCCAGGAATCATCCCGGGGCACAGGGCTGCCTCACCTTGATCATGAAAACAAATGAGCACGAACCCACGTGAAATGCCTTTTCCATGGGCACATGGTGCAAACCTGCATCACCTCCCCACGGATGGTGCATTCATGGGGCTATGTCTGCTCGTCCAGGGCTGGGGGGCTTCCAGCGTGGGAGACAGTTGGTGTTCCGGTGAGCAAGAGCACTCAAGGTTCCTCAGGGCAAAAGAGAATCCCGAAATAAGCTCGAGACATGGGCTAGAACGATAGCACAGCAGGTAGGGCGTTTGCCTTGCACGTGGATGACCCGGGTTCAATCTCCAGTATCCCGTATGGTCCCCCAAGCACTTCCAGGAGTAACTCCTGAGTGCAGAGCCAGGAGTAAACCCTGAACATCACTGGGTATGACCCAAAAAGAAAAAAGAAATCAAGACATGTTACAGTTCCAGGGGTCTAGGAAGGACCAGGTGCTGGAGTTTCCAGGGAAACAGGAAGTGTGCCTGACTCAGGCCCAGCTCTGTGCCCTGGCACTGCTGAACCGTTCTTAAACCCTCTCTCCCTTTGTCTCTCTCTTTCCCCACGGTCAGACGGTGAAGGAAGAAGCCCTGGGCTTGCCTGTGGTCACCCCACTGGTGACGCCGCAGAAGTCGGGAGGCACGCTGGACGCCAGCCTGCACAAGGACCTGTTCGGGGCCATCTCTGGCATCGGTATGCACACAACCTTCGCTGCGTCTCCCTGGTGCAGCTGGGAATCGCATCCTGGCTAACCTCCCGAACCTTCAGATCAAGAGTCTGAACCCCAGGGGCCGGAGACAGAGCACAGCAGGGAGAGCGTTTGCCTTGCACATGGCCTACCCGAGTCCAATCCCCGGCATCCCAAAGCGTCCCCCGAGCATCACCAGGAGTAATTTCTAAGTGCAGAGCCAGGAGTGACCCCTGAGCATAGCTGGGAGTGACCTAAAAAAGCAAAAAACAAAAAAAAAAAAATACAAAAAAAGAGAGAGTCTGGAGCCCAGGGAGATGGTGCCCGGGCAGACATGCGGGCTTTGCGTGAAGAACGCCCCTCCCTGGTCAGCCTGGTCCCCCCTAACAGCACCAGAAGCAACCCTCCAGCACCTAACTGGAGGTGGCCCAAAAAAAAACAAGAGAAAAAAAAAAGGTGGGATGGGGGGAAGTTGGGGGGGAGTTGAGAGAGTCTAGCGGGTAAGGCACAGGCCTTGCCCACAGCTGACCCAGGTTTGATCCCGGCACTGCAGGCTGAGCGCCTCCAGGAGTGCTCCCTGAGCACAGAGCCACAAGTCATTCCCGACCACAGCTGTCTGTGGCCCCAGGTCAAAAGGGGGAAAAAAAAGTTTGAAGCAAATGTTACCCAAATTATTTGGCTGACTGCCCCCTTTTAGCACAGCAGTAGGGCGTTTGCCTTGCATGCAGCCAACCTGGCCGACCTGAGTTCGATTCCTCCGCCCTTCTTGGAGAGCCCGGCAAGCTACCGAGAGTATCTCGCCCGCGCGGCAAAGCCTGGCAAGCTCCCCGTGGCGTATTCGATATGCCCAAAACAGTAACAACAAGTCTCACGATGGAGACGTTACTGGGCCCACTCGAGCAAATCGATGAACAACGGGAGGACCATGACCATGACTGCCCCCTTTTCAGGGGGGTGAGGTGGTAGGGGAAATCACTCAGAAATCTACCTTCTTGAAGCAAGCAGATGGAAAGGGACCCCCAAGCAGTCCACTGCCCCCGAGGCTTCTCCAGCCCAGAGGATTCGTTCCAGCACCATCCAGGGGGACGGTTTCCCCTGCTTTGGGAAAAGCTGATAAAGTGCTTTGAGTATTCAATTTCTGCCTCTTGAGTTGGGGACACCCCATTCCGCTCTACCCTGAAAAAAAATGACCCCCAGCTCCCGGGAGTTCTGAACACCATGCACTTCATCACATGTGTGTAGGGTTTGTTTAGTGGTTTTGAGTTAATTTATCGCCCTCAGAGCTCAGATCCGGTTATTTTTGCTTTTAACAGAGTCTTTGCAGGTGTGTGTGGGGGGAAGTTGGGAGAGGCACGTAAGAATGTAGCTGTGGCTAACGATGTGGAGGATGGGAGACAGAGGGATTCCTGAAGGGAGGCTGGGGCTGGGTGCTAGTCTGCAACTCCAAAGATCGGCTCCCGAAGCCTTTCCTGGAACATTTTCCCTGTGTGACATAATGTAAGCACAGCCCCGCAGGGCGGATAACAGATGGCATAAATCAGGACGCTGTTAGAGGCGTCTCTGCCGCAGATAATGCCTGAGAAATGCACTTATTAATTCTGTAGCTCACTGAACCTGGGTGTCAGCTCCTGCACAGATAATGGTGCAAAAAATATATTTATAATATAACTACATATGTATAATGTATTTTATGTATATATAATTATATGTATTTTATATTACGTGTAAAAATTGTTGACATATATATATATTGAACTGTCCTCAACATTCATAGCTGCGTCTCTCTGCCTCCTCTTTAATACACAATATGCATAAATGAAGCATCTGGGCCCAGAGTGATACTGTAGCAGGGAGGGCATTTGCCTGGCATATGACTGATCCAGGTTCAATCTCCAGCATCCCATGTGGTTCCCCGAGCACCGCCAGGAGTAACCCCTGAGCATAGCCAGGTGTGACACCAAAACCAAGCACTGTAGCACTGTCTTCTCGCTGTTCATCGATTTGCTCAAGCAGGTACCAGTAACGTCTCCATTGTGAGACTTGTTACTGTTTTTGGCATATAGAATGCATCAAGGCTCTGCCGTGTGGGCGGAATACTCTCGATAGCTTGCTGGGCTCTCCAAAAGGGACAGAGGAATTGAACCTGAGTCGGCCACATGCAAGGCAAATGCCCTATCTGCTGTGCTATTGTTCCAGCCCACCCCAAAACCAAATCAAACCAAAAAAAGTCATCCTTCTGGGTGGGATTGGGCTTTGGCCCTCTCAGGAAATGGGGTGAGCTTGTGGACGGAACTAAGGACTGGCCTTCTCTCACACTGGCAGGACGATGGTTCATTCTGCATTGATGTCCTTGCCCTTGGTGGTATTCCTTTTTGGGTATTTTTTTTTAAGAACTGTGATTTACAAAACTGTTGACAGTTGTACCGTACTGTCCTTCCGTTGTTCATCGATTTGCTTGAGCGGGCCCAGTAACATCTCCATCGTGAGACTTGTTATTGCTGTGTTTGGCATATTGAATACATCACGGGTAGCTTGCCAGGCTTTGCCGTGCAGGCGAGATGCTCTCGGTAGCTTTCTGGGCTCTCCGAGAGGGGCGGAAGAATCGAACTCAGGTCAGCTGCATGGGCCGTGTGCAAGGCAAATGTCCTACTGCTGTGCTGTCACTCCAGCTGATTGACAGTTGAGTTTTAGGAATATAATATTTCAACCCCAGTTCCACCACCAGTGTCCACTTCCCCCAACAGTGTCCCCTGATTCCCTGCCCGCCCATCCCCGCCCGCCAGCCTGACAGGCACATTATAAAGTTCTGTTGGTTGCCTCTTCACTCTCGTGCTCTCAGTGCTGGTAAGTCTGTGTCTGGATGATGGTATGTTAGACCACTCACATCACCAGTGTAACTGGAGCCTGGAGCTCGCTCACCCACCACTTCCCACTCTCTTCTTCCGCCCTTGTTTGCTTTCCTTCTCTTTCCTCTCTAAACGCTGGGATCAAGAGTGACCTGGTCACCCTGCTTGACAACAGTCCATTTCCTTACCCAGTATTCCCTCTACCACAGCTACGTGAGACCATCCGTTTGTCTTTCTTCCTCTGGCTCCCTTCACTTAGCACGGCCTCTTCCCGTTGCCCAGATAGCAGCGGATTGCACGATCCCATCACCCCCTGCAGTCGCCGAGCATGCTCCTTGGCATAGATGCTAACACAGGGCAGGAGGTGTCACAGGAACCCCCCCCCCCTCCAGCCATGCCCCAGTGCATCCTGCAGCCTCAGCCATCAACCCTCACCTTACGCCCCTGTCTATTTTTCTGGTTAAACTGACCTCACTGGAGCTGGAGTGATAGCAGCGGGTAGGGCGTTTGCCTTGCACGCGGCCGACCCAGGTTCGATTCCCAGCATCCCATATGATCCCCCGAGCACCGCCAGGAGTAATTCCTGTGTGCAGAGCCAGGAGTAACTCCTGTGCATCACCAGGTGTGACCCAGAAAGCAGACACTGTAAAACACTGTCCTTCCGTCGTTCATCGATTTGCTCGAGCGGGCCCACTAACGTCTCCAGTTTTGAGACTTGTTGTTACTATGTTTGGCATATTGAATACGTCACAGGTAGCTTGCCAGGCTTTGCCACGCGGGTGAGATACTCTCGGTAGCTTGCCGGGCTCTCCGAGAGGAAAATAAAAGTAAATTAATAAACCGACCCCATTTGGAATCGTAAAGATGAACTTCGCTCCTCTGTGCTCAGTGTGGAGCCTGATGACCCGTTTGCTAGTCTCCTGGAGCCCCATTGGGCCCGCTGGTCCAGCTGCTGCCCAGGAACCAGGGAGCAGGCTGGTCTCACCAACTGCCACTGCCATGGTCCCTGCTCTTCATCCTCAGTGCCCCATCTGCAAAGCTGGGCTCCTTAAGCGTCCTCCGCATTTCCTTCTGGATGCCCTGTCCGAGAGGTGACTGGTCATTCCGGGCTGAGGGCAGCCGTCCTTGCTCTCCTAGCGTGCTGGGGTTTGCGTTTGCTCCCGTTGTGCCTTTAGCACCCCGGACATGCTGTGTGTCGTTGTATGGCTGGGTGTTGAGAGTCAGGATGTCGCTGTGACTTCTCTGTGAGACACAGTGAAGTGAGGGAATGCTCCAGGGGCCAAATGATGCCCTTCTGCCTGTAGCTTCCGAGCTCTCTCGTCTCTAAGTCCTGAGTCTGAGCAGGGGCTCTCAGCACAGTGCTCGTATTACTCAACCACAGCCTAACAAGCACAATTCGTGTTTTGTGTTGTAAGGTTGTGGGAGGGGGCACATCCAGGAATGTTCAGGGCTGACTCCTGGCTCTGTGCTCGGGGCCATGCTGGGGAACAGGGGCCATAGCTGGTGCTGGGGGTTGAACCCTGGTCAGCCACGTGTACAACAAACACCCTACCCACTGTCCTGTCGCTCCAGCCCCCCACCTAACCGGCACGGCTCTGTACCATTATTTATGTTTGGTCAGTTCCTGAGTCCCGAAGCCTAGGAAATGTGCTGGAGTCATAACTCTCTGGCTGCCCGCTGCAAGTCCTGGCCTGGAGAGCCCTGGGGGGAATGGGACGCTTGGACCATCTGACTCTGAACTCAGCAGCCTCGGCATTAGAGCCCGGAGGCCGGGTGACAGGGCACAACTTGGCTGCCTGAACAGCCTCTGTGCTGCGTTGGTGTTGAAGTCACGAAAAGTCTTTAGGACAGATTGGATCCTCCCTCACTCGCTGGTTTCTCAGATCTGCATCCACTCCCATAAGGACTCATCACAACAGACTTGAGCCACACCCAGAAGTGCCGTGGGCTTCCTCCTGGCTCTGCACTCGGGATCACCCCTCACAGGCTCAGGGGACCCTCTGGTGTGCCAGGGGTCAGCCCAAGTCAGCCGCGGGCGAGGCAGTTACCCACTCCTGTTGTATGGCTCCAGCCCCCACCACAGACTTTTTAATTCTCTGACTTGGGGTGCGTTTTCTTCCTTCTTTAGGGGTGCCTTTTCAGGCCTTGGGGGGTCCTTGGTAGTTTCCTAGTGGCATTATCAGCTCCCTGATCCCTCACAGTTTCCAGTAAATTTCTGTTTCTGTGCTTGTCAAGAGCAGACCATCCCCTTGCGTTTCTGGAAGGAATTTCTTTTCTACACATAGTCAGAAGACACTTCAAATTTTTTGAGTTTTTGTTTTCATGCGGTATATGAAAGGTTTTTCTTTTAATTTATTGTGGGTTTTTTTTGTTGTTTTTATTTATTTATTTTGAGGAATGGAGGTTTGGGCCACAGCCAGCTTTGTTCAGGGGCTACTCCTGGTTCTGTGCTCAAGGATCACCCCTGGCAGTGTTTGTGGGGGACGGTATGTGGTTCTGGGGATCTAACTGGGGTTGGCCACATACACGGCAAACACCCTTACCTTCTATACCATCTTCCAACCCTGGTGCATGAAAATTTCTAAAACGGCCTGAGTGCGTGGACAGAAACTGTTTGATACTGCATTTGTGCTTAAAGACTCTTGTTCCAGTGACTCTGCTCTTCATTTGGTTGTCAGCCACGGGGAGAGAAGAACCAAACATTTCTTCATCTTACACACTTGTTAAATTTTTTTTAGTTAGTCACTGGATGTGAAACACTCCCGGGGGCATAGTTTTAAGCAGATTGATTAAGATAGATTGCATTTCCATCTGTTGCCTTAGATTAGAACTCTATTTCTGGAATCAAGCCTAAAATGGTGATAATTTGGGATCTAATTTTACTTTACCACGGCCCTACTTCTCTTGATCTCTATGCACTCAATTAAATATGAGATCTAGCTATATGAGAAAGGCTATAATTATAATCTGGACATAATATTTTTACCTCTCCGGGTACCAAAAAGGGCTCATAGATTTTTTCATAGGATTTTCACCTTCGCCTATTAACAGCTGGTCACACGGTTTCTATTTTGGGAAGACCGACCTCTGACCCCTAGTTTCATCCTTCTCTTACATTTTGAAGTTCCTCTGACTCTTTTTTTTTCTTTTTTTGCTTTTCGGGTCACACCCGGCAGTGCACAAGCGTTACTCCTGGCTCTGCACTCAGGAATTACTCCTGGCGGCGCTCAGGGGACCATATGGGATGCTGGGAATCGAACCTGGGTCAGCCGTGTACAAGGCAAATGCCCTACCCGCTGTGCTATCACTCCAGTCCCAAAGTTCCTCTGACTCTTGTCAATCCTGAGACACTGAGTCGGTGGTGGGTAGGGGGTTGGGATTAACTTCAATATATGTAGCTTGGCCAGGAGAACTGTGCTTAGAGACTGCTGGAACACACTGGAATATTCTGGACTATTCTGGACCATGGAACTCAGTGCTGGAACATTGTGCCATTCTGCACCGTCCACCGCCCACCCACCCCCTCTGGCCTTCCAGCTGGTGGGTGTGCTGTTAGTGTCCCACAATATGCGAACTGGAGAGTCCTTTGTAATTAAGTGTTTTACTGAAATCGTCTCTAAGCAGGAAGTTGACTCACATCTTTTCAAATCCAGTATGAGGTGGGCTACCAATCTGTTTCTACCTTCAAGTGCTGTTCCGTGAGCAGGTCGCGGATTTGCGTCCAAGTTGGATATCCTTTCTGCTGTGACTGTTTATGGCTGAGAGTCCCGGACTGCTGAGCTCAGTGGCTTGCATTTATTGGCAATTTCGTTTTCTTGTGGCAGTTCCCATGGAGGCCATTACTGTCGGTAATATGTGTTAGGTCCTGGGGGGCCACATAACATGATCCCCGCTAAGCCATTGGGAACAGATACATAAATTCAGGGGGAGGAAAACACACCTGCTTTCTTTCCCACAACTGCATCTCTTATGGATGTGGCGTGAGTGACTCTTGGGGACCGCACGCAGCCGAGTGCTGGGACCTGGGCTTCCCATCACCTTCAGTCGTTCCCTGCCCCACTCTGAACTGGCCAGTTGCTTTGTACCCCAGAGCCCACCAGAGAGACAGTGCCACGGTGATCTGATATCCCAGGAGGCAGGCGGGATGGATGGGCACCGGAAGGCAGAGTCCCACAGATGCCAGGACCCCTCCTGCCTGCCTCGAAAATGCCGAATGTTCTGGGGAATCTTCCCTCTTCCTAGAGCGCCTCAGTGGACAGTTTAAGCACGATGAGCTATTGCAGAATTGCCATCATTGTTTTATTTGAAGGGTGATGGATGGATTTGACATTTTTTTAGAGTTTTCTTTTTTTGTCATTTTGGGTCACACCTGGCTACGCTCAGGGGTCACTCCTGACTCTGCACTCAGGAATTACTCCTGGCTTTGTCGGGTGGGGGTCCCCTATGGGATGCTGGGGATCGAACCCAGGTCAGTTGCATGTAAAACAAATGCCCTCCCTGCTGTACTATTGCACTGGCCCCTTAGATTTTTTTCAGAAAGTCTTTGTTCTTTCCCATTCTAAAGCTGTCCCTTTAGTCTAAGCCATCCCAGGTGCTTTCTCACAATGATTTGATGATTACACCTGAATGTTTTATCATGGGGCCATTGGATCGGGGCCACACCAGCTGGTGCTCAGGGCTTTCTCCTGGCTCTGTGCTCAGGGGTCACTCCTGGAGGTACTGGGGGCCCCTCGGCGGTGCCCAGGACGGCATCTGGGTTGATCCCGTACCAGGCAATCACCTTCCCCGCCGTCCTGTCTCTCCCGCCCTCAAGGTCATATTTTCTCTCGTTCGGATCTGACCTGACCCTGTCAAGGGAAGTGACCGCCCGGAACTCGGGAGGCAGCATTGCAGTGGAGGCGTACCTGGCAGAGAGCAGTTAGTTCCTTCCTGGGGTGACCCTCGTGTGACTCTCTTCTTTCTCACCAACTCTGCTGTCTCTCCGCCTAGCATCCCCATACACGGCATCCACGCCCAACATCCACAGCGTGCGCAATGCTGACTCCCGGGGCTCCCTCATCAGCACGGACTCGGGGAGCAGCCTCCCAGAGAGGGCCAGTGACAGGAGCGGCTCCCTGGACAAGGTACGGGGGGGAGGGTCCTGGCGGGTCCCAAACAAACAGCTCCCACGCTTGGCTTATTACCTGCGTCTTTGAAAGGACTCGCAGATGTGGCCAAGGTGTGCGGTGCAAGTTGCTGTCTAACGGGGAGGGAGGGAGTAAATTTCTCTGATCCCGCTGCCTGGCTCCTGCACCCAGGATTTCAGATCAGGACAGTGTTTAGAGTGGGGCCCCTCCCTTGAGTGAGTGGTTGTGGCAAGTTTGACAGCTGGAGAAAATATCACTGAGGGGCCAGCACGATAGTACAAGGAGGAAGACGTTTGTCTTGCATGTGCTGACCTGGGTTCGATCCCTGGCATCCCGTATGCCCCTAGTACTGCCAGGAGTATTTCCTGGGTCTAGCACCAGGAGGAACCCCTGAGCACTGCCAGGTGTGGCCCCAGAGCAGTCATTGGTTGTTCTTACCTGGGCCACTGTTTCCCTTGATGAGTTCCCGATTGGTGAGCAGGTAAGAATCAAACCTGGGGCCATGGGCCCGGGAGGTGTCCAGCGCTCAGGCTCATTCCCAGCACGTGCCAGACTCGGGTTAGACCCCCCAATACCATGCAACCCCTCGCTCTGCACCCCAGCACTGTTGGATGCAGCTAGGAGATCCCCAAGCACTGCCGGGAGGGGGGTGTGGCCTGGGCAACTCCCAGCACCGTATCCTGGGCCCTTGCTTTGACCCGCCAGCCTAGTTGGCTGAGAATCACCAGTAGAGCCCCTGGTCTTCCCAAGCACCACCTGGGAGCATCCCCCAAAATAAATAATTCTGGAACCAGAGAAGTTGGTGGGAGCCAGAACTGTAGTACAGTGGTCAAGTGCTTGTCTTGCAGGCAGCCGACCCAGGTTCGATCCCCGGCATATCCCATATGGTCCCCTGAGCCCTGCCAGGAGTGATTCCTGAGTGCAGAGCCAGGAGGAACCCCTGAGCATTACCGGGTGTGACCCCCCAGACAGTCACGGGTGGTTCTCACCTGGGCCAGTGTTCCCCTCGTGGGTTCCCATTGCGGGCAGGGAACACCCCCCTGAGTGCTCCTGAGTTCTCAGAACCATGCAGGGCACCCCAGCCCCGCCGTGATGCCGATCCCCACCCCCTCTGCCTGCCATCCTTCCTGCGCAGAGGGAGAAGCCGACCCGAAGGCACTCGGCGTGTGTGGCGCGCCCTGCCGTGGAGGACGAGAGCTGCCCGCCTGCCAGGAGCAACCGGGTCACTCTGGACTTGTCCCTCCTCTCCGTGCCCCCTCTGCCGGAGGAGCCCCCGCATGCCACGCCACCCCTCCCGCCACCAGTCACCCCGCGACTTCCCCGCGCCTTGGCGGATGTGGGTGGATGAGAGGGTGCCCCCCACCCCACAGCTTTGCCATGAAGCTCACTCCACCTTCCAGAAACCCAAAGAGACAGCACAGGGGCGAAGGTGCAGCCCACACTGGGGCAATTCTCAGCATCACAGATGGGGGGCCAAAAAGATAGTTCAGTGGTTAGGGCACTTGTCTGGCATGCAAGCCCTACCTGGGGTTCACTCCCCCAGTACCACATAACGGTCCCCCGAGCCCCTCCAGGAGTAAACCTCTGAGCACCGCAGGGCGTGACACCCCCACTCATCCCCCCATAAAATGACTCAGGTGTTGTGTTCAGGAACACACCTTCATCACCCACGGGCTTCTGAGCCAACGTGCTTCACTTCACCCTCCTTCCAGTTTGATTCTGGCAGAATGGCTTTCCTGATTTCCATGGATAAGCTGATGTTGAGAATAATTTTTTAAATTTTTTCCAACAGTTTTAATCTCAGTTCGATTCTGATGTCACTTTTCTTTTTTATGGGACCACTAGGTGCTGGCTAGTGGCAAAGCTGCTCCCCACTCGCCCGCACCCCCTTTCCTGTGTTTGCAGTGATGTTGGTGTTGGAATGACCCCAGGGGTTGAGTCTTGAGTGCCGTGCCCTGCTGCCCCCTGCTGCCACCCCCACTCAGTGCCAGCAGAGAGCAGAGATGGCACAGGAGATCCCCAGCTGTCCCCCGCTCACTTCCTGCGGCAGGGGTGGCAGTGGGTGTGCCGTGACCTCCCTCTCTTTCGTTTGACCTTCTCCTGCACCTTTCCTGTGGGAGGCTTCCTGGGCGTCTCTGAACCTCGCCGGAGACGCAGTGGGAGGTTCCTCGGACAGGACAGTGCTTCCTGCCGGTCCTGAGCTCTGGGGAAACCCCGGGTGCGACTGGCCACGGGTTCCCGTCACATGTGGACACTGCATCTCACAGTGCCCGTGGCTCCATTCTGAGGCTCGCTCTGTCTCGTCCGAGGAGGGTCAGTGACCAGTCTGAGCTGGCCCAGGCTGGAAAGAGAGGGTCACCCCCTGTCCCTATTGTTTTCAGCACCAACAAGGCGGCACTTTGGGGAACTCCATGGCGCGCTGTGACAAACTGGACCAGTCTGAGATCAAGAGCCTGCTCATGTGCTTCCTGTACGTCTTAAAGAGCATGTCCGACGGTGGGTACCACAGCCGCCCCATGCCTCCCTCATTCGGGCACTTGGCTTTCTGTTCGCTTGGGTTTGGGGGCCATACTCGGGGCCTGCTCCTGGCTCTGTGCTCAGGAATCACTCCTGGAAGTGACTGCACTCTCTTTATCTCACATTTATGGGTCACGCTCTGTACCCCAGCTCTCCGCCTTCATCTGGGGTTGAGGGCCTGCAGCACAAGAAATTGCACCCCGGGGCTGTACACATTCAAGACTTGCTCGCTCTTACCTGTGTGTAAAGATATTCATCAAAGCATAGTTTATAATAGCAAAAACATTAGGGGGAAAATAGTAAACATCTAATCGCTAGGGACTAGATTAGCACCATTAGACTGCATCCATGGAAAGGAATATTATGCAGCTTGGAAAAACAGACCCAGTTGTTGACTTAAAGCAGGGAAACCCCAGGTGTGGCATGTAGGCTTCTGTCCCGTTACTTAAGTAAAATGTAAGAATTTTTAACCAGGGGCTGGAGCAATAGCACAGCAGGTAGGGCGTTTGCATTGCACATGGCCAACCTGGGTTCAATTCCCAGCATCCCATAGGGTCCCCTGAGCACCGCCAGGAGTAATTCCTGAGTGCAGAGCCAGGAGCAACCCCTGTGCATTGCCGGGTGTGACCCAAAAAGCAAAACAAGAAATTTTAACCAATTCCCAACTGGGGAGGGATTCTGTGTCAGTACAGAGATGGCCTAACTTCAATGCTCACTTTTTATTCTGAAAAATTCTGACAAAGCCTCTGTGTGTGTTTTCTAGATGCTTTGTTTACCTACTGGAACAAGGCTTCGACCTCTGAACTTATGGACTTCTTTACCATATCTGAGTGAGTACTCTGGTCTTTGCTTGCTGCCTCTTGATTATTTTTTTTTCCTGGTTGATTCCTAGCGTGAAGAATCCTGTAGAGCTACAGCACTGACCCGGACATGCCGGGCAGCGGGTGCCGGCTACAAGCTGGGTTTGGCCTGGTGGGTCCACTTCTTAGATGGAGTCTTCTCTGCGGGGAGAGCTGACTGTCCACGTCTGTGGTCCTGCAGCCACAGACTCGTCAGGGCCCCTGGGTTCTGATATCTGTTAGCAGGGATAGATGGGTTTTTATTTTGGTTTTGTTGTTGTTTATTTGGGGGTACACCCAGCACCACACCCGTGAGTTCTTGATGTCTGTTAGCAGGGAGGGGAGGAGGTGGCCTGATATTAAGAAGGGACTTTCATACACAGACAGGCTGGGGAGAGTCGGACTTACTTGCAGGGGTCAGAGTGATAGTACAGCAGGGAGGGCATTTGCCTTGTATGCTGCCGATCTGGGTTCGAGCCCCGGCATCCCATACGGTCCCCTGAGCACCACCAGGAATGATCTCTGAGTGTAAATCCGGGAGTTACCCCCGAGCATGGTTGAGGGTGGCCCAAAATTTTTGTTTTAAAAAATTTAAAAAAACCATTTAAAACAAAACTTCTTGGCAGATTTTAATTCCTCACTGGGGCATTTGGCTGCCCTGCTCAAGTCTTGCTCCTTTTGGCTCTTCCTCTTGGAGGTGAGCCTCAGCACTGCTGTCAGAGCTCACGGCCCAGCTGGTGCAGACCAGCTCTGTGTGGTGTGGCTAGAGCAGACCGGCTCTGCATGCATGGCTGGGTGCAGACACAGGTTCTGCGTGTGTGACAGGTACAAACACAGACTTTGCATTTGTGGCTGGTGTAGACGCAGGCTCTGCATGTATGTGGCTGGTGGAGATGCAGGCTGTACATGCGTAGCGAGTGCACAAGCAGACTCTGAGTACGTGACTGGTACATAAGCACGCTCTGTGTGCGTGGCTGGTGCAGACACAGGCTCTGCATGCGTGGCTGGTGGAGATGCAGTCTCTGCATGGGAGTGGTTGGTGGAGACACAGGCTGTACATACAGAGCAGGTGCACAAGCAGGCTCTGTGTGCATGGCTGGTGGTGGCCATGCAGGCTCTGCATGCAAGTGGATGGTGGAGATGCAGCCTGTACTGTGTAGTGGGTGTACAAGCAGGCTCTGAGTATGTGGCTGATACACAAGCAGGCTCTGCATGCATGGCTGGGTGCAGACACAGGTTCTGCGTGTGTGACAGGTGCAAACACAGACTCTGCATTTGTGGCTGGTGTAGACGCAGGCTCTGCATGCATGTCGCTGGTAGAGATACAGGCTGTACATACATAGCTGGTGCACAAGCAGACTCTGAGTACGTGGCTAGTATATAAACAGGTTCTGTGTGCGTGGCTGGTGCAGACACAGGCTCTGCATGCGTGGCTGGTGGAGATGCAGTCTCTACATGGGAGTGGCTGGTGGAGACGCAGGCTGTACATACAGAGCGGGTGCACAAGCAGACTCTGTGTATGTGGCTGATGGAGATGCAGGCTCTGCATGCAAGTGGATGGTGGAGATGCAGGCTGTACATACAGAGCGGGTGCACAAGCAGGCTCTGTGTGCATGGCTGGTGGTGGCCATGCAGGCTCTGCATGCAAGTGGATGGTGGAGATGCAGCCTGTACTGTGTAGTGGGTGCACAAGCAGGCTCTGAGTATGTGGCTGGTACACAAGCAGGCTCTGCATGGCTGGGGGAGATGCAGGCTCTGCACGCATGGCTGGGTGCAGACACAGGTTCTGCATGTGTGACAGGTGCAAACACAGACTCTGCATTTGTGGCTGGTGTAGACGCAGGCTCTGCATGCATGTGGCTGGTAGAGATGCAGGCTGTACATACGTAGCTGGTGCACAAGCAGACTCTGAGTACGTGGCTAGTATATAAACAGGTTCTGTGTGCGTGGCTGGTGCAGACACAGGCTCTGCATGCGTGGCTGGTGGAGATGCACTCTCTGCATGGGAGTGGCTGGTGGAGACGCAGGCTGTACATACAGAGCGGGTGCACAAGCAGACTCTGTGTATGTGGCTGATGGAGATGCAGGCTCTGCATGCAAGTGGATGGTGGAGACGCAGGCTGTACTGTGTAGCGGGTGCACAAGCAGGCTCTGAGTATGTGGCTGGTACACAAGCAGGCTCTGCATGGCTGGGAGAGATGCAGGCTCTGCATGCATGACAGGTGTAGATGCAGGTTCTGTGTGCATGGCTGATGAAGACACAGGCTAGTGCACGTGGCTGGTGCAGACACAGGCTCTGTGTGCAAGCTCTTTGAAGGAAGAGCGCAGGATGCGTTCACTGACTTGGGCCAGTGCTGTCTTTCTGCCCAGAGTCTGACTTAAGCTGATACAGAAACTGAGATTGAAAAAAATTTTTCTCTTGACAAGAGAAAGTGAGATGTTCCTTTTTTTTTTTTAAATCTGTTCTCTCTCGCTTTTCTCTTCAGTCAACCGATCTGCCTTCTGTGAAGTGTTCTGCTCCCCCCCCCCCACCCCCCCACCCCCCACCTCAGCCCCGGCCCCTCCTCCAGTTGGCTGGGACCATCCATTCTTTCTGGGTTCCGAGAATCTGACGTGCCGAGTTGACTCTGTGCCACAGCTGCCGCGTTTCAGGCCGCGGCTAACCGCCAAGCATGTTATTATCTCTGCACTGAAACACTATTTTTGCTGGGCTGTATTGGGTTGAGAATAGCTGTGGACACCACAGCCATAATTGGTTGGTCATTTGCTGACCAGTGTGTTTACAAGAAAGCCAGGTGGACGCCTGGGTCACTTGATGCTTCCTGCCCGAGTGGAAGTTACAGTCTTGGCGCGTGGGCTCGTGGGCACTTCCTCTGGCTAGCTAGAGGTGGGCATTGTCATGTGGGGTTATTAGAGAGCTTATTAGACATTATTTTCTTTTTTTATTTCGTTCTTTTTTTTTCTTATAATCTCAGGGCTAGGATGAAGGAGGCGTTACTGGGGCCTGCTCGAGGCAATCGACGAATAACAGGATGATTTGTGATTTGTGTGTACTTGAATCACCTGGAAAGCCTTTTTTTTTTCTCTTCATTTTCTCTTTTTTTTTTTTTCCTTTTTTGGTGGCTGGAGCGATAGCACAGCGGTAGGGCGTTCACCTTACAAGCGGCCAACATGGCCGACCCGAGTTCAATTCCTCCGCCCCTCTCGGAGAGCCCGGCAAGCTACCGAGAGTATTCGATATGCCAGACACAGTAACAACAAAGTCTCCAATGGAGACGTTACTGGGCCCGCTCGAGCAAATCGACGATCAACGGGAGGGCCTTTACTTTACTTTACTTTACTTTACTTTTTTTTCTAATTAGTCATTATTTTAACCACCTTGCATATACACATGGTGAGGCCGGAGTGATAGTACAGCGGGTAGGGTGTTTGCATGCAGCCGACCCAGGTTCAATCCCTGGCATTCCATAGGGTCCCCTGAGCACTGCCAGGAGTGATTCCTGAGTGCAGAGCTAGGTGTGGCCCCAAAATGAAAATAATAATAATAATAATAATAATCCCATAATTCCTATTTTTAAAACGATGTGGTTTCAGTTTAAAATAGAAACTAGATATTTAAGAGAACCCCCCACAGAGATTTGAGAAGGGCAAGGTAAGCAACTTGGAACAGCTCGGATGGTTTCCATGGTGACAGCTAAAGCCAGTGGCCTGGAGTTCCCGGCCCAGGTAGCCGGTCAGCTGTGTCTGGGCTGGCCTTTCTTCTGTGGCTCTAAGTATACGCAACTCAGCCCACAGCAGCCGATGAGTAACTTCCTCTGGGCCAGCAGGGAGCTGAGCACGTGTTTATAGAGACCAGTAGTTGGGGGAGGGGGGCGGGGGGTGCAGGTGGAAACACCCTGGCTCCCGTCCCACGCTAACCTGCTCCCCGCCCTCTCTCGCCCCTCTGCAGAGTCTGCCTGCACCAGTTCCAGTACATGGGGAAGCGCTACATAGCCAGGTACTGTGGGCACTTGCGTTCGAAGGGCTGCGCGAGGCTCGTCCGTGTCCGTGGCATCCACATGTGTGGGGTGTGGCCTTCCTCCACAGCGCCCGGCAGTTGGCAGCCCGGGCAGCAGCCACAAAGACCGTGGGCAGGTTTGGGGCTGGCGGCCAGCACACCTGGCCTCCTCACTCGGCCCCATCCCTGCCACTGTCGCGTGTCTCCTAGACAGGCCTCTGAGGCCCTGGGTGGCCTGTGGCCATGACCATGGCCGTGCCCCCTGCTCCATCTGTGCCTATGCTGTCTCTTCCCCGGCTCCCATCCTAGGACCCTGGTGTCCAGGGTCAAGATTTGGGGTGCAGCTGTTCCTCATCAGAGGACCTACCTCTTGACTTTTTCCTGAAAGAAAGCACATTTTTGATGGGTTTGGCTTTGCACAAAACCTTCTCTCTCTCTCTCTCTCTCTCTCTCTCTCTCTCTCTCTCTCTCTCTCTCTCGCTCTCTCGCTTTCTCTCTCTCCCTCTCTCTCCCTCTCTCTCCTTTCCCGCTCCCTCCCTCTCTCTCTTTTTTCCTTCTCTCTCCCTTTCTGTCTCCCCTCTCTGTCCCTCCCTTGCTCTCCCTCTCTCTCCTTCTCTCCCTCTCTCCCTCTCTCTCCCTCTTCCTCTCTCCCTTTTCATCTTACCCTTCCTCTCTCACTCCCTTTCTCTCTCCCTTTCCCTTTCTCCCTCCCTCTCTCCCTTCCTCTCTCCCTCCCTCTCTTTCTCTCTCCCTCCTTCTTCCTCTCTCTCTCCCTCTTTCTCTCTCCCCTCCCTCTCCCTTCCTCTTTCCCTCCCTCCTTCTCTGTCCCTCCCTCCCTCTTTCTCTCCCTCTTCCTCTCCCTCCCTCTCCCTCGCTCTCTCCCTCCCTCCCTCTCTCTGCCCTCCCTCTCTTCCCCTGTCTCTCCCTCTCCCTCTCTCTCCCTCCATCTCTCCTTTCTCCCTCTCCCACTCTCTCCCTCTTTCTCTCTCTCTCTCTCCTTACCCCGCCCACCCCCATCGTGCTTTTTTTTTTGGAGGGGGGCCATACCCAGCGATGCTCAGGCTTACTCCTGGCTCTGCATTCAGGGATCACTCCTGGGTCCTGGTGCCGGGGATCATACCCAGGTCGGCTACATGCCAGGCCAGCGCCCCCTCTGCTGTGCGTTCCTGCTGGCCACCAAATCTCTGAAGTGGAGCTTCTTCTCCCATGGTCGCAGATATTCCCTCCCACTGGATTTAAATCCAGCCAGTCCTCAGCCCTCCCTGCCCCGACCCTGCCCCAACCCTGGGTCCCGCACAGGCTCCAGGCTGCCGGGCTACCCTCCAGCTCCCCAGTGAGGCCCCCGCCTGCTGCCCCGACCCACCCCCACACCATTCAGGCGGTCTGTGGGTGGCGTCTTCCGGGTTGAATGTCTATGATATTGTGTTCACGGGGTCTGTGGATGTTATCTCCCTATTATTCTTTCTAACCACTTGATTATACATGAGCATTTACGTTTTAAGAAAAACTCGACCATTTAGTTGTAATGGAGATTTTTACATTTTTTTCCCCCTTCAGTCTATGTATATATTCCAGTGAAGTAGGAAGCGGTGTTTTAAGAGACTTTGGGTTTCGGCGTGAAGATTTTGCTTTTTATATCCACATTGATCTTTTCTCAACGTTTGGAGACATTTGGGGAATGACATTTTGTTAAACCAAAGTGTTTTCTCTGAACCAAAAAAAAAAAAAAAAAACGAAAAAGAAAGAAAAGCACATTTAGAGGGAATGTTGGGTTGCTCTCCTCCAAATCATAGTTTTCACTGGCAAGTGGCGCCCCCTAAAGTTCTGCAATCTTCATTCTCTGATTCCCCCACCCCCACCCCAACTCCTCACGGTCACTTTGCAGTTGATTCTTGCATTTGCGTTTTGGAGGCCAACGTGCAAATATGTACAGGTGTGCTCAGCCCACACCGCCACACTCGACTCCACTCACTCTGCCTTGGCTGGGGAAAACCAGATACACCGAAACACACAGCCGTGTGCCGGGCCAGCTCTGCCTCCCGTGGGCACGCGTGTCTGCAAACAACACAACCCGGGCCAGCCTCAAAGCTGGATGTGGTGCGCACGGGAAGATATCGACCCTCGAAAGCGTTTCCGTGCAGGAGTGCGTGCAAGCCTCAGCTTGTTTGGGTTTTGATTTTTCTTCCCACCCTCCACCCCGCAACTGCCAATGGACGTAAATTGATTTTGTTTTGTTGTTTGCTTTGGGGGCCATACCCGGTGGTGCTCAGGGCTTTCCCGCTGGCTCTGCACTCAGGGATCACTCCTGTTGGGGCTCGGGGGACCCTGTGGGATGCCGGGGATCGAGCCCAGGTCAGCCGTGTGCAAGGCAAACGCCCCTCCTGCCGTACTATGGCTCTGGCCCCGCCCTGGACATTTATGCCTTTTTCAGAGCAAGCCTCCTGGCATCGTGGACGTCCTGTAGATATTTGCACAGAAGCCTGTGCTTCTGGAATGTCTTAGGGAATGAGTGGGCTTGGGGTGGTGGGAGGAGAAGGTGCGGGCACGGGCCGGGACACAACGGGGGTGGGGGGTGGGGGGTGGAAACGGAGGGGTGCCAGCCTGTGCTGCAGGTGACTGAGGTCCCGCGTGGGCATGGACCCCTGGTGTGTGGGCGTCATCTGAGCAACACCCCTCCCCCCAAGCATGCCTGACTGCCCTCCACACCTAACACCACACGGCACAGCGGGCCTCGGGCAGGGCACGGGCTGGTCTTTCGCCCACGCTGGTGGTGGTGCCAGCCGGCAGCCGGCCGTGGAGCGCTAACCCAGACCACTTTTCTATTTTCTTTGACTGCTGACAAGTTTAACAAACGCTGTGGCTCTTCTTCTGGCCTGGGTAAGCACAGAGGCGTGAGACGCGCCCGCCTAACCGCCCCACGCATGTGCATGTGTGCGCTCCCGTTTCTTGCGTGCATCCAAAACAAAGCAAGACAAAAAAGTTCCGTGTTTGGGGCTCTTGAATTTAAAAAAAAAAAAAGAAAAGAAAAGAAAGCCTTTTTTCTTTCTTTCTTTCTTTCTTTCTTTTTTTTTAATGTCACGGTGTTTCACTCGCCCTCAGCTCCACGTGGGGCAGATGCCCGTTTACAAAACAGAAACTGAAAGACATCGCCGAGCATCCTCTTGGCAGGCCGCGCAGGTCTCTGCTCGGGCTCGGTGCTGGCTGTTTTTGTTTGGTTGTCGGCTGCTGTGTTGTGCCACCCGGGTGGGTATGTGTGTGTGTGTGTGTGTGTGTGTGTGTGTGTGTGTGTGTGTGCTCTCTGTGTCTGGTGTAGGTGGATGTATGTCTGGGGTGTGTGTGTGTGTGTGTGTGTGTGTGTGTGTGTGTGTCTGCTGTGGGTGACTGAGTATGTTTATGCGTCTGGTGTGTGTGTTTGTGTGTCTGGTATGTGTGTGTGCCTGGTGTGTGCGTGTGTGTGTGTGTGTGTGTCTGCTGTGGGTGACTGAGTGTGTTTATGCGTCTGATGTGTGTGTTTGTGTGTCTGGTATGTGTGTGTGCCTGGTGTGTGCGTGCGTGTGTGTGTGTGTGTGTGTGTATCTGGTGTATGTGTGCTGTGTTGTATGTGTGTGTCTGCGGTGTTGTATGTGTCTAGTGTGTGTGTGTGTCTGCTGTGTTGTTTGTGTCTGCTGTGTTGTTTGTGTCTGCTGTCGGTCTGATGTGTATGCATGTGTGTCTGCTGTTTGTGTGTGTGTTCCTGGTATGTGTGTATGGTGTGGTATGTGTGTACCTGATGATGTTGGTCTGGTATACATGTGTTTGCTATGTTGTGTGTGTTGTGTTTGTGTTCCTGGTGTGTGGTGTGTGTGTGTGGTGTGGTGTGTATACCTGGTGTGTGTCTGGTATATGTGTGTCTGCTGTGTTGTCTGCTGTGTGTATGTCTGATATATATGCGTGTGTGTGTCTGCTGTGTTGTGTGCTTTGTGTGTGTCTGCCTGGTGTGTGTGTATGGTGTGATGTGTGTATACCTGGTGTGTGTCTGGTGTATGCATGTCTGCTGTGTTGTGTGTGGTGTATGTCTGGTGTGTGTGCATGTGTGTGTCTGCTGTGTGTGTGTTTGTGTGTCTGGTGTATGCATGTCTGCTGTGTTGTGTGTGGTGTATGGTGTGTGTGCATGTGTGTGTCTGCTGTGTTGTGTGTTTGCTGTGTGTGTGTTGTGTGTGTACCTGGTGTGTGTGTGGTGTGGTGTGATGTGTGTGTGTCTGGTGTGTGTGTCTGCTGTGTGTGTGTCTGCTGTATGTCTGATACGTATACGTGTGTGTGTCTGCTGTGTTGTGTGTGCATGTGTGTGTCTGCTGTGCTGTGTGTCTGGTGTGTGTGTGCTGTGTTGTGTGTGTTGTGTGTGTACCTGATGTATGTGCGTGTATATGTGTCTGCTGGGTTGTGTGTGTCTGGTGTGTGTGCGTGTGTATGTGTCTGCTGTATTGTGTGTGTCAGGTGTGTGTGTCTTCTGTGTGTGTGTGTCTGCTGTGTTTTGTGTGTGTGTGTCTGCTGTGCGTGTGTGGGCTCTCACGTGCACGGCGGCTGTGCGGGGCAGGCCCCCTTCCCTGCGCTCTGGCCCGGCCTCTCCTGCTCCGCGTCTGCGTGGAACCGTCTAACTCTGGCTTCTACCCCATGTCCCTCGTGTTGCAGGACCCCGGAGGGGTTGGGATCGCTAGTTCATGATCGAAACTCTCAGACCTTGCGTGTTTCCCGTAACAGAACAGGGATGATGCATGCCAGATCGCAGCCGCTGGGCAGCCTGGATAACTCTCTCCCTTTTAACCACAGTAAGTCCCACGGCATCCGCCGTGACAGCAGCCGTCTCCTGCGTCAGCTCCGTGGGCGAGACCCAGGCTGCACCGCACAGCACCACACCACACCACACCGCACCACACTACCCGACAGCTTAATTTTTCTTCCAGCGCAGAGCCCGCGGGACGAGGAGCCCGTGACAGTTTCCTTGCAGGGAGAGAATGGCAGAATGTGGAGTGCTGGGTGACCATCGTGCCCAAGTCCAGGGCTAGCACCGCCCCTGCCCCCTTGGAATTCCTCAAATCCACCTGCAGCTCAGCCGGCCCCACGGGTGCTGCCGTTTTGTGCTGACTGTTGAGAGCGTTGCCTCCCACAGTCTCTGGGCCATGCCCAGGACATGTTCCCCCTTCACCCTCACTGTGCCCCCTTGGCTCGGAACTCACCCAGCACCCACATTCTTGCCATCCCTCCGCAGGGCGTAGGCGAAGCCTTGAGCGGCCTGTGAAGTCCAAAATCGATTCGTCCAGGTGTGGAAAAAACCAGTAACAAAGTGACTTTTTCTGTGTTTTCAGTGTGAGAAAGATATCAAGTGTGCTTGGAATTTCTGTAGACAATGGTAAGATTCAATCAGGTCGGGCTCTGTTTCCGAGGCCCTCTTCCCTTGCAAAGCGCCCCCTTTCCGTTCATCTTGCCTTGCCTTACCTTGGGGGCTTTGTTCTAACGTCACATCAGAGTCTCTGCCAGAACGCGGGGGCCATCATTTCCATTGACTTCTGTCTGTCACCCGCGGGGACCGGGGATAATCACGTGCTGTCTGTCATGAGAAATTTCAGCATTTCATCTTCTTAAGAGTTTCTCAGAACAGGGGGGTTGGAGCAATAGCACAGCGGGTAGGGCGTTTGCCTTGCACACAGCCGACCCGGGTTCAATCCCTAGCATCCCATAGGACCCCCGAGCACCGTCAGGAGTAATTCCTGAGTGCAGAGCCAGGAGTAACTCCAGCCCACAGCAGCTTGGAAGCCAATGTGGGTCCCTTCTGGTCACTTCCTTCTGCCCCTCACACAACAGAGCCTGTCGCTGTAGTGAGGCAGTCACTTGTTCTCGTTCCAAGCGCTGGTTTTCGTCCCAGGGAGCCATATCTGTGCATCTTTCCGGCCAGCGCAGCCCCGTCTACTATGACTTCCGAGCCGCCTTCTGCATCCAAGTCGGGACTGTGCCCAGAGCCTTTCCTCGAGGCCAGTTTTCCCAGGCCGAGGACTTTGAATGTAGCTCCACTCTGGTGCACCCCTGCACAGTGAGCTGGGAAACGTTCGGTTCCTCCTGCAAGCTTCCAGGCTCGCCTGAAATCTCTATTTCCTCTTTTTTTTTTTTTTTTTTGACTCAGGGGTGCTGGGAAAGCTCCTTCTGGGCTCAGTCGTACTCAGCTCCTTGCAGGAGGCAGCTGGCCTGGGGTAGGCGGCAAGGAACAAGCTTTCAACACCTTGCCCGTTTGGGGCTTCTAGTTCTGCAGGCAGGGGGAGATACCAAACAAGGAGTCCTGCTTGTTTTCCGTGGTCAGCATCGTCCAGGAGCCACTGCTCTGCCACTTCTCAGCACGGCATCCACGGACACCTGAGCTTAAACCCGGAGGCTCTTTCCACAGACCCAAGCAGACCAAGGTCCTGTCCCCCAAAGAGGATCATTTAGGAAGCACCAAAAAGAGTTGAGGGGTCTGGAGCGATAGCACAGCGGGTAGGGCGTTTACCTTGCACGCGGCCGACCCGGGTTCGATTCCCAGCATCCCATATAGTCCCCTGAGCACCGCCAGGGGTAATTCCTGAGTTCAGTGCCAGGAGTAACTCCTGTGCATAGCCGGGCGTGACCCAAAAAGCAAAAAAAAAAAAAAAAAAAAGAGTAGAAATGTGCCAGGTGGCCCTTTCATGGAGAGGTGAGGACTTAGGAGGTCGGTGGAGGTGGCGTGGACAGCAGGCTGACCACTCATTCTGTGGCCATGCTTAGTTCTGAGTCTGCCAGACTCCCTGCCTCCTCCTCCCTCTGGGGCCCCGGGGAGCCTGGCCTTCTGTGCCCCACCCCACCCCTGCCCCATTACCAGTGATGTTCTCCTCTGCCCGCCCCCCATCCCATCCCGTGAACAGCGTGCTGCAGACTCTTTAAGCCGAGACTGTGTTCTCATGGTTCCTGCTGGCCCAGGTGGGTGCCGGCATCCTGGCAGTTGGCCCCACCCTCACTGCTGCCTCAGTTTCCAACCTTATATTTGGCGGTCGTGACCTCCCTCTCCTGAAACCTTCTTTCTGAGCTCCAGATCATCATCCGCTCAGCCAGAACCCAGAGATGGGTGCAAGCGTCACGCCTGTGTGAGCATGTACATGTATGGAGGCACACGTGACTTGCTCACTCCAGACCTAGGTATTAGGGAGAGATGTTAGCCCTGTGTCTTTTTGTGTTTCAATTGAACGCTGAGCACAGTGCCTTCTTTGGGGACAGCCAGGATCATGTAGACCCAATAGGGGACACTTATCAGAACACCAGAGTCGGAAATGAATTGATTTTAGAAATTAATTAGAATAGGGAGGCCGGAGCACTCGGCTGAGTGGGCGCGGCTCACTCAGGTCCCGTAGGGTTCCCTGAGCACCGCCAGGTGTGGCCTAAACAGTGCCCCCAAACCATAGAAAGGGCCCCCTCAATTTTTTTTTCTCTTCCTCTGTGAAAGAAAGGCCTTGTCAGACCTCAGCTTGGCCAGCAGGGGACAACAGAGACCAGGAGACGCTTAATCCAGCGGCAGCCTGGCCACCCGGGGACCTGGCCCGCTGAAAGCTGCCCCTGGTAGGACAGCGGTGAGACACTTGACTTTCACGTGGTCAATCCAGGTTCGATCTGTAAAACCATACTGAGCCCCCCCAGGGGTCCCACCACAGTGATCCCTGAGCACAGAGCCAGGAGTCAGCCCTGAATACCACATGCCGTGACCCAGACTCCTGCCGCCTACAACACACACACACACACACACACACACACACACACACACACACACACACACACACGAGAGTGGGCATTGTCCAGAGAACTCAGGGAGCTCAGCAGTCAGAAGGCCCGGGTCCATGGCCCCCATGGGGTATTTCTATTTTTTTTTTTCACCATGGGGTATTTCTAAAGCCACTGTGAGTAGAACCCAGAGAAGACCCCAGAGGGGCCTGGGCTTCACAGCAGGTGCTGATAGGAAGCAGGTTAGAGAGGAGACCCCGGCAAGAAACCCCCGAGCCGGCCAGCTCCACTGGGATTCTCCCCCAGGTGGCGGAAGAGCCCAGGTGTGCTGTGTCTTCCCTGACACACTTGCGCCTGCCCTGGCCCGCAGGACGGATGTGGGGTCACGGGCACCTCCATTGGCTGCATGGAGACCTGGATGGACCCCAGTCCCAGGGGGAGAGGGGGCGGTGAGCCGCATGCTGTGGGTACCACACTGGCCAGTGACTCAGCGCCGGACAGTCCTCTCGTGCCAGTCCCTCCCACCTGCTGCTGCAGTGCTGCAGAAAGCCAGCCCAGGTGCAGAAACACCCGAGGGAAAGTGCCCCGGGGTTTTTCCTAAGGAGCTGAGGATCCTGTGTAAGGCCGTTGACCCGAAAGGAAGTGGTGGATTGATCAGGGTCTTCTCTGACTGCAGGGGGCCATCAGGGCCTTCCCTGGCATTGTCCGGAGGCCACGCCTTGTTCCAGGGATCCCGCCCTCTGCCCGGCTCTCAATGGACCAGCCTGTCAGCTCACCTGGGCGTGAGGGATGTCCCTGGACTGAGGGGTGAGGTGGGATGAGGACCCCCAGGGGGTCTGCCTGGTCGCGGATCACGTGAGGGGCTCCGTGAGACCCATCTCTCCTCCAAGTCCGGTGACAGCTCTGGTATGCAAGAAAAGGAGGAAGTGGGCAAGAGCGATAAGACAGCAGGTAGGGTGCTGGCCTTGCATGTGGCCGGCCCGGGTGCAATCCTCGGCACCTCCACGGGGCATCCCGAGCATGGCCAGGAATGATCCCTGAGTGCAGAGCCAGGAGTATTGAGCCCTGAGCACAAAGCCCTGAGCATTGCCAGGTGTGCCCCCCACCCCCACCCCCCCAGAGTAAAAGGAAAGGAAGTGAGCATTAGAGCCATCTGTCCACTGGGCATGGCGAACACCCCCGTCCCGAGTACCATGAACGTGGGTGAACACGACCTTGATTAGGTGAAGCCCACAAACCAGCATCGCTCAGAGGAGATTTCCTTTTTTGCGGGTGGTGCGTGCTCTGGGCCACCCCCAGCAGTGATCCAGAGCAACTCCTGACTCTGTGCTCAGGAGCGACCCCTGGCAGTGTTTTGGGGGAACCACAAGTGGTACTGGGGGCTTAGAGCCAGTGCAGCACCACCACAGGCCTGCAGAGGGCAGTGTCTCGCCTCCCTCCGAGCTCACCTGCTTCCTCAGGGATTTCTTTTCGAGAGGAGATGCCTGGTCTTTAAGGGTTTCTGTTTTTCTGAGAACAGGCGCTCATTACAGCCAGGAAAGGGGACATTTTATTTTTTTTTTATGTGGGAGTACTGCTATTTATTCAGCCACAGATTAGCTGATTGAATTGTTCATGAACTCCACCTTACTTTTTTTTTCATTTTTTATAATTTTATTTATTGAATCACCGTGAGAGCAGTTACAAAGCTTTTGGGTTTAAGTCTCGGTCATACAATGAAACACCCGTACCTTCACCAGTGCCCACTCTCCACCCCCAACAACCCCAGTGTGCCCCCATCCCACACCCTCCCCCTACCTGTGGGGCAGATGATTTCCACATTACTCTCTCTCTCTACTTTGATCACATTCAATATTTTGACACCAGATCCACCATTATTATTTGAGATTTTACCGAAAGGGGACATTTTAGAACCTGGCTTCCTTATGGCGGCGGAGGGCAGTGGGTGGTGCCGCCCTGCCCAGCACCCAGCATTCATGTACTCCACAGAGCAGAAACCCCAGTGAAAAAGGCGAGCAGAGCAGGTGACAGTAGAGGGAAAATCGTCACATCCCAGGCTTCCAAGCGTAGAGCAAATCGCTTATGGGAGCGACCAGAGGATGGGAAATACATGCATGAGATGCATGAGCAGAGATCCCTCGGAAGGGTCAGGAAGGGGAGGAGGGCGGGATCCTTCCCCTCCCCACCTGCCTGCCAGGCACTGCCACCCCCTAGTGGAAGTTGGGGGCCTGAGACAGCCCTTCTGGCTCTGCCCACTTGCAGGTGTTGCTGGCCTTTCAGACGTCCCTTCTCTCTGTGTGGGTGCTGCTCAGGAGGTCCAGGGATCCCACTGGCCACTTGTGGCCAATTGCAGGGACCCCAAGATACCCAAGGTACCGCAGCCTTGTTGGGGTCCTGCAGGGAATGAGGGAATGAGGCAGGGCATGGACTCGGCAAGCGCCCTAACCATGGGACCACATCCCAGGCCCGCCCAAAGGTCAGACAGAGTCCCTGGGCACTGACCCTGGGCAGGTTGGCCGTGCCCCTTACTCTTCTTAGTTTGGGGGTAGTATTTACAAAGCATCTAGCTGGAGTCCCTCTGGGTAGGGCTGGGTTGGATTTCTAGATAAAATGGCTGGAGGAGATGTGGTAACGCTCCAAAGAAGCCCAGAGCATCGCCAGGTGTGCCCCCCCCCCCAGAGTAAAAGGAAAGGAAGTGAGCATTAAAGCCATCTGTCCACTCTTCTTTATGATTTAAACATGCAACAGAGATTTCTCTTCAAGTCCTTTGTTCCCCCAGAAGTCAGTGCTGCAACTTAGCGGTCGAATGAGAGCCCAGAGAAATTTCTGCCATTCACAAACCAGGTCACCATATCCAGTCTAGACTTGAGACCTTGTGCCAGCAGCTGTGGTGTTTGATCTCTTGCTCCATTTAGCCTTCTAGAGAGAGGATGGGAATACTGGTCAGCTGAAGGGTTTTGTTTGCTTGGGCTTTGGGGATGCCACCCTCAGCAGTGCTCAGGGCTTGCTCCTGGCTCAGTGCTCAGGAATTAACTTCTGGTGAGGCTTAGGGGACATATCCTGTGCCAGGGATTGAACCTGGGTCAGCCGAGTGCAAGGCAAATGCCCTCCCCACTGGACGATCGCTCTAGCCCAAGAAATGATTTTTAAACCATCAAAGCAAGTTCCCTGTTAGAATTTAAACCCGAGCTGTGGAATTCCCCTGGGGTGGGAGGCAGCCCCAGAAGGGCTCGTTCCGGTTGTTCTGATGAAAGGCCTTTGGGTGGTTCTGTTCTGTGGGTTCTCGCCCTCACTCCCCTTGGTGAGCTCCCAAATATTGTTCATTCACCAGTTTCTGTCCCTCTCCTGGTCTCTGCCTCTCACCAGGCAAATCTCCCTGGATGCAATGGTGTGGTGAATATCAGTGTCAAAACAATAACAATAACCATCATTCTCCACTGTCAGAAACTTAATACCCACCAAAATGCAGAGATAAAAATAGGAGGAGCCACAGGCCATGGGGGCCACCAGCCACTGGCCAGGGACCACCTGTCCTCCGTCACCCGCAGGCACACTCACTGTCCACCAACAGAGAACACCTTCTCTGAAGGAAAGAAAGAGGAAAATCGCCTGAGAGCACAACCTCAGGCCTTGGCAGTTTCCAAAGCTACGCAGGTCCCTGCGAAAAGCCCTTTCCTGTCCTTCCCTGAAGTGTCTCCAGGGCCCTGAGGCTCCCGTCAAGAGTCAATATAGACCCTGGGTTCTGACCTCACCCAAGGTGGCTTCTCATGACAGGGGGCCCCCACGCAGGTGGTTTCTGCCCAGTGAACGGCTCAGGAAAGGTTTCTCTTAGCTTTCTCTCAGCTTTCTTTCCCCTCGCTGTGTCCCCAACGTCCTCCTCTCTGGGGCGCGGGGGAGTCTTGCTCCGCGGAGAAAGACCTGACGTAATGTCTCGTGACAGGACCATCTCTCTCAGTGCCTCAAGCAACCCTGTAACACCTCTGCACCATGTTGACACACACACTCCACTAATGCATACCATCCCATGACTTAATATATCTCAAATTGGGCGCCAGACCGCCGTTCGGGACTAAATCGGTTTTCGCGGTCAGCCACACGGAAGGTATCGGTCCGTGTGGAAGCGATGAGTCTTCACCATCTTTCCTTCTCTTCCACATTCCTTTCAGACCTGTTGGCTTTGACGCTTTTTGTGAAAGTAAGTAGGATGCCCCAGTCAACTCTTGGTCACCTTTCAGGAGTTGCGCTGACCGTGGCCATCAGGCAGTGCTGACGTTGCCCGGCCTCCCTACCCCCACCCCCCACCCCCCACCCAGGGCCAGACACTATTCTCGGAGCTTCACAGAGATCAAGGCAGGGCTGCCCCATGCTCTTCACGGGGAAACCAGGCAGGACGTGGCCTAGCCAGGTTTGTGTCTGAGGTAGCTTAAGTCATTGATTTTTGTGTTTCCCCCCCCCCCCCAGTTGTAGTTCTGGCAACATGGTGACAGGAATGCCAACTTTCATGGGGTTGGGGTACAGAGTTATAGTGCCTTACCCACCTCCAAAGTGCCCAGGGGGCCACCCTGTCCTGTTGCTTCTAGTCTACCTTTTCCGACCCCTTCTTTTTTTTTTTTTCTCGTTTTGGGTCACACCCAGCAATGCACAGAGGTTACTCCTGGTCCATGCACTCAGGAATTACTCCTGTCTGTGCTCGAGGGACCATATGGGATGCTGGGAATTGAACCTGAGTCGGCCAAGTGCAAGACAAGCATCCTACCCCTTATACTATCACTCCAGTCCCCATTGTTTTGGGTTCGGTTTTTTTTTTGGTTTGTTTGTTTGGGGTCACACCTGGCGATGCTCAGGGCTTCTTCCTGGCTCTGCACTCAGGGATCACTCCTGGCGGCGCTCAGAGGGCCATAAGGGATGCCAGGGATCGAACCCAGGCTAGCCGCATGCAAGGCAAGTGCCCTCCCCGCTGTGGTCTGGCTCCAGCCCCTCCTGCCTCCCCGTCTCCCCACATTGCCTGGACATCTGGGTTCTGTCGTCCAGGGCCAAGGTTGCTTCTCGTCTGCTCCCTTGTCTGTGTCTCCACGAGACAGGGATGCATGAGACCCCCATGTGTGTCCGTGCTCTGCCAGATGCCCCTTCCTGTGACCCCCTCCGGTTCTCCACGCACGTTGCTCAGTGTGGCCCCCATCAGGATACCCGTGACCTTCCCCGAGGCTTGAGCACAAATTCCACACACATCTGTGTGGGATCACAAAACTCCCCAGACTGCCAACGTCATTCAGAGAAAGAGAGGCAGAGAACCGGAAGGGGGGAGGCAGTCCAGGCTCTGCTTGTATCTCAGATTCTAAAGCAAGATCAATTGGGACTGGAGCAATAGCACAGCGGGTAGGGCATTTGCCTTGCACGCGGTCAACCCGGGTTCAATCTCCAGCATCCCATATGGTCCTCTGAGCACCGCCAGGAGTGATTCCTAAGTGCAGAGCCAGGAGGAACCCCTGTGCATCACTAGGTGTGACCCAGAAAGCCAAAAAAAAAAACCAAAAAACCAAAAAGCAATCAAGATGGGCAGGACTGGACTGAAGCAGCCTCTGGCCAGCCAGGGGGCTAGAGTTGAGGGGACAGCTCTGACCCTCCAGCTGCGTGGACGGGTCACCCGGCGCACAGCAACTCAGCCAGTTGCCTTCACCCCGTCTCTCCCTCCTGGGGAAGCGTCAACAGCCTTGGACCCATTTTATATCTGTATAGAGTGTTTCAGAATGTCCGTCCCTCCTCAGGCACAGAAGCTCCCAGAATTCTGTCTGGCCCATTCCGAGCCCTTCTAGTCAGAAGAGCCGTAAAACGGAAGGGGTCACTTCAGTAATGACCCGTACCCCCACCCCTCCACCAAAGGCTCCCCGGAAGCCAACGCCCCATTGAGCCTCCTGGAAATGAGCAAAAGTTGACTGTGTCCACCCCCAGCCGCCCTCCCATGCCCCCCGCACTGACCCTGTGTGTGCCACAACTTCGCAGGCTATGGCCACTCGGACGCCGACGTCCTCCACCAGTCCTTCCTGGAAGCCAACCTGGCCACAGAGGTGTGTCTCACGGCCCTGGACACGCTCTCGCTCTTCACGCTGGCCTTCAAGGTACGGCCGCCGCAGCTCTCTTGGCGGGACTTGGTTGAGGGGAGGCGCGGTCAGCTTGTGGGCGTCCACTATAAAGCGGCTCCCCACGCTTTCCTCTCCTGCCTGTCCCTTTTCTCTATCTCCTTCCCTTCTCTCTTCCCTCTCTCTCCCTTCTTTTTCTCACCCTTCTGTGTTTCTCCCTTTTCTCTCTCTTTCCCTTCTGCCTCTCTCCTTTCTCTCTCTTCCTTCTCTGTTTCTTTCCTTTTTCTCTCTCCCTGCTTTGTCTCCCTTTTCTGTCCCCTCTCCCCTGTCTTTCTCCATCTCCCTCTCTCTCTTCTCTCCTATCTCTGTCCCCATTCTCTCTCTCTCTCTCTGTCCCCTTCCCCCCCCCCCCAACGCGCACACACACACTCGGGAATCATTCACCCTCATTCCCTTAATCAAACCAGTTGGGAACAGAACAATAGAGCAACAGAGCGGCAGGTAGGACACTTACCCTGCACGCGGCTGAGCCAGTTTCGATTCCCGCCACTCCATATGGTTCCCTGATTCCCCACCAAGAGAGATCCCTGAGCACAGCTGAGCGTAGCCTGAAAGCAAACAAGGCCACTGAGGGTCACGAGCCTGAGCTCTTTCTCTAGTGGGTGCTGCAGGTGCGTGGGCAAATAGATTAATAAATAGAGATCAGCCCGACCTGGGGAACGGTGGGGCTTCGCGCCACATTATGGTGTGCCGGAAGTGTTACGACAGCACCCTAAATGGGAGAAAACTCAGTCATCTCCAGGGGACACACGGGCTGTTAGACCTCCCAGCTGCGGGAGAATACTGTCTTCCTAGAGGATTCGTGGCCACGTTTGTCTAATATGTTCACGCTGGTACCACTATTTATGCCAGTCACACCACATTTGATTGTGACCCACTATGTTAAATAATTTTAAAAAATTATTAAAAAGCAATGTGGAGTTCATGCCCAATTCAGTAAGCTTAATTAATAGTTGAATTAAAAAAAAAAAAACCCTGAAATGGTGTCAGTGGTGGCTTCTTTTGTTTTGGTGGGTTTTTTTTTTTTTTTTGCTTTTTTAGGGTCACACCTGATGATGCTCAGGGGTTACTCCTGGCTCATGCACTCAGGAATTACTCCTGGCGGTGCTCGGGGGACCATATGGGATGCTGGGACTTGAACCCAGGTCGGCCACATGCAAGGCAAACATCCTACCGACCGTACTATTGTTCCAGCTCCTGTTTTGGGTTTCCTTTTTTTAAGTGTCAGAGTCCTGCTATTTATTCAGCCATTGATTAAGCTGATTGAATTGTGCATGAACTCTGCATTATTTTTTTAAAATAAATTTTAATCGAATATCTGTGAGACAGATCATTACAGAGCTGTTCACAATTGGGTTACACTCATGCAATGATCCAGCACCCATCCCTCCCCCTGATGAGCATCTTCCACCACCAATGTCCCCCATTTCCCTCCCACCACCCACCACCACCCCATCCCCCACCTTAGACTGCCTCTATGGGAGGCACTTTCCTTCTAGCGCTCTCTCTCTCTCTCTCCTTTTCCTTTTGGCGCCGTCTCATTGAGTCGCACTTTGTTCAGCACCCAGGACTGGCGCCTCAGGGTCCCGACAGCTGCCCGTGGGGGAGGAGGGGGACTCCTAGCACCTGGCCCCGGTGCCCCGCTTACCCGGCCGCCCCGTGCCCCACGTGCTTTCAGAACCAGCTGCTGGCAGACCACGGGCACAACCCACTCATGAAAAAGGTGTTTGACGTCTACCTGTGCTTCCTCCAAAAACACCAATCGGAGATGGCCCTGAAGCACGTCTTCACCGCCCTGCGCTCATTCATTTATAAGGTGAGCGGGCCTGGGGCCAGCGGGGCGGGGCGGGGTGGGATGGGGCGGGGCGGGGGCGGGGCGCCCCTGACGCCCATCCTGCGCCCCCAGTTCCCCTCCACCTTCTACGAGGGGCGCGCGGACATGTGCGCGGCGCTCTGCTACGAGATCCTCAAGTGCTGCAACTCCAAGCTGGGCTCCATCCGCACCGAGGCCTCGCAGCTGCTCTACTTCCTCATGCGCAACAACTTCGACTACACGGGCAAGAAGTCCTTCGTGCGCACGCACCTGCAGGTGGGCCCCCCGCGGCATCTGGGGTCTGCGCCGGGCGGGAGGGGCCTGAGACGGGGGCAGACGGCCCGTTGGCCACGCCCCAGTAGGACCCCGGCAAGTCCCGTTCCCACCCAGCCCCCGTGCTTCGCTGCTGTCCAGCTGCCCACGCCTGCGGTCATCTCTTAAGATGCCCTGGGGACCCGGCGCAGTGCTGATGGGCCTCACGTGACGCACATGCAGACACGTCAGAGCACTTCTGTGTCTGCGTGTGTTCACCTGCATGTGTGTCCTGGGGAGTGTCTTTGGACTGGTGCTTTGGAAGCACTGGGGGACCCTCTTCGAAATTCTTGGAGGCCATGAATTGGATCTGGGAATCACCCAGGCCCCCCAGGAGGCCTCAGGGACCACGTCTGATGCTAATCTAGGATCCAGTCTGGTGGTGCTCAGGGTACCACATCTGATGGTGCTCAGGGACCACGTCTAATGGTGTTCAGGGACCACATCTAATGGTTTTCTGGGATCACGTCTGGTGCTCAGGGACCACATCTGATGCTAATCTAGGCTCATGTCTGGTGGTGGTCAGGGAGCCACGTCTAATGTTCAGAGACCACATCTGGCGTTGCTCAGGAGACCACATCTGGTGGTGCTCAAGGACCACATGGTGCCAGGATTCAGCCATGGTTGGCTACATCAGGACCAGCACCTTCCCCTCTGTGCTCTCTCCACCTGCCCCAGTGCCTTTGAATACCTCCCTGTTCACAGGCTGTGGTGGGGTCACAAGGCAGAGCCCCCTGCTGGCCCCAGGGAGCACCAGCCTGCTGAGAGAGAGAGAGAGAGAGAGAGAGAGAGAGAGAGAGAGAGAGAAGAGAGAGAGAGAGAGAGAGAGAGAGAGAGAGAGAGAGAGAGAGACGCCCCTCTCATAGGGCCCCAGGTGCCAGGAGGCACCTGACTGGGCAGCTCGCAGGTCTTCCAGGGATTAGGCAGGCTGAGGGGGGCCCAGCAGTGCTCCAGGCCCCAGGAACTAGAGGGGCACCCCCAAAGGACATCTGCTGGACACCACCGCTGGGGTCACCGCTGGGGCAGTAGAAGCCCGGGCTGGGGAAGCCATGAATTAATTTTGTTAAAAAGAAAAAAAAATGGGTCCGGAGCGATAGCACAGCAGGTAGGGTGTTTGCCTTGCACACGGCCAACCCTGGTTCGATTCCCAGCATCCCATATGGTCCCCAGAGCACCACCAGGAGTAATTCCTGAGTGCAGAGCCAGGAGGAACCCCTGTGCCTCGCCGGGTATGATGTAAAAATAAAAATAAATAAAAATAAGAGTAAACTGTGGCATGCTGCAAGAATTGCAGAGTCAGCACCTGTTGGGCATTTTGTGCCATTAAACCCCAACCCTGGAGAACACGGCATCCCTTTGGGAGGGAGAAAGGGGTCATGAGTGAGAGATGGGGGGGGGGTCTCTGTTTCCCGCTCACTCCACCCCAGACAGTGCTAGGCTGTGCAGACGGGCCAGGCTAGCTGGGCTGGTGGTCCTCTGTGAGAGCATATGGACTCTGTAGGGCTGGCCAAACCCTCCCTGATCCTCCCCTCCCCACCGAGGGCAGGACCCGGCCCCAGGCTGCTGTCCCGGGTGGAGCCGGGGGAGCCCCAGAGGGTCACTGGGGTGGCCAGCAGACCGCCAGCCCTGGATGACGGCCCCTGGGCGGGTGTGTCCCCAGGTGATCATTTCCGTGAGCCAGCTGATCGCGGACGTGGTGGGCATCGGTGGCACCAGGTTCCAGCAGTCCTTGTCCATCATCAACAACTGCGCCAACAGCGACAGGCTCATCAAGGTGGGTGCCAGCCCCACCCCCACCCCACCCCTGAGGATCGGAGCAGCCGCAGCCACACACCCTCTCGCCCCTCCCGTTCCAGCACACCACCTTCTCCTCGGACGTCAAGGACCTGACCAAGCGCATCCGCACGGTCCTCATGGCCACGGCGCAGATGAAGGAGCACGAGAACGACCCCGAGATGCTGGTGGACCTGCAGTACAGCCTGGCCAAGTCCTACGCCAGCACGCCCGAGCTGCGGAAGACGTGGCTGGACAGCATGGCCCGGATCCACGTCAAGAACGGGGACCTGTCCGAGGTAGCCCCCGCCTCCCCGCCCGAGCCCTGACGCTGCTTTGTAGAACGTGCCCCCCTTTTTATTTTATTTTATTTGACTTTTTGGGTCACGCCTAGTGATGCTCAGGAGTTCATCCTGGCTCTGCACTCAGTAATCACTCCTGGCGGTGCTCGGGGGGCCCCTATGGGATGCTGGGGATTGAACCCGGTTTGGCTGCATGCAAGGCAAACACCCTACCCACCGTGCTTTCCCTCTGGCCCCAGAAGCTTCCCCTTTTGACTGCAGTGGGTTGGGGGGTCAAGGTACCTGGATGTCACTTGCTGCTGAAGGCTTGGCATTGATCCCTGGCATGGGGGGAAGCAGCAGCGATGCCCCCAAGAGTGCCAGGCTGGGCTTCCTCCTAGTCACCTGAGCGCTGTTATAACCCTCTGCTGCCCTGTGAGGTGGCCCCTCTTCCTACTCTGACAGTGCCTTGGCTTTGTAAGGCCACTAAGGCGTGAGCCCTCAGCCACCGTCACGGTTGCCACGTGGTGGGAGGTTCCAGGTGGCCCCAGGAATCAGGTCTCTGAGATAGGTGGGGGTGACAGCAGGGCACTGACTGACTCCGGGGCTTCTGGCGTCCCTTGCAGGCGGCCATGTGCTACGTCCACGTCACCGCGCTTGTGGCAGAGTATCTCATGCGGAAAGGTGAGATGGCTTGGTCTGGCGAGAGGAGAGGGAGTGGGCAGCACGGCCGGGGGGTCACCCAAAAGGCTTGGGGCACGAGTGTGTGTGTGCGTACGTGTGTGCATGGATGCATGCACCTGCATATGTGATCTAAGCTGATATGTGTGTGTGCATATCTGCATATGTGCTCTGAGCTGATGTGTGTGTCTGTGTATCCATGTACTGTATATGTGTATGTGTCAATGTGCACGTCTGTGCCTGTGTATGTTTACCCATGTGTTAGTTTATATGTGTGTATATTAGTGTGTGTGTGTCTGTGTCTGTCTGTGTGTGTGTCTCTATGGCTCCATGAGTGTGTCTGCGTGTGGATGTCGGATGTCTGCATGTATGTGCATCTCTGGCTCCATGAGGGTGTCTGTGTGGCTGCACACATGGGCATATCACCGTCACTGTCCTCCCGTTGCTCATCGATTTGCTCGAGCGGGCGCAGTAACATTGTGAGACTTGTTACTGTGTTTGGCATATTGAATACGTCACAGGTAGCTTGCCAGGCTTTGCCGTGCGGGCGAGATACTCTCGGTAGCTCGCCAGGCTCTCCGAGAGGGGCGGAGGAATCAAACTTGGGTTGGCCACATGTGCCAGGTGCAAGGCAAATGCCCTACCCGCTGTGCTATAGCCCCAGCCCATGAGCATATCACATGTGTGTATATCTGTCTCTTTGTGCACCTGTGCCTGCATGTACGTGTGCATGTGTATGTATGCATGTGTTTGTCTGCATGTCTGTGTGTATATCTCTATGTGAAGACATGTGTTCTGCATGTTTGTGCATGTCTCTCTCTGCATGTGTGTACATGGGTGTCTATGGACACAGTCCTGTGTGGCTGCGTGAGTGTATGCATGTCTACATTCCGTGTGTGTGCATTCCGTGTGATCCCTCATCCCCTCTCTGATGTGACATTTACTTGACCAGCACAGAAGAGGAACCAGAATCCAACAAGGCACTGGCGGGCATGTTTTACTGACGCTTCCATGGTGCCAGAACCCTGTCACTGAGAGAAATGGGGGGCCTGCCCCGGAGGCTCACCCCAGCCCCCTCTGAGCCCCCGTACATGGGCATCATTCCCTCGGGTTTAGGGGAAGACCCCTTTTCCCAGACCCGCTCCTTGTCCCCACCTTGCCTGTCTGTTCTCTCCCGGAGTCGCCCTCTGTGCTGGAGGCCCTGCCCGACTCACGCCTTCACTTTGCTCTTCAGGTAGCTGGACACTCTTGATGTCAGCTTCCCAAAGTTGGGGTCCCCCCTTATACACCCACACTCTGCAGGGCAGGGGATGCTGAACCCATCCATGGGGGCCTCTGAGGTGTCGGAGCCTCGGAGAGCATGTCCCCAGAACCTTTTCTCCCCATGACCGGGCGGGGGCCACGCACCGACACAGCCGTTCTCCCGAGTGGCCGTGTCCCTCTCCCTCCCCAAAAACACAGGCATACCCCACGCTCTTACTGTGTCCTGTAAACCGCAGCAGGACATTTAAAGGCCTTTGTTGGACCGGGTCTGGCCAGTAACCCCAAGAGGGACAGAAGCCCCAGAAGGGCCGTCACTGCTTATCCCTGGAGTGTCCCCCGCTTGCCACCAGGGACCTGTGCCGAGTCCAGGACACATTTCTGCTCTCGGCCATGTGGGGGCTGCTGACACTTGGGCTCACTCAGCGATGCTCAGGGCTGACTCCTGACTCTGTGCTCCGGGAGCACTCCCGGCAGTGCTCAGGGACCCTGACGCCGAGTCAGGGATGGAGCCCGGGTCTGCCTCACGCAAGGCAAGCTCCTCAGATCCTGTACAATCTCGCCAGCTCCTGGTAGCTGGGTTTGAAAGTCTGCTAGAGGCAGAACTGAGGCGAGCTCCAGCCAGCGGGAGCTTGACGCATGACCGGGCGGGGAGAAACAGCCGTCTTCACTGTCCTCTGTTTCCCTCTGACACGCTCTGGCTGCTCCTTCTCGGAATGTGGGCGCTGGGCGTCTTAGCCAGCCCAGCCCATCGCTGTTTGTGTCTCTGATCCCCAAGGCCAGTTCTGTGCGTTTTCACGGTCGAGGGAGTTCCTGTAAAGATGGGTGCAACACAAAGGGAGTGAGAGAAGGAAGCGGGAGAGGAGGAGGAAGGGATGAGAATACTCAGTACACAACCCCACACGCACCAGGGGAGCCGCCCCAGACTAGAACAGCCACATGTCTGGTTCCACTGCCTCCCCCAGGAAGGCCTCCAGGCTCACCCTCCCCGCCCATCTCTCCCGCCCCCAGGGATGTGCCGACAGGGGTGCTCAGCCTTCAGAGTCATCACCCCCAACATCGATGAGGAGGCCTCCATGATGGAAGACGTGGGCATGCAGGACGTCCACTTCAATGAGGTGAGCACTGCCCCGGAGGTGGTCTCCACACCAGGCTGTGGCCGACCCATCCAGTGAGTGTTGTGTGTCCCTCCAGACTGACCTGACAGCTGGAACCACACAGCAAGATAGATGGTGCCTGTAGGAGGGGAAACGGTACTTCTTCATTCAGTGTTATTTTGCTAATAACATTAAACATGAGGTTGAAATGGGGTTTTTTGGTTTTAGGGTTTTTTTGGGGTTTTGTTTTTGCTTTTTTGCTTTTTGGTCATGCTCAGTGGTTACTCCTGGCTCTGCACTTAGGAATCACTCCTGGGGATGCTCAGGGGACCATGTGGGATACTGGAGATCGAACCCGGTTTGGCTGATTACAAGGCAAATGCTCTCCCCACTGAACTACCACTCCAGCCCGAGGTTAAAATTTTTTTATGTCATTTTGGGGGCTGGAGCAATAGCGCAGTAGATAGGGCATTTGCCTTGCACACGGCTGACCCGGGTTCGATTCCCAGCATCCCTTATGGCCCCAAGCACCACCAGGGGTAATTCCTGAGTGCAGAGCCAGAAGGAACCCCTGAGCATCGCTGGTTGTGACCCAAAATCAAAAAAGAAAAAATACATATTTTAATGTTAGTTTTTGATAACATCTAGTAAGTTCGATATTGTTCCTTTCGCCCCCCCCCCCTTATTTTTGCATTTGGGCCACCTTGAGCAGTTGCCCTGTGTCCCCCTGAGCGCTGTACCGGGGTGGCAGTGGGGTCACTCCTGGTGGTGGGCGGGAGCAATGCCAGGACTTGAACCAGGGTCTCCCTGCTAGACAAAGCCCCTGCCCCTGGCATTGTCTGTGGGATCGATAAATCATCTTTTCACTCTTCCTTCCTAACACTGCCCGTGTGGATAGTGAGCTTCCCACCTCCGAGGGCCCCCCTGAGGCGACTCGCAAAGGAGACCACCAGTTGCCCCTTCGGTGTTTAGAATCTCTGAGCCCACAGGAAAGCGTTGGGGGCTTCCTGGAGACAAAGGGAGCCGTGGTCGGACCCGGCGTGCGGGAGTGGCCCCGTTCCCTCCGCCTGCAAATCTGCACGCACCGATGACTTTTTTCTCCGCCCCATGAACCTTATGGTGTGTTCCTGGCTTGGTGCTTCTCAGGACCAGGAAAATACTTCGGGAGGGGGTTGAGAGGAAGTAGGTTCCAGCTGCACGCGGTTGTGCTCTGGGCATATTCCTGGCATCGCTTGGGAGACCAAACCAGAACTGGCCGGGGAGGGCAGGTGCCCTAACCCTGGACTGTCTCTCCAGCCCTCAAAGAAAGTCCTTCCTGAGGTGCCCCATCCCGACCGCCCCGGGAGGCTGGGATGCCCTGCCCCCCTGCGCCCGTCTCTGGGTGTCCCCTCTATCTGTCCTCTGGCAGACACGCAGGGTAACGCTCAGCCTCCCTCCTGCGGGCTGATGGGAGGAGACGCCAGTTGGCACCTTTGAGTAAGTCCAAGGTGGGTGTCCTTGCCTCCACTGGGCACTCAACCGCAGGATCCAGTGCAGACCTGATCGCTGGGGCGCCGGGGAGCTGGTCTCCCCACGACGAGGCCCCAGATCATGACAGTCTGTGGTGCCTGGGATGAGACGTGATCAGTGGCAGGCACTGTCCATGCAGCTGAAGCTGGCTGGCCATGGTGCAAGCAGGCTCCTGCGCTCTCCCAGCCGGAAACCCCTGCTGGCTGGCTCCCAGGATGTCAGCAGGAAAGGGGCGAGTGGCAGCTCTCAGCCCCAGGAGGAGGCAGGGAGGTAGGACGGGACAGGAGAACCAAGAATCTTTTCCCTGGTATCATGGGAAGCAGCTAAACTCCTTATTTATTTTGCTTTTTGGGTCACTCCCGGCGATACACAGGGGTTACTCCTGGCTCTGCATTCAGGAATTACTCCTGGCAGTACTCGGGGGACCATATGCAATGCTGAGAATCAAATCAGGTCGGCTGTGTGCAAGGCAAACGCTGTGCTATTGCTCCAGCCCCCTCTGAGGACCTTCTGTGGTGTCGGGCATCGAACTGGGCTCAGCTGCCTAGCACCCCCGCTGTCTCTCCAAGCTCTCAGCTAGGGAAGGCGGAGGTAAAAGCCGGTGTGCTTCATGTGGCCTGTTCAGTGCCACACTTTTCTCAAGTCTGTTCTTGCTGTTTCAAACCCCCCCGACCACCCCACTTCGGAAGATCATTTCAAGGAGGTTCTGGTTCAGTCCCCAGCACGAGCCTGGTGCGTGGTCCCCAAACACTGCGAGTGACCCCTGAGTAGCCCCTGAGCACTGCTGAGTGTCACCCCAAAAAAAACAAAACAAAAATTGGTCATACAGATGGATGGTCAGACAGATGGATATCCTCCCCCCTACCCCCCAGTACAGCGCCAACGTCCTGTCTAGCTGGTGTTTCAGAGCATGAGGCCGTCACGTCAGCAGCTGCCTGTGTTGGAGAGGGTGGGGTGCTCTGTCCGTGGCTGGCAGGCAGGCAGGTGCCAACAGACGTGGAAGGGCCGCAGCCCAGGGCGCTGGGGGAGCTGCCTCGGCTTGGTATCCCTCCCAGGGGCACTCGGCAACGCTGGACATGGTGCTTTATCTGAAAAGCCAGAAAAGCAACAACTCCGGGCCCAGGCCTTTGAGTCACAGGGAGTGGTGTCTTCCTGCCAGCGCTCAAGAGCAGCTAGTGACCCCCAAAGGTCGGCGTTCCCAAGGAAACCAGAGGAAGGATCTGACCATGTGCCGTGGCCAAAGCCCCGAGATGTTTAGTTCAGGAGGAAGTCACACTTACTAGGCTCCGAGCAACGCTGTCACGGCTGAGAAAAGGAAAGGAGGGACTGGAGCTGAGTACAGCAGGGAGGGCGCTTTCTTGGCACACAGCTGACCCGGATTCGATCCCCAGCATCCCATATGCTTCCCTGAGCACTGCAAGGAGTAACTCCTGAGTGCAGAGCCAGGAATAGCACCTGAGCATCGCCAGGTGTGACCCCCAAAAAAGTAAAAAAGGAAAGGAAGTTTCTAGGTGATATTTTTTATTGAATTACCATGAGATACAGTTGATTGAGTTTCAGTCATGCAATGTTCCAACACCCATCCCTCCAACCAGTGCCCATTCTTTACCACCAATGTCCACCCGTCCCCCCCATTGCCCCCCCTCCCACCCTGCTTCTGTGGCAGGCACATTCCCTTTTACTCTCTCTCTCCCTTTGGGTGTTATGGTTTACAGATACTAAGTGGTCATGTAATCACGAAATATTGTAAGTCTGTAACTATATCTCAAAGTGATTCATTGAAAAAAAGAAAGAAGGGGCTGGAGTGATAGCACAGCTGGTAGGGCGTTTGCCTTGCACGCGGCCAACCTGGGTTCGATTCCCAGCATCCCATATGGTCCCCCAAGCTCAGCCAGGAGTAATTCCTGAGTGCATGAACCAGGAGTAACCCCTGTGCATCGCTGGGTGTGACCCAAAAAAAGCAAAAAAAAAAGAAAAGAAAAGGGAAAAAAATGCTCACTGATGGAGGCATGGGTGTTCAATCATTGTATGACTGAAACTGGGCCTGGAGCAATAGTACAGCGGGTAGGGTGTTTGCCTTGCACTTAGTCAACCCCGGTTCGATTCCCAGCATCCCATATGGTCTCCCGAGCACCGCCAGGAGTGATTCCTGAGTGCAGAGCCAGGAGGAACCCCAGTGCATCGCAGGGTGTGACCCAAAAAGAAAAAAAAAAAACCTAAATCATGCAAGTTTGTAACTGTATCTCAAGGTGAGAATGCCTGTCTGCAGACACCCTCATGGCTGCCCTCACAGCCACCTCCTCTCCCTCCTCCCCAGGAAGTGCTCCTGGAGCTCCTGGAACAGTGCGCGGACGGGCTGTGGAAGGCCGAGCGCTACGAGCTCATGGCCGACATCTACAAGCTCGTCATCCCCATCTACGAGAAGCGCAGGGACTTCGAGGTACGCGCCGGCCGCCCTTCCCTTAGAAGGCAGAGACACAGGCACAGACCCCAGACTCCTGACGTGCTGGGAGCGCACGGGGGCGAGTGTGTACCCACCTGGGCCGGGCCCCTCTCTGCCCAGGCACAGAGCCTCAATCCCAAACTGCCGGCTCCGTAATTCCAGCTGATCCCTCGGAGACGTTCCAGGGTCAGAGTCTCTGTGCTCTGTCCCCCCCAGGGCGAACAGTCTTCGGGGGCTCAGCTTCCCATGCCCAGTTAGCAGGGGGAGGAAGGGGAACTGTGTCCAAGATGGTCATCCAGGGGGGCCGGGAGATAGTACAGGGGGCAGGAGCTTGCCTTGCATGTGGCTGACCCTTGTCCAATACCCAGCACCACCAGGAGTGACCCTTGAGCACAGAATTATGAGTAGCCCCTGAGCACCTCCAGGTGTGGCCCAAACCCCTCCCTCCTAAGACAGAACAAATAAAAAAATCCTACAAAATATTTAGGGGCTGGAGCCATAGTAGAGGGGGTTGGCGTGGGCATTTACCTTGCATGGCTGCCGACCCGGTTCAGTCCCCGGCACCCCAGAGGGTCTCCTGATTCATACGTTTCCACCTGGACCCCAAGAGGAGTGCTCCCTGAGCACTGCCGGTGTCACTCAAACAAGCAGAAAATATAAACGGAGCAAACCAGAGAAAGAAGATGGCGTTCTGAGACTCGCCATGGGCTGCCTCTCAGGGTTCCCAAGGATACGGGGGTGTCCAGCTTGCCCGCTGCTGCACGGACTCCCGGGGTGCTCAACACCCAAGGTGGCCCTTTGAGGAGGACATGGAACAGAACAATAGTGAACCCCCATCTGTTGCACCCACAAAGTGTATTCTTGATCCTCCCCACCCTGAAACATTTTCCATTTTGGAAAAGGGATGGGGGTGTTGTAGTTTGGACCACATCTGGCAGTGCTCCGAGGCACGTTCTCTCTCTCTCTCTCTCTCTCTCTCTCTCTCGTTCTCTCTCTCTCTGTCTCTCTGTCTCTCTCTGTCTCTCCTCCCCTCCCTCCCCTCTCTCTCCTTCTCTCTCCCCCTTCCCCTCTTCTTCTCTCCCTTCCCTCCAACCCTCCCCCACCCTACCCCTCCCCCTCCTCTTTTCCCTGGAGGGACCCCTGATAATGGCCAGGAACCATTCACAGTGCTGGGGATTCAGACCAGGCTGCCGGCCCCCCAAGGCCACAGGCAAGGCAAGCAGCTCCCTCCTACCCCATCCATCCTGGCCGTTTCACGCGCACGGTCCGGTTTAGCTGTTCCTTTGTGAGACTGAGCTCTGTGGTGCTTTGCAGAGGCTGGCGCACCTCTATGACACTCTACACCAGGCCTACAGCAAAGTGACCGAGGTCATGCACTCGGGCCGGAGGCTGCTGGGCACCTACTTCCGGGTGGCCTTCTTCGGACAGGTGAGTCCCTCTTTCCTCTGGGCACTCTGCCTCCCATGCGCACACACAGCACCCTTCTTTTTTTTTTTTTAAACTCCATAAAATTGTAGTTCACAAATGCTCTGTTTCCTGTAAATGCTGAGTTGATGAATTTGTATATTGACGATGATTCCTTTCTTCCTCCTGGTAAACTTTCTGCTTCTTTTTTTCCCCCCTTTCTGTCTTTCCTTTATTCCTTTCTTAAGGCAGCGGTAAGTTCTCCATCCCTCACCTGTCCTGCAACACCTCGAGGGGCTTGCGAGTTTCCTTTTCAAGTTGTATGTATGTGTGTTCCAGTCATCGCAAACACCAAAAAAAAAAAAAAAAAGATAATAACAGTTTATTACATCTACAGAAATAAATCATCTGTCTCCTTATACATCAGTACTGCATGTTTTAAACCAAAATTAAGACTGTCCCATGTGTGATATAATATCGCCATTAGAGTTTCCATTGTAATCTTCCAGAAACCCCCTGTGAAGGGTTGACGTCAATTTAACTGAAAGCTCCACCTCCAAATCTCTAACATGATTAAATGGTATCAGCTATACTCCCTCATTCATTTAGGGTGTATGGGGTTTTTATGAGCATCCTATAACCTTCAATTTATTCTGTTATTGTCTCTTAAAACGCTATAGCAATACCAGTTTACAGACAGTGAAACAGATGTGGAGGTAATTACAGTCGGTGCTTACAAGCAAGTAATGTAGTAAAGTGACTGCATCTAAACTCCTAGTTTGATGTGGGTGCTTTTCCTTTCACGTTCCTAGCCTGCATATTTTTGTTGTTAATATCCTGTAATTTTTTTTGTACCATTTTCACTCTTTTGTTTTAGATGAGAAACTTTTTTGATTTTCATTTGTTTCACCTATTAACCTCCATCTAGTGTGTTTTTCACGTTTTCAACCCCCTTCACTTCCCCTGCTAGCAGAGGTTTTGCTCTGCATGGACCACAATTGACCCTAAAACATAAACGATGACTCCTGCTGACCGGAATACCCCCGGCGTCGGCACCCCAGCCCCGCCCGGCACCTTTCCGGTCAGTAAAGCAAGTCAAGCCCGCTCCAGACCCTGGCCCTTCATTTGGCCCTGAAAAATCCTGTCAGCGGGTGCATTTGGGAGCCCCGGCGGGGGCCAGCCACTCCGTCTGTCCTTCTGAGACCTGCTTCTTGGGAAAGTGAAACAGGGGTGGACCTGTGCACCCCACCCCCACTCGAACACAGTCTGAACCCCCGTCTCCCTCTTAACGCAGTGTCTGTGAGTGAGCTGACATTGGTGCTCATCTCCTCCTCATTCTTAGGAACTCCATCGCCTCCTCCTTGTCCTTCCTCTTTGGGCAACCTGAGCAGCATTTTCTTTTACAGTCTTCTTTGTCTTTTTTTTTTTAACTCATTAAAGAATCCTTCCCCGGGTGATTCTCCCGGGACTGAGGCTCAGGGCTCCTGTCTCACCGGGCTCTCCCTCATAGGGCTTCTTTGAGGACGAGGATGGGAAGGAGTATATTTACAAGGAACCCAAACTCACGCCTCTGTCGGAGATCTCACAGCGACTCCTGAAGCTCTACTCGGCTAAGTTCGGTTCCGAAAACGTCAAGATGATTCAGGATTCTGGCAAGGTAGGACTCCGCGCAGAAGTGCCTGTGTTGGTTGTGATGCGCCGTTGCCGGGGCCAGACGGGGTCCGTCATATTTCATATATTCGTAAGTGCATGTAGTTGGGGGGGGGAAGGTCCGAGGAGTATTCAGAATGGCCGGCAGTGGAAGCGTATTTGGTTTTAGTTCTCTCTGCCTTCCCCAGACAGGCTTCATGGAGCAGATATTTCCCCATTTAAAAATTACAGCCCCTCCCAGGAGGGGAGATGCATGTCGAAAGTAGACTATGGACTGAACATGTTTGCCACTCAATGCCTCTTTTGCAGACCACAACACCCAAAAGGAGAGAGAGAACACAGGGGATTGCCCTGCCACAGAGACGGGGGGATGGGGGGATGGGGGTGGGAGGGATATTATCCATGGTGGTGGAAAATGGGCACTGGTGGAGGGATGGGTATCTGATCATTGTATAATTGAAACCAAAGCACAAAAAATTGTAAATCTACAACTTTAAAAAAAATAAAATAAAATAAAGGGGAAAAAAAAAAAGAAAAAAAAAATTACAGCCGTGGGGCTGGAGCGATAGCACAGCAGGGAGGGCATTTGCCTTGCACACGACCGACCCGGGTTCAATTCCCGGCATCCCATATGGTCCCCCGAGCACTGCCAGGAGTAGGTCCTGAGTGTATGAACCAGGAGTAACCCCTGCACAACACCGGGTATAACCCAAAAAGAATAAATAATAAATAAAATAAAAATTACAGCCAGGGCTGGAGCAATAACACAGCAGGTAGGGTATTTGCCTTGCACGTGGCCAACCTGGGTTCGAATCCCAGCATCCCATATGGTCCCCCAAGCACCGCCAGGGGTAATTCCTGAGTGAAGAGCCAGGAGTGACCCCTGTGCATCGCCAAATGTGACCCAAAAAGAAAAAAAAAAAAAGCCGTTTGGCAAAAAAAAAATAAATAAAAGTAAATTCTTAAAGAGAGGATGATTTTCATCAGCATTGGTAAACTTGGGAGTAGAAACCCACTTCTGCTTCTCACCTTTGTCTCCTTGACTCTGAGTGCACAGACAGACGGACGGGCACTCGGATATGCCCTGGTACCTCCAGCACTGCATCCCCACACCCTGGAACTGAGCCTGGGGGCCCAGAGTACTGGGAGCAACTTCCCCGGGCCCCATGACAACCCCCACACCCAGCGTTGCCTGGGGAGTCCAGAGAGCAAATACACAAACTACTCTGCAAGCCGCAGGGTCCATCTCCCCCTCCCTGAGGGTGCCAGGCGTTCTCACTCCCGTGACGCGTGGCCTGGCTTCTGGACAGCCCGGCTCCGACCCTGCTCTCTCCAACCCAGAACCAGGCCCTACCCCGTGCCTACGTCCTCAGATGTGCAGTGAGAACCCCCTGCACAGACACCCACTCACACCACCCCATTCAGGTGACTTCTGCTAGAGAAAGCCAAGTTAAATAGCAAGGATGGAGCAAGGCGGCTTTCTCTGAAATCACTCTGTGATTTCTGTTCTTTGGGTTCCTTATTTTGCCCTGCTGGGGATCAAACCCAAGGCCTCAAGCCAGCTGACCAAGTGCTCTTCCACTGAACCATGTCCCCGACCTTCACCCGATTCTGAACTTGGAACCCTTAAGGTCCTTCCTCGCTCATCTTTTTTCCTGGCCCTCCAGTTTAGAGTCCTGGTAAGACCATCCCGCCCTCCTCCTGCCTGTGCGGGTTCTAGGGCCTCTGCCAGGATCCTCTCTCCTTCCCCTGGTTCTCACTCTGGAAGCTTCCACACAGCTCACGCGGGCACCGCTGATCGGCCTCCCTGACTAGCTGTGGTTTCCGTGTGGAAAATGCCTGTGTGGCCTCATACCCCGGCAGAATGGTCGAACCCTGCCGATTTAACAACACCGTCTTGGGCCAGAGAGGTGGTACAGCGGGGAGATGCCTGCCTTGCACACAGCCAACCTGGGTTTGATTTCTGGCACCACATGTGTTTTCCTCGAACACCACCAGGAGTGATCCCTGAGCACAAAGGCAGGACTGAGCCCTTTGCACTGCTGGGTGTGGCCCAGAAACCGAAAAAATAAAAATTAAGTTGTGTCGAAAGCATTTGTATGTGGAGTTAATTAGCAACGGCTCTTACAGGGCAGTTAATCCTTATCTGTATTAAATTAATTTTTATACATCTGTTCACGGGCTGGAGCGATAGAACAGTGGGTAGGGCATTTACCTTGCATGCAGCCAACATGGCCGACCCGAGTTCGATTCCTCCGCCCCTCTTGGAGAGCCCGGCAAGCTACCGAGAGTATCTCGCCCTCACGGCAGGGCCTGGCAAGCTGCCCGTGATGTATTTGATAATGCCAAACACAGTAACAAGTCTCACAATGTTACTGGGCCCACTCGAGCAAATCGATGAACAGCAGGAGGACAGTGACAGTGATCTGTTTGCTTCTAATCTGTCTGCAATTAAAGATAACTTAAGGACCTGGTTGTTGATGTTGTGTGAGGGGCAGAGGAGGACTCCCGAGCAGTGCTCAGAACCCCCTGGGCATAACTCAGAACATTCTCAGCCCGGTGCTGCTGGCCTGCGGTCAGTGGGAGGCCCAGCAATGTGATCAAGCTTGAGCCCAGTGCTGTGGGGCCTTCCGGGCTACGTCTGGTGGTGCTGGGACAGACACGAGGTACTGGGGATCAAACTCGGGACCTCGCACATGGAAGACAAGGGTGCCAGACGTCTCCCCAACCCAAGGGCCGAGCTGCCCACAGTCTCACTAAAATAGATTTCCCTTCAAGCCTGAGTAGTAGAGTTCAGGACCTAACCCGAGAGTCCGGAGGAGACGTCACCCAGCAAGAAAACTAGCACAATATCCCTAAGAGGTCCCGTGGCACCAGGAGGCCGGGGAGGTGTTTGTCTTGAAGCAAGTCGAGATCGAGAGAGGCAACAAGGAACTCAGGGTACAATGTGACCAACTACTTAGATTCTGGGTTACACTCTTCCTTTTTTTCTCTTTTTGGATCACACTCAGCGATGCTCGGGGGTTGTTACTCCTGGCTCTGCGCTCAGGAATTACTCCTGGTGGTACTCGGGGGACCATATGGGATGCCGGGGATTAGAACTCAGGTCGGACACTTGCAAGGCAAATGCCCTACTCGCTGCACAATAGCTCCGGTCCTCTGACTTACACTCTTAGACGGCATGAATAACACTCTGGGGACAGTTGAGTGACGCCCCTTCATAGACTCGAGCCGGGCAGGTGATAGCCGGGAACAGATATGCATTTGGTCAGGCATGATGGTTATTGTGGAGGTGAAACACAGCACCCTGATTTTCAGAGACGGTGGCCGGAAGGTGGTGCAGGATCATCAGTCACAAAATATGTGTGTGTCTAAGCGATACGTGTGGGGAGGAGGGGGGGTTGATATTTGGAACGAAAACAGCAAACAGAAGGTTAACAGTTGTTGTGAGTGGTATTTGCTGCGCTGTTGGTTCCAACTTTTCAGAAATACTCCCCCCACCCATCCCTCGAAATCACCGAACTTCCTGCATCCACCTGCTCACAGGTCAACCCGAAGGATCTGGATTCCAAGTTCGCCTACATCCAGGTGACCCACGTGACCCCTTTCTTCGACGAGAAAGAACTGCAGGAGCGGAGAACCGAGTTCGAGAGGAGCCACAACATCCGCCGCTTCATGTTCGAGCTGCCGTTCACGCAGGGGGGCAAGCGGCAGGGGGGCGTGGAGGAGCAGTGCAAGCGGAGGACCATCCTCACAGGTACCCCGCCCTGACCCCACGTTGGGAGACACATGTGTGGGGACCAGAGCCATAGGACAGCAGAGAGGGTGTTGGCCTTGCACGTGGCTGATGCCGGTTCCATCCCTGGGGCCCCGTAGCATCCCCCAGGCCCTGCCAGCTGGATTCAGCCCCAGGTGCAGCTGGGTGTGGCCCAAAAGCCAAAGGAAAAAAAGCAAAAAACAATTTTGAAAATTACACCAGTGAGGGGCTGGAGCAATAGCACAGCGGGTAGGGCGTTTGCCTTGCACGCAGCCAACATGGCCGACATAGGTTCAATTCCCAGCATCCCATATGGTCCCCCGAGCACTGCCAGGAGTGATTCCTGAGTGCATGAACCAGGAGTAACCCCTGAGCATCGCCGGGTGTGACACAAAAAGCAAAAAAAAAAAATTACACCAGTGAGACCAGAGGTTCTCTGGAAGGATCCAGAAGCTTCTAGAATTGGAAGGGCACTTGAAGCTTCGAGGACTCTTCCCTCATCCCCACGTTGCTGTGCCGTTGGCCTCACTCTTGCTTGTGGCTACCCAGGTGTGTCTCCTGATCTGCGTTTCCTTCTTCTCCCGGAAGTTCATGGCAGGCGTAAGATCTCTGGGTATTTGAGCACACTGGGCCCTGGTCGGCCCCAAATGCTTTAGGCTCAGTTCCAGGCAACTTACAGGCCTGTTCCAACACCCACCGGGATACCCCCTCAAGGTGCACAGTCCCCGGTCCGTGACCCCTGGACACAGCCCGTGTCCTCTTCCCGGAGGAGACCCCCAGCCCAAAGAGGACAATGTCCTCTTCTCTGACACAGACCCCAGCACGGAGCAATGCAGAGCTTTGTGGCAAGGTGGGTCAGTGCCACAGGAAGTGAGAAAGCTCCTTCCTACCCGCTCATGGGTGATGTTTTATTTTTTTTTCTTTTTGGTCACACCCAGCAATGTTTCAGGGGTTACTCCTGGCTCTGCACTCAGGAATTACCCCTGGTGTTGCGCAGGGGACTATATGGGATGCTGGGAATCGAACCCAGGTCAACCACATGCAAGGCAAACGGCCTACCCTCTGTGCTATTGCTCCAGCCCCTCACAGGTGATGTTTTAATCGCTCCTCAGGTGCTGCTGAGCCAATGACAACTCGGTGTCAGAAACGTGCTTCTTTTTTTTTTTTTTTAATCATTTCCCATTTCCTGACTCAGCAGAGCATCTACAGTGGGGGTGGGGCTGGGAGGCACAATCTTCACCTTCACGGGGGCGTAGGGGGGGTGCGCCCCATCCATCTTAGAGCAGAGCGGGCACATAACAGGAGTAACAGAAAATAAAACACTTCATTTACTTTAAAAACAAAGTCCGTTGGGGCTGGAGCAGCAGTTTAGGGGTTCAGCCATTTGCCAGCTTGTGGCCTACCCCAGCTCAGTCCCTGGCACCAGTGTGGTCCCCTGAGCAGGGCCTGGAGGCCCCCAGGTATTGCCCAGGTGGCCCAAGTACGCCCTGGCCCACCAGCTAGGTTCTCGTGTTGAACTGTCTGTTGGCCCAGCTGGGAGAAAAGCACTGGGCAGGGCCCCTTGGCCTTTGGGACCCCTCCCCATAATAAACTAAGCTACGTAGAGAGACCTGGGAGGTGGGGGACGGGGTGTCTGTCTCCTCTGTTAAGACACAGTTCATGGTGGTGGCTAGTCACTCTAGAAGGCTGTGCGGCTCAAGTGGGCCCCCGGCCCCCCTCTGAATTGTCCCTTTTAAACGGATGAATTGTGTGGTCCAGGCTCTCCCAGGGAGGCCGAGGCCCGTAGACCCCCACCAAACAATGCTCAAACTCAGCAGCACGTATCACGGAAGTGCCTTTCCCGGGAGCGCACCAAGATCAAAGTCCCAGTGTCCTCCGAACAGACGGTTCTTGCTTTAGCCCCGGCCACGGCTGGCAGTCACCAGGCTCACGTGCCGCGTAGAGCCCCACCCCAACCCCCCCCCGCCCCGCTGTCAATGGCTGTCCCTCCAGCACCCACAAATGTTTGTTGAGCAGGACGCCACATCTCCGGGTGAGTCATCGCCTGAGAATTTGCCGGCACGGGAGAACCAGCCTCCGGCAGGCGACCCACAAAGTGCAGCCTCAGCACCCGAGCTCCGGGGCAATGCAGAGTCCCAGGCCCTGCCCAGCCCTGCGGAGTCAAGCTCTCTGGACCCTGCAGGGCTGAGGTCAGGCTGAGGCCAGGCCACTTCCGATGCTGTTTGCTCCAAGGCTGAGGGGCTGAGAATTTGCTGCCTCTGGACTTTTCCGGGCAGTTGTCCTCTGCGTCCCTCTGCAGAGTGCTGTTGTGTCACCAAACTGTTAGATTAGATAAAGGAGCCAGGGGCCAAAGAGTGACTCCTGCACCTGGAGGCCAAGGGGACACACTGTTGGCCCAGGACGTCACTGCTGAGGGACCGGGGGGGGGGGGGGGGGGTGCCCCTACCGTTGTGTTCATGTTCAGAGATTCACAGGAGAAAAGTCGGGCTTCCTGCAGAGGGATCTGACATGGGTCCCAGACATGGGCACAGTGCGGCATTATTAGGGTCACCGAGAGGAGAAAAGATTCAGGGACCTTTTTTTTTTCTTTTTGCCAGTGTGCCCAGAAGTAAGTCTTAGATGCACCTGGCGGTGCTCTGGGCTTACTCCTAGCTCTGTGCTCAGGGTTTATGCCAGACAGCCCCAGGGGAACCGGATGCAGAGCCAGGAACTGAACTGGGACCAGCGGCATGCACAGCAAGTGCCCTAGCTGCAGGACTCTCTTCCTGCTCCCCTTCAGTTCCTCTCTGCCCCCCCCCCCTCCCATTTATTTCTGGGTGGTGCCTATTGATGGATTCCAGGGCCTCATGTATGCTTCACCACTGAAGTTTTTATTTTTTTGAGGCTTTAAGGAGGGCCATACCTGGTGGTGCTCAGGGCCTACTCCTGACTCTGTGCTCAGGGGTCTCTCCTGTTGGGACTTGGGACACCCCGGGTGGTGCCAGGAATTGAAGCCAGGTCAGCTGTGTACAAGGCAAGCTTCCTCCCCGCTGTGCCTCGGCCCTTTTTTAGGCCAGTGTTGCTCAGGGGTGGCTCTTGGCTTGGCTCTGACTCGGGCATCACTGGTGGTCATGTCAGGGATCAAACCAGGGTCTGCCGTGTGCAAGGGGAGCACCCGGCCTGCTGACCTCTCGCTCCGGCCTGAGGTTGGGGACTTGAGAGGGAAGGAAGGAAGGCCAGGAGACCGGAAGCCCAATGCTGGACTGTGCCCAGTGCCTAGATTCTGATGGCATCCTCAGCTATTTCGCGGTCCTCGGTCTGTTCTTCAAGGCCATGTACAGCTGTTCTAACGCAATTCCGTGAGGCATTAACGGGCATTGCTGACCCTGGGTTTCTCAGGCCTTAGATTTCATCTGCTTAAAATAACCCACAAGCTCAAGTAACACTTATTTTTTTCTGCTATCATTCTTATGAGTGACCCCTGCTACCTCCCAGCAACTCTCCCCCACCTCCCAGAAGTGACCCCAAAATTAAAGACCCCTTTGGGGCCAGGGAGCTGGTTCTAGGGTTAATGACTGTTTTGTGTGTTGGGGCTCAGGTTTAATCCCCTGAGTTCCACAGGAGCTACTACAGAACACCAGGCCAAGAGTAGCTTCAGAGCACCACCAGGTGTGACGCCCCCCGCCCCCCCAAAAAAAATTTAATCAGTAGTGTATTTGACGGTGGCTTCTCCTGGGCCGCTTCCCTCTTAGCACAGCCGTGAGACCCAAGTTCCAGCCTCGCTCTTGACCTTGGGCAAGTTACACAACCTCTCTGTGCTTTAGTCTTCTGCCCTGGGAAACGAGAGCCCTGACTTCCATCCTGGGTTTTGTGATTCCATCAGCCCTGAGCTCAACCCCAAGACAAACTACGAATCACATGACAAATTTTGTGAAGGGAGAGAGGTGTGTTTCATCTGGTGGCTAGATCCCACCCACTATGGAACTTTTTTGTTGAGTTTTGGTTTGGGTCACACTTGTTGATGCTCAGGGGTGACTCCTGGCTCTGCACTCAGGAATTACTCCTGGCAGTGTTCCCGGAACCCTTTGGGATGCTGGGAATTGAACCCAGGTGGGCCACGTGCAAGACAAGAGCCCTCCCTGCTGTCCTATCATAGCTGTGGTCCCAACTATTGAGCTTCTTGGTCTGAGCAGAACGTTGTCCTCTGGGGAAAAACAAGAGTGTGTGTTTGGGCCCTGGTAGACGAAATGGAGAGGCCAGAGATGAAGCCTCTCTCAAGAGTGGGAGGGGGGACTGGAGTGATAGCACAGCGGGTAGGGCGTTTGCCTTGCACGTGGCCAACCCAGATTCGATTCCCAGCATCCCATATGGTCCCCCAAGCACCGCCCGGAGTGATTCCTGAGTGCAGAGCCAGGAGTAACCCCTGAGTATCGCTGGGTGTGACCCCAAAAAGGTAAAGGTAAAGAAAGGTAAAGGCCCTCCCGTTGATCATCGATTTGCTCGAGCGGGCCCAGTAACGTCTCCATTGGAGACTTTGTTGTTACTGTGTCTGGCATATCGAATACTCTCGGTAGCTTGCCGGGCTCTCCGAGAGGGGCGGAGGAATCGAACTCGGGTCGGCCATGTTGGCCGCGTGTAAGGCGAACGCCCTACCCGCTGTGCTATCGCTCCAGCCCCAAAAAAAAGGTGAAAATAAAAAAGAGTGGGAGGGGGCATCTGAACATGCTGCCTTGCAGCCACTGTTGCTGGAGACCTCAGGACGGCAGAGAAGAAAAGGGGGCTATAGGCAGGGAGCTGCCCCTCTCTTCCCCCCTACCTGTCAGGGTTCACAGGAGCATGGCATCGCGGGGGACTGGGGTGGTGTTGCCAGTGTCTTTGCTCTGTCCCAGAGAGAGCCCCTTCCTTTGGGCCCTCCAGCACCCGCCACAGGCTTGGCCCAGCCTGGGATTTGCTTGTCCCTGGGGAACGTTTCCTGAAGATTCCCCTAAGCATTCCCCTAACAAGTCCGTCAGGAGCAAAAGCCATTGGAGAGGGCAGCGAGGGAGCTCCCGGACTCAGGAGCACTTTGCCAAGGGGAAGGTGGGAGGCAACCTCTGGCAGAGCCGGGCTGGCATCCGTGGGGGTCTCAGGGATCCCCGGGAGAGAGTGTGCAGCATCCAGGGGCCAGGCAGGCGCACGCAGTTGAGGAACAGAGAACACGCACAGTCATGCACCACACAGGCGAAGCCTTACCAAGACATCACGGGACTTTCCCGTCAGCAATGAGGACCGGGGGGGGAGGGGGGGGGAAGGTTCCGGCACCTGGTCCCCCCAACTGCTTCTGTCCAGCCTGGGGGTCCCTGCTGATGCAGGGTATTTTGGGTTCCAGATGTCTGGGGAGGAGGGTTGCCCCTTGTGCTTGGGTGGGCTTCCTGGCTCCTAGGCTCTCCGTCCCCACTTCCTGTGCTGTCCTCATGACTGGGAGCGGGGGGGAGGCATGGATTTTGTTTGGTAAAACACGTGGCCTGCCAGTGAGTCATACCTGGGTTCTGTTTTGACAAGGGAAGGGAGGGGAACGCAGAGTCACACGAGTCTCAATTGATAACGAGCTCAGGAGTGATGGGTCAGGATATTCCTAAGACTTTGCTCTCATGAGGTTGGACCCGTGTTGTTCGTTCCACAGAACAGCTCCCCGGCCATAACCTTGGGCCTTTCGGGTGGGTGCGGGCAGGGGTGGCAGCCGGTTGTGCCCTCTGAACCCTGCCAAGGTTCCCGCTGTGGTCACTTGGCTTGTCACTTAGGCTGTGATTGTGTGGCAGCCTGGAGACACACACACACACCCTCCCTGCCAAGGAACCCGTGGGCTCACATCTGTGCAGATGGCCAAGCCCAGGAGCCCCAACTGTGCCAGGGAGGGAAATGGATTTGTTGGGGAATGTCCTGGATCAAGCCTGGGCTGTGGTGTCTCAAGGCCACTGCCTGGGTCTTTGTTGTTCTCACGGCCGCCTTCCACCTCCAGCACTCTCTGCAGAGCTGGACAGGCAGGAAAAAAAAGTAGAGCAGGGAAGGACAGAGAGATGCCCCAAAGACGCCTTTCTCCAAAAGAGGGGCGGCAGAAGCCCGGCCACGCTTGCCACGTGCCGTCTGAGAAACAAGCCCTTGGTTTCCGGAAACGGTGGCCTTGTCTGTCATAAAGGGGAACAGGGCTGGAGCGATGGGACAGCGGGCAGGGCCCTTGCCTCACATGCATAGAACCCAGATTTGAGCCCCGCCATTCCCTATGAATCCCTGAACCTGCCAGGATGATCCCTGAGAGCAGCAGAGCCAGTCCTGGGCACCCTGAATGCAGGGGAGGGTTGAGGGGCACAGGGAATAGGGGAACCAGCACCCCCAGCCCTGCCCTGCCCGGAGACACTGTGAGGGTGACCCGGGCCCCTTTGTCCACAGCCATCCACTGCTTCCCGTACGTGAAGAAGCGGATCCCCGTCATGTACCAGCACCACACAGACCTGAACCCCATCGAGGTGGCCATTGACGAGATGAGCAAGAAGGTGGCCGAGCTCCGCCAGCTGTGCTCCGCGGACGAAGTGGACATGATCAGGCTGCAGCTGAAGCTCCAGGGTAGCGTCAGTGTGCAGGTGAGTGTGGACACAGTGTGAGTGTGGACACAGTGTGAGTGTATAAGTGAGTGTAGACACGTCTGAGGGTACAGGTGGGTGTGGACATGGCATGAGTGTACATGTGAGTGTGGACACACATGAGGGTACAAGAGAGTGTGGATGCGGCGTGCGCATGCAGGTGAGTGTGGACATGGCGTGAGTGTATAAGTGAGTATGGACACAGCGTGACTATATAATTGAGTGCGGACATGAGTGTATGAGTATGGGCACTGCATGAGTGTGCAGGTGAGTTTGGACACAGCATGAGTGTGTAGGTGAGTGTGGACACGGCGTGAGCATATAAGTGAATATAGACATGGTGTGAGGATACAAGTGAGTGTGGACATGGCGTGAGCGTACAGTTGAGTGTGGACATGGTGTGAGTGTGAGGGTACAGGTGAGTGTGGACGAGACGTGAGTGTGCAGGTGAGTGTGGACATGGCGTGAGTGTATAAGTGAATATGGACACAGCGTGAGTGTATAATTGAGTGCGGACACGACATGAGTGTATAAGTGAGTCTGGACACTGCGTGAGCGTGCTGGTGAGTGTGGACGTGGCGTGAGTGTTTAAGTAAGTATAGACGTGGCGTGAGGATACAGGTGACTGTGGACGCGGCGTGAGTATGCGGGTGAGTGTGGACATGGCGTGAGTGTACAGGTAAGTGGACACAGCGTGAGCATGCAGGTGGGTGTGGACACGGTGTGAGTGTACCCGTGAGTGTGGACACATGTGAGTGTACAGTTAAGTGTTGACACAGCATGAATGTGCAGGTGCGTTGTGGGTGTGGTGCCAGGATGCTTCTCGGGGTACAGAGGCAGGGATGCCGTCAGCTCTTCTGAAGCACTTGCTCTCCGCTGCCTATAAAACTCTTATCTGAAAAAAGCACCGAAGTTTCCCTCGCAGAGTCCCTGAGGTCATACACGATCCTTCACCCCAGCACAGAGCCCAGCTGCCGCTCCCCTGTGCCCAGGGCTTGTGCCAGCCCAGGAATCTCCGGGGTGGAGCTCTCTCTCTCTCTGTCTCTCTCTCTGTCTCTCTCTCTCTCTCTCTCTCTCTCTCTCTCTCTCTCTCTCTGTCTCTCTCTCTCACTCTCCTCTCATGCTTATCTGCACTCTCGCTGCCCCTTGGTATCTATTCGTGGAGGCAGAGAGGAGTCAAGATCCCCAGGAGTGTGGCCGCCCTGGATAAAGGCCTCCTTGGTCTGGGGCTGGAGTGGTAGTACAGCGAGGAGGGCGCTGGCCTTGCATGTGGCAGGCCCGGGTTTGATCCCTGACACCCCATACGGTCCCCCGAGCTGCCCCACTACACTAGAGTAATTCTGGTGTAACCAGCTGGAAGGGGTCTGACTCTGAATACAAAGCTCGGCCACCTTCTTGCACATCTTGAACATCTCCAGGTGTGGCTCAAAAACCAAGAAAAAAATTAAATATATATCTATATTCACTGACTGTATAATCATATTCAGCTTGTGGACATGCAGCGGGACACACAGCATAGCCCCTTCTCCCTCTTTTGGCTTGTCCATGCTGGGCTGTTCTAGAAAGTTCTCCTACAGGGTTCGGTGGGAAATCAGAAAATGTGGACTCGGGTGATAGGTAAAAGCCTAGAATGTGCGAGGCTGTGAGTCCAGCCCCTAGCACACGTGGCTACCCCCAGCACAGTGGTCCCGCACACAAACTGTCAGGCCAAGCCTTGCCACAGTAGCTCCTGAAAAAAAGAAAAGAAATGACCGCACCCCCCCAACCCCCCCTCCAGTAGCCCTGGGCCTTGTTGATATTCCTAGGTGTATGCAAATCACTCCTGTGAGTTTTGCACAGTTGCATGTTTAGTCCCCTGGGCCTTCTTCTGACCCCAGTTAAGAAGGATGCAGGTATACGTGTGCATGCATGCATGCGTGTGTGCGTGCGTGTGTGAGTGTGTGTGAGAGCTACATGGAGGTTGCAGCACAGAGATTTGGGGCTTCTCCTTGGTTCATTTTCCTGAAGCGAGTGTTTGGTTCGGGTGGATACTGTGTTATTTCGGCCTTTGTGTTTTTATTTTGTCTATGAAACCTGATTCGAAGCACCGTGATTTATAGAGCTGTTCACAGCACAGTTGTTTCCAGTGTTGAATATTCCAGACCGATCGCAACACCAGCATGACCTTCCCTCCACCCAGTTTCTGGGAACACAAAAACATGTCCCCAGCTTCCCACCCACCCTCAAAGCCCCCTCCCACCTTGGCAGGCACAGACTAGTTTACTTCATGCTTGTTCCAGGAACATCTCACACCCGTGTTACTAAAGTCACTGCCTGCGTGTGTCCTGAGCTCTCCAGTACTAGTTGAATCCCCTCTACATTGTTTCCATTCATTGACTTCAGTGAGCGTGTCCGCAGAATCTCCTGTGCTCCCTCTGGGCTGTCTGCTCTGAAGTTCGGAGCTGTCACCGGCCGCCAACGGGAGCCCGATGTCCCTAAAGGTCTTTTCTAAGTCTGCTTTGCCTCTGAAAGACTCACAATCCACAGCTCTCTCTCGCACGCAGCCCCAAACATTTTCCCGGGCGGCCGAGTGAGTTACCTGGTGCCTCTGGGAAGGTCCCGGCAGTGCTGAGCCATGACCTAACCGGGCCAGAGATTACATCTTGGCAGCTCGAATCAGAACCGCCGGGAAGCATGACCTGGGGACCCTATGGCTCCCGAGAGGCGGGGCCGAGGGTGTGGTGGTGGCCAGGAGGGCGAGGCCAAGGCCAGGCAGCATCTGCTGGTGACCTCGGCTCTGCCGTCTTAGAAAGCCAGACCTGGTGACGAAGGGGACCCTGCTTACACAGAGCAGGAGCTCAGGGGGATGATCCGGGTGGTGTCATTCCGATGTGCCTCTCGTTTGTTTCTGCACCAGCCTCCCTGGGGTCACTGTCTCTGGGGGCGGCTGGCCTCGAGGCATCAGACCTCAGCAGTGTCGGGGTTCAGCCGTTGGTCTGTCATACCTTGCAGACCCCCCCCCATTAATCCACACGCATCTCGGGGATGTGTGCCTGCATGTCCTGTGAGCACTGTCACACTGGCAGCCCCTGGGCCAGCCATGCCCTGCACACTGCCTATTAGCACCCCCCACGGGCCTGTCCCTCCTGGCCTCCGGTGAGCCCACCCATACTCCCCGAGTGCTCTGTGGCTCCTTCCCAGCCATCACCAACGCCCACGACTTTCTCCTTCCTCTTCTCCTTGGTCCCCGGCCTACCCATGCTGGGAGCGTCCCTGGCTCCTCCATGAGGCTCTGCCTTACCCGCCATGTTCCCTCCAGGGCCCAGACTCTGTCCTCTGGTTCAGTGCCGCATGTGGGGAGGGGAAACCAGCACCCCCTCCCCTCCCCGATTCCCTTCACAGCCAGAGATGCCACAGTGGCATCTGGGTGCCGTGGAGAGGCTGCTCCCAGCTCATACCCAGATGCTTGGGGAAACCAGGCCGTGGTAGGAACCGAGCCAGAGCCCCCCACACGCAGACCACGCACCCCTCCCTGGCTCAGGCCCGCGGGACTCTCAAGCACCCCTTCATCCTACAGAAAGTGACCCACCTTCTCGGGGCCGGAGAAGTAGCTCAGCGGGAGGACATTGGCCTGCACACGGTCAAGCCAGGTTCAATCCCCGGCATCCCGTATCATCCCCCAAACAAACACCACCAGGAGTGATTCCTGAGCACAGAGCCAGGAGTAACACCCGAGCATTGCTGGGTGTGACGCAACCCCCCCAAAAAATAAGAAATGGAAGCAAACCACCTCAGGGTCGGGAGGTAGTTGAGCTTCGTAAAACCGAACACGGCAGCTTTTTCCATTTCTTTTGGGGGAGTGAGAAGTTTCCAGAGCACTTTTAGCAGAAGCCAGTGAACGAATGGCGACATGAAAACAGCCCCTTCCTCCAGGATGTACCTGAGCGCCTCGTTCCTTCCCCAGGTCAATGCGGGCCCGCTGGCGTATGCCCGGGCTTTCCTGGACGACACTAACACCAAAAGATACCCAGACAACAAAGTGAAGCTGCTGAAGGAAGTCTTCAGGTAAGGCCCTCAGGGGTCTTCAGGTGGGGCTCTCAAGGGTCTTCAGGTGAGGCCCTCAGGGGTCTCCAGGTGGTGCCCTCTCGGTCTTCAGGTGAAGCCTTCAGGGGTCTTCAGGTGAGACCCTCGGGGTCAGCTCAGGGCCTCAGGGTCAGCTCAGGGCCTCGGGGTCAGCCCAGGCCCTCAGGGCCAGCCCAGGCCCTCAGGGCCAGCCCAGGCCCTCAGGGCCTCGGGGATTAGCTCAGGGCCTCGGGAGTCAGCTCAGGGCCTCTGAAGTCAGCTCAGGCCCTCAGTGTCAGCTCAGTTCCTAGGGTCAGCTCAGGCCCTCAGGGGTCAGCTCAGGGCCTCGGACTCAGCTCAGGCCCTCTGGGGTCAGCTCAGGCCGTTGGGGGTCAGCTCAGGGCCTCAGGGTCAACTCAGGGCCTCAGGGGTCAGCTCAGGGTCTCGGGGTCAGTTCAGGGCCTCAGGGTCAGCTCAGGGCCTCTGAGGTTAGCTCAGGCCATCAGGGGTCAGCTCAGATCCTCCGGGGTCAACTCAGGCCCTCAGGGTCAGCTCAGGCCCTCTGGGGTCAGCTCAGGCCATCGGGGTCAGCTCAGGCCCTCTGGGGTCAGCTCAGGCCATCAGGGTCAGCTCAGGATCTGGGATCAGCTCAGGGCCTCAGGGTCAGCTCAGGCCCTCTGGGGTCAGCTCAGGACCTCGGGGTCAGCTCAGGCCCTCTGGGGTCAGCTCAGGCCGTCAGGGGTCAGCTCAGGCCGTCAGGGGTCACCTCAGGCCCTCAGGGTCAGATCAGGCCCTCTGGGGTCAGCCCAGGCCATCAGGAGTCAACCCAGGTCCTCAGGAGTCATCCCAGGGCCTCGGGGTCAGCTCAGGGCCTCGGGGTCACCTCCTGCTTCCCTTCACAGCACTGCCCACTTCCTTCAAGGTGAGGTCGAGGGGTCCTGTGCTCCTCCCACTCCTGCCTTTATTTCCCGCCCCCTGCAGGCAGTTTGTGGAGGCCTGCGGCCAGGCCTTGGCGGTCAATGAGCGTCTGATCAAGGAGGACCAGGTCGAGTACCAGGAGGAGATGAAGGCCAACTACAGGGAGATGGCCAAGGAGCTGTCGGAGATCATGCGCGAGCAGGTCTGTACCACCCTAGCCGGGGTCGCGGCTCCCCCCACCTGGCCTGACCCCTGGCCTCCTCCAGAACCGTGATGTCCAGGAACAGCGACACGGGCTTGGGAAGGAGGAAATAGCCACGCACACCCACCTGTTTCCCGCTAATAGGACCAGCCCCTCCACCACTGCTCTAGCGGCTTCTGGCTTTACTTCGCTGCTGCCATCCTGCTGAACAAAGTCACTCACTCCGACAAGAAGCCCCCAGACCCTCCCTCCCTGGGCCCCCTTTGCTTACACTGTGCCCGGAAGAATGAGGTTATCTGTCACGTTCAGTGTCATGTGTCATTGCAAACCATGGCATGGGGCTGTTGGGAGGAAAGCTGGAGAGAGAGTGTACAGCTGGCAGGGCACCACCTTGCACATTACATGCCCGGCATCCCGAATGGTCCCCCGAGCACCCCAGAAGTGATTCCTGAGCACTGCTGGGTGTGATTCCCGCACCAAAACAAACCAAAACCAGCATTATCTTTGCCAAGGGACATGGCATGCATGTTAGACTTGAGTGGCCCCCCAGGACTGGTGAGTCACCCAAAAACAAAATAGAAAAATGTTGGGGGGGGGGGCAGTCAATCTTTTTTTTTTGGCTTTTTGGGTCACACCTGGCAATGCTAAGGGTTACTCCTGGCTCTGCACTCGGGAATCACTCCCAGCAATGGTTGGGGCACCATGTAGGAAGCCAGGAATTGAACCCAGGTTGACCGCATGCAAGGCAAATGCCCTCCCTGCTGTACTATCTCTCCAGCCCAAGTTCCATATTTTTTTTTAATTTTTAGTCACACCCAGCAATGCAATGCACAGGGGTTACTCCTGGCTCTGTACTCGGAATTACTCCTGGCAGTGCTCAGGGGACCATATGGGATGCCAGGGATTGAACCCACGCTGGCCACATCCACTGTGCCTATCCTATCCACTGTGCCATCTCTCTGGCCCAAGTTCCAGTTTTTAACTCTCCCTGCTGACCTGCGGGTCCAGGACAATGTCGCTCCTGGCTGCTTCCTCCATGCTCCTCACCTTCCCGCCAACCTTCTCGGGTTCCCACCAGGGGCTCCCTCCCGCATGGACTCCCAGAGATGGCGTCTATGGGCTCACCTATGTCCTGAGGGAACAGCTGTTCCAGGAAGCCTAGTGAATGTCTGGGGGCGGCACCCTCGTATCACACACAGTGAGGGGAGGGGGTTGTGGGGTTCCGGCCTTGATGCCCCATGCCTGCTTCTGCCTCTGCCCTGCCCTGCCTTGGTGCCTCCTGGTCCGGTGAGTGCCTCGGGGACGGTCCTGCTCGGACATACACGCGGCGGGACCCTGTCGTGGGCTGCCCACGCTCTAACCTGTTTGCTTCCTCTCTCCCTCATGCGGACACGTGCAGCTGGGATGGTAACGTCACACTCTTGCTCCTTTTAACCGCTCGCGGGCTTTGAAAAGCGGGTTCAGGCCCGGCAGTTCTGAGTCTAGGCAGCAGCGGGCCTGGGTGGCGTGGCCACACGTGTCACCTCCTGGGTTAAAAAGCAGCGAAGGAGAGAGATGAGCTGGCCCGTGACTCAGCGGGCCAAGGGCGGGAGCTCTGGGCACGCGTGTATGGAGGAACCTCAAGGGCTTTGTCCAAAATGTCTCGGGAGCCTGGAGAGCCGATGAGAGCAGCACAGATTGTGGGCTGGAGAAAGCTCTGTCCCCAGTGGGCACTGAGTGTGGCACCACGTCTCACTGCCCCTCACATTGGCACCCAGAACTTTCCTTTAGCACAGCCCCTGGCAGGAGGGAAGTCCGTGATGGTGACCTAGACCCGGCTGGCTCCGGGTGTACCCAGGGGCCACCCCTGGGTGTGCAGACAGGCCAGAGGCAAGCGCCACGCATTGCACTGCATTGCTGAGTACAGAAGAAGATGGGGGGTGGGGGGAGGGCAACCTTGAAACTGGCCCCTGGTAGCTCACGGTTCATTGCGACTTTAATGAACACAGACGGCTGCACTGTCTGAGCCGGAGTGATTGTCCAGCGGGGAGGGCACTTGCTTTGCACGTAACCAACCAACCCAGATGCGATCCCCAGTACTGCATAGGGTTCCCCAAGCCCCTCAGAAGTGATCCCTGAGCACAGAGGAAGGAGTAACCCGTGAGCACTGCCAGGTATGGTTCCCCAAACAAGAACAAATGACCGTACCGGCATCGATGATGCATTAAAGGACCTTGCCAGGGGGCTGGAGTGATAGCACAGCGGGTTTGCCTTGCATGCGGCCGACCCGGATTCGATTTCCAGCATCCCATATGGTCCCCTGAGCACTGCCAGGAGTGATTCCTGAGTGCAAAGCCAGGAGTAACCCCTGAGCATTGCCAGGTGTGACCCAAAAAGCAAAAAATAAATAAATAAATAAATAAATAAAAGACCTTGCCAGGGAACACAGCGAGCAGGTTAGATAGACTTAAGGGGCCCCTGAGAGACTAGAAGACTTCATCCCTGCCTGGCGGGCGAGAGTCTGACCCAGGCAGGTGGCAACACCTGGTAATGCTGTGTCTCTGTCCCCAAGATCTGCCCTCTGGAGGAGAAGGCCAGCGTGCTGCCCAACTCCGTCCACATCTTCAACGCCATCAGCGGGACCCCGACCAGCACCATGGTCCACGGCATGACCAGCTCGTCCTCCATCGTGTGAGCCCCTGCCGTGGGGGGCCAACTCAGGATGATTCCCACGGCTCATCCCCGGACTCCCTCAAGGAGCCAGAGCACGAGGACACGGCCAGGGCACGAGGGGGTGGGGGGGCGGGGGGACAGTCACGAAGACTCTTCCGCTGCTGCTGCCTCTCTGGACCCCCGAGGAGACCCACCTTCATGTCTTCGACTCTCGCTGGCAATACTCAGAGTCTTCCTTGTGTCTTAACAGAGGCTCGTGGCGAGCACTCTCGGGCGAGTCTGGGCTCGTGCTCCCAGAGTCGTCTCGAATGCAGGAAGCAGCCTTCTAGAATGTACAGAGCAGGGCAGAGGGTAAACCCCCTTTGCCTCCAAGGCTCAGCTGGAAAATCTTGAAAATATTTTTCTCTTCCCTCCTCACTCCCACCCCCCGTGGCACATTCAGGTTGAATATAAGAACTATTTTTTGGTGACTAGTTTTGGATGACGAAAGAAACCAACCCTTGTCCTTTTTTTTTTTTTTTTTTTTTTGTACCAGTGAAATTTGGGAGACTGAGCGCATTTCTGCCCCCCAGGAGCCACATCGACTAGAAATAGGGACCTTGGAGGACCGAGTGTGCTGGGAACTCGTCAGGCAGTTTAGAACCAAAGTCCTATCCTAATAAGCAACTCTGCGGAACACCCACAAGTAGTGCAGTACATCGTTATGTGCATAGGGTCTTGAGTTCGTGCTCAGCAGCATTCTGGACAGACGCATTCCGTTTCTACACGTTTCCTGCTCCTCCCCGTGGCTTCCCTGCCTGGTTTTATCGTGACCCCGTTCATGCTGTGGCTAGTAACATGATACCCATGACTCTTGTATTCTTGTACATACCAAGGTGCAATACGGAGGTGTACACAGTCTTTGAGATGTTCGGTTTATAAACTGTTTTCAAGATGTCATCCCTTTGCCAAAATGGTGGAAGATGTCATTGGGAAATCCTAAATCCTGTGGTGAACGATGGTGTCAGACCACTTCACCACGTTTTATTTTCTTTTTGAGACATTGCTTTAGTAAATTTTATATTTGGGGCGGGGGCAGGGGGGAATAAAGGTTTTTAATTTTATTTAACTAGAACCTCTGCCCTGCTGTAATTAGATACTGTACCACATCTGTATTAAAAATAACATTGCTCATTTTCTGATAGTAGATGCTGGGTTTTTCTTGTCTGGCGGCACTGAGGGGCAGGATGTTGAGATACTTGGGCGTGAGGGGCATCGTTGGTTTTGGTGCTGGGGGGCTGCATGTGGCAGTGCTTGGGGCTCTGTGCTCAGGAGTCACTCCTGGCACGGTCCAGGGGATCAGCTGCAACACCAGGAATCCATCAGTAAAAGTCAGTACATATAAAGCAAGTACCTGACCCCCTGTACTATCTCTCCAGCCCCATAGTTGGTCAGATGTGCTTTCGGGGCTGGAGCGATAGCACAGCAGGTAGAGTATTTGTCTTGCATGCAGCCAACCTAGGTTTGACTCCCAGCATCCCATATGGTCCCCCGAGCACCGCCAGGAGTAATTCCTGAGTGCATGAACCAGGAGTAACTCCTGTGCATCGCTGGATGTGACCCAAAAAGCAAAAATAAAATAAAGTGCTCCGGGACAGGCCAGAGAGGTCCGTGGCTGGAGGCCCCAGTTCCATCCCCGGCTCTCCCTGGTTCCCTGAGCATGTCAGGAGGGTACTCCAAGTGCAGAGCTGAGAGTAGTCCCTGAGCACTGCTGGGTGTGCCAGTGCCCCCCTCAAACATCAGTAAGTGAATATGACACTCCAGGGAAGAAGAGGCTCGTAGATGAAACAAGGCCGGCACAGTCTTCGTCGTTCTTGGGGCTGGATTTGGAGGCCTGAGGGAATCTCTGTGCCTGTTTATCAGGTGGGCACGGACTCCAGCCACCCAACAAACTGCCCGCATGCTCCACTGCCGTGGGCTGGCCCCCACCAGCACAGTGAGGTGGAGCTTGCACGGATGTTTTTATTTCCTCTGGCTTTTCCTCCGCAGCACTACCCAGATTTTTCTGGCATTTGGATAAGTCACACTTCTGGGAATAGATAGTCATCTGTCCACGCTGTGCCATGGCAGCCTCAAGCATACACGCTCCTGTGGCCGGCATTGCCCATGGCCAGCACCTGACCTGGGTATTGCCTATGGCCAGCACAGACCCGGACCTGGGGCCAGCACAGACCCTGACCTGGGGCATTGCCTGTGGCCAGCACAGACCCCCGCCTGTGTCCATGGGGCTCAGGCTGCAGTGCTGACTTACCTCGGGGATAGTCACAGCCTGTGTGGTTCTGGGGTAAAAGGAAGGGACCTTCCATGTGGAGACCCCACCCCACCCCGCCCCATGCCTTTCTGTTGGAGGCTTTTGTTTCTTTTGCTTATTGTGTTTTTTATTTGGGGCCACACTCAGGGTCACTCCTGGTGGTGCTAGGAGATCAAACGTGGGTCTCTGGGATGCAAAACACATGCTCTGTCCTGAGCTCTCCCTACCGTGAACACTGGGTGGTTTCTTTTCCTTCTTTCCTTTCTTACTTCCTTTCTTCCTTTCTTTCCTTCTTTCTTTTTTTTAATGTATGGATCACACCTGGCAATTCCCAGGGGTTACTCCTGGCTCTGCACTCAGGGATCACTCTGGCCATGCTCCGGGGACCATATGGGATGCCAGGGATCGAACCAGGATTGGCCAGGTGCACAGCAAGCACCATCCCTACTATCGCTCCAGCCCCTTATTTTTTTTTTCCCTACAGCCACACAAGTTTGCTTAAACTTGGCCTCTGTCCTGAATTTAAACATTCTTGTTCTGGCCAGTGTATCGACTGTGAGGACTCGGAGGTTCTCTAAAAGTTGAGGGTTCTCAATAGCCTTCACCTTCCCGGGCGAGAAGCCTGATGTCTGGGTTTATTTATAAGAATTTTGACTCGAGGGGCTGGAGTGATAGCACAGCAGGTAGGGCGTTTGCCTTGCACGCGGCCGACCCGGGTTCGATCTCCAGCATCCCATATGGTCCCCTGAGCACTTCCAGGAGTAATTCCTGAGAGGAAAATCCAGGAGTAACCCCTGAGCATTGCTGGGTGTGACCCAAAAAAAGGAGAGGGAAAAAAAAGAATTTTGACTGAACTTTTACAAATCATGCCACACGACACTCACAGTCCCCACTTCTAAGGCGATGATGGGTGGGAGGCACGCCACCGTCCATCTCCCGGGCTGCTCGAAGTCTGCTCTGGTTCTCCCGACTTTTCTAGGGGAGCACCAGGGAGCATTGACAGAGCAACCCATGACGAAGCACGGCTGCTTCTGCATAGCCAGAAACAGGAGGCATCTGGGTCTCTGCTCCAGGAACTCTGGTGCTTCCCCTTAAGGAGGGGGTGAAGGCGATCGTCAGGGAGGGGCATCTTCTCATGGCGAGGTGGGCACCAAGACCGCCTCCCCCCTACCCCATGTCCCGTCCAGGTCAGCACCCAGATGCCAAAGATCTCAGGGGCATCCTTGAAACTTTCTCCATCGATCCACCAGCAACTGCGGGTTAAACACAGGCAGGTGCTCGGGGACAGATGGAGACAGCCACTATGACTCACTGGAGCTGACAGCCCCTTCCAGGAGCTGTTGGACTTAGGGCTTTGGTGCGTTTGTCCAAGTCACATCCTCAGCTCAGCGTCATAAAGCCGCGCTCGTGTCCGTGGGGACGAGTCCAGAGTGAGCCTCCTCGCTTGCTGAGCTGGACCTCCTCCTCATAAATGCCTCGCTTAGAAGCAATAAAACTGCAGTCTCCACGCAGCAAGATAAACCTGAGTCTGGAAAGAGCGAACTTGATAGCTCATCACTTAATGTGGACAGTCATTTGCCCCATCAGATAAGATTAAGCCTGGTAAGGGACCAACCCTCGTTTATGGAACTGCACAGAAAGAAGTCAGCTCATCTTCGAGGAGATTGCAGTGAAAGACTTGAGGGTTTTCCTTGGTTGTTTTTTATTTGGGGTTGCCCCTGCATTGTCAGGATTCAAATCCAGGTCTCCTGCGCTCATAGGAAAAGCATCTATATTTTCCCTTGATGAAAAATACTGAAAATATTTTTCTGCAGCCAGCCCAATGAAAAATATTGATGGCAATTACAAATTCACTCATGTATAAATTTTTTATTTGGGTACAAAATTCACAGCGAAGTTACTTTTGGAGAAAATCTATTTGTTAAATGATTTCTTGCATTGTTTAATTTTTATTTACAAGTGACCATATAAGTAGATGGTATTAAACATTTCTAAATTATGGTTATAGTAGCACTGTAGCACTGTCCTCCCGTTGTCGAATATACCAAGGTGGGGAGGGGGGAAGCTTGCCAGGTTCTGCCGTGCGGGTGGGATATTCTCGGTAGCTTGCCGGGCTCTCCGAGAGGGGTGGAAGAATCGAACCCAGGTCGGCCACATGCAAGGCAAACGCCCTACCTGCTTTGCTATCACTCCAGCCCATGGTTATAGTATTAAATATATATCAAATTCATTTCTCAACACAAGAACTAGAATCATTGTTTGGAAGGCACCCCTGACAGTGCTCAGGGATTACTCCTGGCTCTGTCATCAGGAGTCACTGGACTTGGGGGACCTTATGGGATGCTGGGAATAAAACCGGCATGCAAGGCAAGTGCCCTCCCCACTGTGATATCAACTCTGACTCCAAGATTAGGCTATTACTGAAGCAACTGAAGCAATATCTTCTTACTGAAAACTTGCTGTTTTCTAGTAAATTTGTTGATCTCTATCCTGGTTGTTTTGGGGTTTGCATTTTGGGGTTTTATTTTTTTAACATAATCTATAGCATAAATCTGACTGCTTTAATCATTTCTTCTTTGGTTTTTGGAGCTACATCCGACGGTGCTCGGGGATCACTCCTGGCAGTGCTCAGGGGATCATAAACTGTTCTAGGTTTATGTTATAGTACTATGTTATACTATAATATAACCCAGGCACCGCTGGGCCTGGGCACCGTGGCACCCCCACATGCAAGCATTGAAACACCCGTCCCAGCAGGCTGAGTATC